CATGATAAGGAGGCTAGGTCCTTTCGGGACAAATCAGCTGACCCCCATTCCTTGTAGGTCTCCGTGCACGCATTCCTGCGCAACTTGGGTGGGTGTGGAACTGCCCCCATACATGCAAGTAAGGGTGTATGAATCTATTAGCAGCCCTCCAGGGGGTGCATTCCATGTGAACGTGATGCCGAGACCGTCAGCAACACCGATGAAATTCATGGGCGCTCCATTAGGTGCTGCGTGTACAATGAAATACACAGCATTAAACATAGTCACTATTGGATGCTATTATGTTGTACTTACGACTCTCTCTGGTCGTGAATTGTACTACGTCACTGTAGAGGGTGTAGATGTCGAATGTTGACAATACTTGGACGTAGTAAGTAGTGGCTTGTTCGAGTTCGGTAATCTCCAACGTATAGGTCTGGTTCGTAAGATTGTTGCCCTGGACTGTACCAGCAGTCATATTGATTGTGTCTGCAGAGTATCCATACAAAACTGTGTAGCTCTGCTCCACAGAGACAAAGGGTATTGTCCATACAACCCTAGCAGACGAATTTGTTATATCCACAAACTGCAAATCGCCTGCAGAATTAGAGAGCGGAGTGTAAAATTGCGTGAATATATAAAAAGGAACGCATACTTGGTGGTGGTATCTCAGGGTTGTTGTCACTTAGCAGATAGACCACATTGTTCCAATCTGACTCTGGTGTATTAGCGCATGCAATTTCATTGGATGAAGGGTCGTTGTTGTAAAAGGGATTGCTGGCAGCTGTGAAGCCAATGGTTCCGAAAGAGCCCCACTCCATAAGGCCACACTTGTAGGTGAATATGGTGTAGGTGGATGTACTATCTGTGGCCACAATAGCTTGAAACGTGTTTTCCTGCACCAAAAAGATTATGAGTCTGCTAGAGTGGTGTGCTTGGTCTACTTTACCTGTGAGCTTGAAGCTCCTGGGAGGGATTGACCGCAACCCAATAAGCTACCAGCATCCATGTAGCCCTGAACTCTGTTGGCCTCACATAGTTAATGTAGTCATTCACACTCTCGAAAAACAGTCCAGAATCAAGTGTCTGATAGAATATATCTCCACTGTCACTCCTGATATCAACATCATCCCAAAATGGAGCAACCAAGTAACGAGTGTTTGTCGAAGAGAATGCCTGATTGCCGAAGAAATTGTAAGCCGCTCCAAATGAAAGCAAGCCATTTGAACCGACCTAAAAGAAAATGACCAGCAGTATGACATACACATCATTCATCTTGCTAAGATGGGGAAATACTTACATAGGCAATGGTTTGATTGGAAGTCCCAAATGGTAGACCAGCAGGGGCAAGTGGGATGGCAGCTGAGGTTCCATCGTCTGTTTCAGGGAATTGCACAATGTCCGGACTCCCCAGGATATCAAGTGGAATAAATGGAAGGTATGCCTGAGGCCCGCTTGGTTCTGGGAGGATATAAGAATAGGGACACATATTTGGGTGCAGTTACAGTGAAGCCTCTGAATAAGGGACACCTTGGGAACATTGAAAGTGTCCTGTATCCTTTATTTGGAAGTAGTACAATACACGAATGTATAGTATGGCGTAGAACCAAGTCCCTCTATAGAGAGATGTCCTTCATTCAGAAGGTCCTATATACTTTGGAGGTTTCACTGTATCGTATATACTACTTACCAGGCACTGTTACACTTGATGTTGCCACTGGACCAGCTCCAATTGCTGTAGAAGCGTAGATATCACAGGACACGTCGAGAGCACTGAAAACTCCAAGTGAAATGTTTCGCGGACTGTCGACTGTCACGTTAAGGGATGCACCATCACTGTTAGAGCAACTGAGTGTGTATCCAATAATGTCTCCGTTTTGCATGTCTTCGGCCGGCGGTTCCCAGGACAATGTAAGAACGGTGTTAATCAGCCACAGCGAACATGAAGTTTAGTGGAGCTCCACTCGGTGCTAGAAACATACACAATGAGGGTTTAAAACATGTGATAGATCTTTTCAAAGAGGATTACCTGCTTCCAGGGTTGTAAACATGAAAACGTTGGTGCTTTTTGGAGCAACTGTGTTTTCTGAAGTAACTACAAAGTAGTACGTGTAATATGGGTGTAGATTTTGAAGCATGATAGTATAAATGACATCTGTGATGTCCGTATCACTTCCACTGAACTGAGAAGCACTTCTTTGATCTAGCACATCACTTTCCAGTCCATACTCCACATAGTACTCTTCTTCACCGTACAGGATCGCGGGGATTGTCCACGATATTGTCACAGTTGTAGACATTACGTTAGCTACTCTCACATCTACCGGAGTCCTTGGAGGCACTGGATGTGGATGGAAATCGGTGTAATTTAACCACAGAAGTCTCGTGCATTAGCCAACCTTCAGAGCATGTCACATTTACATCACTGCAGCAGTCGCCTCGGTCGTAGCAATTGTCGTCACAGAAGCACGTCGCAGGATACCCTGCGCATTGGCCGTGGGTGCAGCACTCGCTGTAGTTAGCATCAGCACAATACCCTGTAGTTAGGATCACAGTTAAATGCACTAAGTGGAAAACAGTGCATTAACCACTTAATGCACACTGATCAGTGCATTATGCAATTTAAAACGGTGTTCATGTCACAAAATGGAAGGATCTGATTGGCTGAAGGTCACATGACCAGCACTTTATATGTGATGATGATGAAGGGGTTTATTAACCTGCTTCAGGTGTTACTTGAGGTGTGTTGTCAGCTGGACAGAAATATAACAGAAACTATGACAACTTTCCTTGGAATGTGTATGTGGACTCACCACTGACACACTTGTACCCAAGTGAATTTGTAGACAGAAGGCAGAGCTCTTCGCAGGTACTGCCATCACATGGATTAATTACTGCATTGAGTATTATTATAGCTCTGTGGGTTTCAGTCAACATATTATGATATCTTACCATCTCCCTGACGACCTGAAGAAACAGCCTCAATTCCACCAATTGTGTACTCAAAGTTATCGTAGACTATGGTGGTATCGGTGCCTGACTCTTCATTTCCGCGAGTTTTGTGAGTGACATAGACTGCATTTGTCTCCGAATTCGCCCAGAAGAGCGAACTCCCAGAGACAGTGAGTGAGAAAACTCCCACAAGACCATCAGTATCTTGCGTGAGGAGCACATTTCTCCCATTTCCATCAAGACTGGCGTATTGTATGCTGTTGGATCCAGAGTCACACCAGTATATTCTCAGGCTGTCATAGTCAACTGTTATTCCAAATGGCTGCAGCAGATCAACAGTCACAATACTCATCCTATTTTCTCCATCCATGTCAGCCCTCTCAATCTTAGGGTCTGACCCCCAATCAGTCCAAAACATGAACCTGTATATAAAAAGCACACGGTCCTAAATTATACTTCTTATAAAAATGTCTTCCTTACCTTCTCTCAGGGTCCACAGCTATCCCTCTCGGATTAGTATTGGGCCCAACTCTGACGATTTCTGCTCGAAACTTTCCATTCAGGTTAGCTACCTCAATTCTTGCCCATATTGCATCTATCCAGTAGATATTGTCAGCTACCCAATCGACTGCAATGTCATCTATTGCGGACATTATTGTATAGATAAGTTTTATGCATTGGATATAGTAGTAATGTAGTGCATACCAACTGCCGAGATGTATGACGAGACAAGAGTGTAGGATGCTCCGGTACCGTCAAGTGCAGCACGATTTATAGCATCAGAGCTAACATCAGACCAGAAAACATCGTTGTTTCTATAAAAAAATATTTAGCGGTAGACTTACCGAGTCAAAGATCGTAACTCACTCGAAGTGGTAGTCAATGCCAACTGCGGCACCATTGAAGAGAGTTCTGATTTTCTCAAAATTGGTGCCATTGTAGGAAATGTGATCCAGTGACTCACGCTCGGCAACAAGTAGATAGTCATTCATCACTAATGGTCAGAAACATGTAATAATCACACACAGAGTGGTCGATTATAAAGGCGTTACTTACGTAGATCGACTGTTGAAGATTCCCAGGCAGGTTGGGAAGAGGAAAGTCTCAACGTTTCTCACCGAAAAATTAATGACTTACGTGGACAAATGTCAACAGCATCATAACAGCATGTCCCATCATTAAAACAGGAAGCATCACAGTAGCAACTTTGTGGCTCTCCCAAGCAGGAACCAGAAGTGCAGCAAGTCGTGTAGTTGCCAGCAGCACACGATCCTACGCGAGTTTGTTTTTAGTCGTTTCTAAGTCATAAAAGCTATCTGCTGTGTAGGTATAGGCTTACCTATAGTGGGGTGGTATGGTGGGTTTGCCTGACTGCTCATTAGATTATCTGGATTAGGAACGAGGTCATAGACGACGTTGTTTGTGTCATTTGGTAGTCCTGTGTGTACACATCCAATTTTAAATGCATAGTTTTCTCCTGTCAGATCGCTATTATTGTATGTGGTCCCTCCAGCATTGGTACCAATGGTAGGTTGGTTGGCCCACTCCATCGAAGAACACTTGTACGTAAACACGGCGTAGGACTTGGTACCATCTGTAGTCAATACTGCTTGAAAGCTGTTTCTCTAATAAAGAAATCCAGCATTATGCATGCATTAGTTGTGCCGGTTTCCCCTTACTTTTTGGTTGTAGCTAGCTGTTGGATCATCACCGTGTGGGAATGGGTGAATGCCATCCCAATGGACGACCAACATCCAAGACCCAACATACGAAGTGTTTTGGTCACTCGAAACTACGTTATCAACTGGACTGAAATCTGTATCAGATCGGTTGTAAACCTTCCACATGACTGTTCCTTCTACCCTCAGATCAGCATCCGACCAAAATGGAGCCACCAAATATGCCCAGTAGGTGTCAGGGGAAGTGGATGGGAAACGGGAGGGGTCATTGTTGGGAAATGGATTTCGCATTGACAAGATTCCATTGTCGTTTACCTAGGTTGAGACAGCATGTAAGGTATTAAACAAACAGTTAAAAAAGAGCTGCCTTGGGTCAGACTCTAACAGTTTGCTTGGCCGCAACTTCAAATGTATGGGTATGATGGGTCCACGCAACATGTTGCAAGGACTTTCATGGAACTTTGTTGCATGGTTTATCATACCCATACACAGCCTTTGGGAACAATGCTTGAGCTAGCTGCAAAGCAGCTCAGTAGCAGGCAGCCAGGCTCCAAGTCTACTATGCAGTACAAGGCAAACCCCAAATAAACTCTCTATGAGACACAGGAACTGGTAACATTTACTCATTACACCACCCAGCATCACCATCTTACATAGACTTGTGAGTGGTAGTATTCCCCAAAGGGAAAGTTGTATGGAAAGACTATCTTCTGACTGCAGTCATTGCAGGAAACATAGTTTCATCAGGAGTGTCAATATTGATAAAATCCAGTGTGAATTGCTGAGCTAATATAATAGAAGCGGGCTGTCAACATTTACCCAATGTGTATGATGTAATGGTTTACCTGGCTCCGTAGCGATTTCAGTCGTCATTGAGAGCGTATACACGACATTGCTCCAATTTGATGCATTTCCGTTGATACAGGCAAGATCTATACCTGATGGTTCTTCATTATCATATGCCTGCCCAGCTGCGTTGAAACCAACAATGTTAGAACCACCATTGTCCCACTCTATGAGGCCACAGTTGTACGTGAACACAGTAAACGAGTCAACACCGTCAGTTATCAGAACAGCTTGAAAGGTGTTCTCCTGCAATTGTGTTTGGATTATTGCCTACTGGATAAAATATGGAGAATAGATACTCACCTCTGAATTTGAGCTCCCAAGGTAGGGGTGAACCTGATCCCAAAACACAACCATCATCCACGTTCCCTCAAACGACGTGTAGTTGGTTTGACTTTGCAGGAAACTGTTCACAGTGTCGATCTCGTCGCCCGTTTGGAAAATCTGGTAGGAAATTTCCCCGTTTCCACCCCTGATGTCTATGTCGTCCCAAAACGGGGCCACCAGGTAGCGAGTGTTGATAAAAAAGTTTCCTGGGAACTCTTGGTTGAAAAAGCTGTTGTATCCAGTTCCAAATGATATCAGTCCATTTGTCCCAATCTGTGTTTCAAGCTAAGTAGCCAGTGGGAAAGGTTTTTATTCGACTTACAAATACTTGGGTTTGCACTGAATCCCAGAAAGGAAACCCTGGTGTTGCGATTGTGATGGGACCAGTAATTCCATCGTCAGACTCAGGCAGTTCAATTGGGCTACTGAGTTGTATCCATTCCAAGTAGTCTGCATGGACATAACAGTTTTACCACCCATGTTTTTTTGGATGCACCGTAGCACTGAAGGCACGTTAATTTATATCCCCAGAGAATGTGTGTTGCTGAAATGCATGTATTCTACAAGAAGAAATGCTCTTAGCTACCCTGTGGGTGTGTGTTTTTAGCACTAAAAATGTGTCTGAAGACAGGTGTATTACCACCCTCATACTCAACACGAATACGATAAGAATTGTTGCATTTGCAACGTGGGAGGAACGTGTGGTGGTTGGCATGAATTAAGTCTTCCCACAATGGAACGTTGTTATTGGCCTTGAATAATGTTGGTGGGATGCCACCAGCCTCAGCCTACACATCTTACCTACAGTATATAGCTACCAGTGAATTGGGCCGACGTTGATGCAAAAAGTACACAAAACACCAGCACCAAAGTCCCCTTCATCTTCCTGTGCAAGAGAAACAGCAGTGTTCATACACGTATTATAAAGCTGCCCCCTATGGACAGATCCGCCCCCTACAACAGTTGTTCAGATCAGCCCCTTTTTTTCCAAATGCACATCCATAAACGTTTTCCGTTAACGCTCAACATCCAGTCCAGAAATTACGTTGGCTAACAATTTAGGTCCAGTCGAAAAAGTATATACGTGGCTTGTACGATCAATGGTGCAGTGATATTCTTGCGCGCCGCGACCGTTCATCTTTGACCAGCGCACGATAGATTACTGTTGCACCATAAAAATAATAGGAGCTCACCTTGCAGCGTTTCTAAATCGGTGGACTTACTACGCTGCACCGCGACGACCTGTTAGAGCTGCAGGCAGCTCTGACGAAGTCGATCTGCGAGGGAGGTTCGCGCATGCTCAGATCATAATTTCATCATGTGCCTACCGCGCGTGTGCGCATGCGCGCGCATGTGCACACTGCAAATACGTCAACGAGGTGGTATTTCCTACAGTATGATCATCATATGGGTTCATGAAATCTTTTCCATTTAAATCCGTCAGAGATTTACATTCCAAAATTGCTGAATCTGGCACCTAAATGGGATGAAGACAAAAATAAAAAAATTAACGGAGCATATTTAGCTATTTTACACCTTGACAAGAGGAGTGTACATTGGGTGATGATGTTTGGTCACTGGGTTATTTGAGGCCCTGTTATAGGCAATCAGGAAGGCCCAGCGGCGACGATCACTACAGTTCTGATCGCTGCAGTGAAGCAGGTTGCAGTGAAAGAACAGGCCGTCACCAGCCTCCAACTCAACTCTCACAGTTGGCAAAACCTTGCATAAAGAAGTTTGGAAAACTCCTAAACACGTCAGTTTAAGTTTTATACCTTTTCCACCATTTTGACTCTCTCCACATTGGCCCCTGTCTGCGATCCAACTCGTATGTGATCAATCCTACCGAGACGATGCGAGCCTTTTAGTACCTGCAGAATTTGCTACATAAACTCGAAGCCAAAAAAGAGGACCAAAACCGATGCACCTTCAGGCAGCCATTTTCTTCATCGCACTTGTCAATAGCTATGAATGCTGTACCCATGTCAGGAAACAGACAACCGTTGAGATACCAGTACCTGCAACCATTCAGCTATGTTAGTTTTCAGGCGAGAAGAGATTGTAATACCCGTAGTCCTGATGCCACACAAATGAACCGCCTGTGTGTGCTTCTTTCATCATAAGTTTTGTATGGTAGTGATATACTTCGCCACCAAGCAGCTACAGCCAAGAATATGCAACTTAGTTTTGCGGGCCGACCAAGGCTGATGCTTACTTACATGTTCCATCGTGCCAGCGACTTTTTCACATCGACTGACCATCCCAGTAATGTCTTTTCCCGGGTGATTCCACAGACACATCCTGCAGCTCCGGCCATGTCCGTCGTTCACGCCGTACGAGTACTTCAGGATCTCACTGTCGCCTTCTAGAGACGATCGCAGACGCGAGAGCTCCTCTCCACTCAGTAGCGACCTTTCGGAAGAGTAAACCATGCCCTCAGCCAGTAACCGAAAGGCCATGCTACGTAACTGTGCTTTGTTTTAGCGTAAGCTTACTTGATTACGATGTAGCCATCTCTGTCGAACTGGTGTTTGTTGTAAGTCGCCATACCCTTAGTGCAATTAGAGCCACGCCCTCTGACTTGGAATTAGGCGGGGCTCGTCACCTCGCGCGTGCGCGTGGCTTGTTCGTCTTCTAATCGTCATGGACGGACACAAGTTATCACCGACTGTGCTCTGGGCACAACGAAAGCACTTCATTTTGCTTCGAGTGCAGGTCAAATCCTTGGAGGTAAGCCCACAGAGCAGGGAGACAGTGACCTTTGAACTTACTTTGTTGCAGAAACCTGACTTTGACATTCATGAATCACACATGACTTTCAAAGGTATAGCTACATGCACAAATGGCAGTTCTTGACTTGCTTACTTGTGTACATCTCGGCCTCACATCACACACTTTGTGGGTTGACCTGTCTTTCAAGGGCTCCACTTTGTCCGCAATGTACCTCTTAGCGTTCCTTTCCTGTTACGTAATCTACCCCCACATAGCTCCACTTTCATGAAATTATATAAGTGGCGGACAAAACGGGTGACAAAATGGTGTAAGTACTTCAACTATTTGGAACATGTGCCAATTTGTGTTCGTGAATGGAGTGATAGAGTGAATAAGGGGATAATTTTTGAAGAAGGAGATAATTATGGTGTAGGTATTTTGTGTAACCTTTGGTCTCAGTATATTCTTATACATGTGCATATAACTGTCTATTATCATTAGGAGTGAGATTTTCTCTCTCTTCCTGTGTTTGTAGTGTTTGGGGAAGGGCTTAGTGGAAAAGCTACCTATTCCTTTGACCTTGTATTCTGTGAACCGATCAATACTGAGGTTGGCCTGTCATTAGGTCGTTAGCGAGTGACTACATCAGCATTTTATCTTTCTTGCAGCACTGCCGCGTCAAATTTTCTGAAAACGAGATTGAATTCCGGATAGTGAAAAAGGAAGGTATTTTTCCTTCTCTTTCTAACAGTCAATTACATAAATATTGATTAATAAATCTATTCAGTCAAAAATTTGTACCCAAGTACTTTCATGTTAAAGTTTGAAAGAGTTTGCAAAAAATAGCCGACCAAGGCCTTTTTTGCCCATTCCTTGGATCGCATTTCAGTGTATATAATGTACCCAGGGTGGTAAGTTTATTTCGGTGGTCTTGATGGTGAGACAGGCATCTGAAATTTGTTACAGCTCGCACCTGACTTACACAAATGCATGAGAATTAAACGGCACTCGCTTACGTAAGAAATATAAGTAAAAAGGAAAGAGAAGGCACTTTGTGTATATGTCTCTGGTTCTGCCCAGTGATCTGAAAGTGTGGTGAGTCAATGGCTGTATTGCTATTAGCATTTCTTCTTCCCTGCCCTCTCTTGTGCTGATAGTGAGTGTGTGGCCACGATTACAGAGCAGTCAGGAGAGACCTCCCTGGCTGAGGGTCGACTTTGACCACTGGGAGGAGCTCAGCGACGGAGAGGAGCCGGCAGAGGGAGAGGGAGAAGAAGACGGCGATGTGACAACGGCAGGACACAAGAAACCTCTATCACGAGAGAGACTGGAGGAAATCAAGGAAAAACAGGTGGTCGCACGTCCGTGGTGTGGCAGGGTCTCGTTATTATGTATACTGTGATCAGGCACAGATGATATCTGAAATGGAAAAGGTGAAAAAGGAGGCTACTCAACTATGGAAAAGTTGGTCTCACCTTAGCATAACATTGTACTTGTTCTAGGAATACTGCCTATATAGTAATACTTTTTTTCTACCAACAGTTCAGCGGCAAGGTAAAAAATAGTATCATTTGTTGTTTGCCACCGTGACTACCTTACAGTACTGCCTACTTTTTACATATACTTTGGCACTGAAGAAGATCAAAGTTAAGTGAATGAATCACGTTCTTTTTTGGCCAGTATTGATAGAATACATAGTGACTGTGTGTGTGCATATCACTTTTTTTGTGCACACATTATAGCTGTAGACACGGCCAAGAAGGCTTACCTCCTGTTGTATAATGGAGTTCAGTGGGCCGGGTTTATCCTCATTGTGATGAGCCTTCTCAAGTGTCTCACCAAAGGAAGAGGTGTGTCTCTTTCCTTCACAGTTAGTGGTTGATATATTTGTCTGGCAAGTCGCCATTTTCTAATGCACGGCAACATTGGATACGACAACAGTGTAATGCAATACTGTATATAGAGTACCAGTGCCCGAGGTGGTTTCTCATACAAAAAATAGGCTGACCTTCATTATGCTGGCATAGCACGCTCGCCAATGTTAAAGTGTTCAGAGATTTCAGGAGCCATGACTAATAAATCTTATCTCCTGCAAAATTGATTGATGGCATTTTTTCTCTGTTCTACAGAGGGTATTTCGACTGCCTATAGCTCCACCGGCTCCATGTTGATGTTCTCCCAAGCACTGATGATGCTGGAAATCCTCCATTCTGCATTCGGGCTCGTAAAGAGTGGCATTACGACTGTCTTTCTTCAGGTGTGCGCTCCCTTTACCTAATTGGTGGCGACTTGCTTTTGCAAATTTGTAACAAATTACCTGCAAGTGTGTCACTTCTTTTCAAGTGTTAATTACACTATCAGTGTGCGGCATCTTATGTGGTGTATAGCCAATGGCGACAGGACTCTGAGCACATTCATTAGTACTAACACTTCCATACAACTGTCTTACGTAATAGAGTCATACAGTGTCTCTAATTGACCACACTTGGAAAGACTGGGAGGAGACATGCACACATTACACTAAGTATCTGATTATGTCGAAGTTTGCAATTTGTGTACAAGATACTCGCCCTTAGGGCTGGGCTGATTTGAGCCTCTTGAGTTGAGCTTATTAACTGGTGTCTCGCGAAGTGGTCTTTTGTGCGGTGAAAGGAGCTACTTTTTCAACAGGGTAAAGTTAGATATCTCGTCATCATTACCTCGGCTGGCCTTCTGTTGCCTTGGATATTGTTCACACTGAATTGGTGGAGAGTTGTGGGCAGAGTATGGGTTGTTCCCAGACTATTGCTTCCATGCAGTTGTTGCAAGGACCCAGTCCGTGTGTATAATAATCAAGATCAAATGCACATTGCCCTTGTCCTTTACTTTTCTGCTTCTGTAAAGGCCCCAGTGGATTGTTTTTGCATAGAGAGTGAGAGTAGTTCAAAGCTTGGTGTTATTGGTGAGAGTCTGATGTGTGAAAAGTGCATTATGGTGCATGTTAAAATTCAATCATCACCTCGGTTCGAAGGTGATTTCTCGGGAACTGCTCACACATTGTATAAAGTGGAAACTTTGTACAACTCGCCCCAATGCGGATCTATGGCGAAAGGAAGAACAACAAATTGTGCCCTTTACCAGTGCATGCACTAGAAACACAGACAATCGTCTTATTGGCTGCGTACACTTGCAGGTGTTTGGCCGGTTTCTGATCCTGTTTGCTGTGCTGCGTCCGTCCGTTGAAATTCATGAGCACCCAATTGTCTATGTGCTGTTCTTGGTGTGGTCTCTAATTGAGATATTCAGGTACGTTTCAGACACTGACACTCATTGCTAGGCACCGAGTGTTCGCAATTTTTGCTCACTGTTTGCCCACTATATACACCCTTGCCTTTCTCTCACACTCTTTGTCTGCGTTCCCATAGATATCCCTATTATGCTCTCTCGGTGCTTGGCATGGAAGCAAAAACACTGACATGGTTGAGATACACTGCGTGGATACCACTCTATCCGTTGGGATTCACTTCTGAAGGTGTATAGCTACTGATTCTTTGTCCCTCTTTGTTGTTGATTGAAAACTGTTTTGCAGCTACCGTTTTGTGGCTCTCTATTCCACACTTCAAGAACTCGGGATACTTTCAGTTTGATCTACCAAATCCTCTAAATTTCTCTTTCGACCTCGTATCCCTCATTTGGATTGCCATATGCTGCGTTCCTCCAAGTAAGTTGCTGCCCGGAGCCGTGCGCATGCGTAGATAGTTCGGGGCGCGCGCACGTGGACCATCAAAACTACGAAGTCGGATGCTGCCGCGCGACTGCGGAGTGTTGTTTGCAAACTAGTCTTTGCCGCGCGCTAACAGACGGGACGCTGCAAAAATGCCCAAGGATTCGAGACGCAGATTTTCCGATAGCGACCACGAAGAATACTCGCCCGAGTCGTCAGGCGAAGCTTGCGATCTCGTCTCAACCGGCGGCGGAAACGCTAGCAGCGATGCAATCGGCGGCGGAGTCCTCAAACCTGACGTCTCTTACATCGAGATGATTGCGCGGGTCATATTGAGCTCCCACGAGAGGAAACTGTGTTTGCAAGACATTTACGACGGGATCGAGCGGTTCTACCCGTTCTTTCGCTCGGCGCCGCCCAGATGGAGAAACAGCGTCCGTCACAATCTCTCGCTCCACGAGTGTTTCTGCAAGGGGGAACGATGCGAGAACGGTAAGGGTCACTACTGGTGCATCCACCCTGCCAACCTGGAAGATTTTCTCCGCGGGAGATTTCAGGCGTCGCCTCATCAAATCCAGAGTGCGCCAGATGCAGCAGTGCCACGCGCTCTACATGCAGTATCAGCTGGCGTTCCCACCGCGCACAGACCTCTACCAGTGCCAGGTGTCGTCCGTCGCACTCAGGGCCCTCCAGCAACCGTCATTTCACTTCATTCAAGCTCTACCGACCTACAGCAGTGCAGCCATGCCCTACATACAGCCACTTGTCTGCTACAATTCGCAGACCCTAGTCAGTCTTCCTGCATCGTCATCACCATCTCTAGCATCAGCAGCAGTAGTTCGCAGCTCAGCTAGTGGACCAAAGGAACCCTCTCTGGGTGATGTGCCCTCCAACAAGACCCTGACATCAGCTCCTCTGAAAAATGCAGCAACAAGCACCCGTCCCAAGAAATCGGGCATTGTGTTTAGCGTAGAGAGTATTTTGTCATCACCTTGAACATTATTTACCTGTACCGAAAAATTCCGACACAATTTCATTAGTGTATGTGTGTGTGATTAATGAAATGTGCTTTAACAGTAATAAGTTAATGCATATCGCTTTGCTCAAAAGACCCAATAAGTTGAATAAAAAAATTTGATGCAGAAATGATTATGTTTACACAATGTGCCCCTTACAGTTGTCAGAGTATTACTTGCTCTAATGTGTAAGTTGACCATCAATCATGTTCTCTTGACACAGTTGCCTTTGTTGAAATGAGACACATGTACTCGCAGATGAAAAAGAGGCTTGCTAAACTCAAGAGCGAATGACACTCAGTGGACCCTACATTCGATGTTAGGTTATAAAACTTGATATTAAAGGTCCTGTACATTGTATTCTAACACAATCTTTGTCGCACAATGATACAGTGACAGTATATGGATATTTTCCATCATTTTACAAAGTGTGTCTAAGCGTTCTATGGCGACAGCAAGGTGGAAACAGCGTCTATTCTCCCATAATGAACCCCGATGTCCTGTGTGTCAAAATATCATACAAGCGGAATAATGAAATGTATGTCCTCCCCCCTGCGAGAGTTGATTCCGTACCGGCCCATCCAGTAGGCGAGTAGGAGATCCAGGTGTTTGCGCTGCAGACAGCAAGCATCACCTCCCTGTGTGTGCAGTGTGTATAGCTACTACATGTCTGACTGAGCGGGCAACATCGCTATACATGTGCATGCACTGGTGTTCTGGTATATAGCTGATCTGCAGTATACCTTGAGAGTTGTGGGATTTCTCTGCCAGAAGTAAGTTGTTGGGGGTCGGTCCCTGATCATTAGTGCGTACTCACTGTGGTCCGAATCATAGTGCGGCATGTACTGAAATCAAAGGTCGTTCAGGTTCAATTCTCGGTGTAATATTTGTCATACTTTTGGGTTTTGGGATTGGTCGACGTAACGGTCCCAGTCTGGTGCTGCCGGGTAGTCATAGAGTCCTCCTATAATTATGGTTAATGTTCTGTTGTTAAAAAGAGAGTTGGGCAAACCTTGGAGTACCCCCTGTGGGACCATGTAGGTCGAGGTGTTTGGAAATGCCGACAGGTAGAAAGCAGCAAATCTGCAGGTTGTATGCAGATATAATTATTATGTGTGATATTGTACTAACCCTGGTTGAAAGTGGAAGGCATTGTTTACAGCAATTTCAGTAAATCTCTTCAAAAGGTCATTTTTTCTGCTTTCATCGTCTTCAAGTACTGCCAAAACGTACACCTCTTCAACATCTAACTGAACGTAGCAATTAGGCAACTTAGTTAAGACAATAGAAAACTAGACATACATATATATATACCTCGTTTGGAAAGTATGTACTGTCGTGGATTGAACTGATCTTCATTTCAAACTCATATGCTGCGTAGAAGTCAAGAATGTAAGCAGCTTCCATGTCCTGCGTAAAGTTTAAAAGTATGATTATAACACATAAAATTGTGTAAACATTTTACCTTGTATTTTTCATAGTTAACTGTGAGTGCTAGTTTCCTCCAAGTGGCCGAAAAAAGTGGAAGTGGATTTGTGAACTGGAAATAAGAAGTAGCGTGTGTGTGATGTGCACCTCTGCATTTTTTGTCACTTGCAAACCTGGTCCTTTGGTGAGATAATCCACATGTAATCTTTTCTCAAGCTATCTGAAAAACCAGAGTGTCCAGCCATTTTATCAGTAGAGTGGTCTCAATTCACTATGTATTTTTCACCTGTGATTCTCTCCACCAACATTTTTACTTTTCTGCGAATTGTAGCATTTGAAGGTAGCCAAACCCAGGAGTTTGCCAGCCCAAAGGAAACGCCATCGTACCTGCATTTTAAAAATGAGGAACCATTCACTTCAATGGTTCGGGGACACTGGGGAGGTTAATTGAAGCAAATTCTCTTTTTTGGTACAGTTTCAAACTTGAGGCCAATTTGTCCGACGTAGCTACGTGTGCTATATAAGGAACTGTAAACAGATTGCGAAATCTCTTGCGCACGATCCTTACATGTCTCTGGAGGTGTGGCCCAGCCAGATGTAGTCTTCGTACGGGGCAATGCAGCGAAATGTACTGCATACACAGAGGAATGGTAGTCTTCATGACCACATGAATGTATTGCGGACTAACCCTCCAGTGTAGTTAGGGTAGTAGGCAGCATAAGCAGGATCAGACGCAAGTCCAACAAACCTGGGCTATACAAACAGCAACTATATACTCAGTGCAGTAAATGATACCTATTTAGTCATGGTACGATAATATGACCATGGCTTAAACAAGGTATGGTTCATAATGGATTTGTGAGCGTACCAAGTAACCAAGTTTTCCGGTACAGGCAGTCATCATGTCCAGTGCTTCTAGAGTTCCCCATATCCGATCCTACAATACGCTCCCACTCGTAAAGGTTGATAGTGAAAGGCACATACATACACACCATAACCGAAGGATCCTGTGTTACTGCATATTCATGCACCATTGAAGCAAGGTGAAGACCTAAAGTGAATGTACAATTTCATAGCTGAATTGTATATATAGCTCAGTGGTTGACATACCAGTCCATGCAGCTCCATCTCCTACATCATCATAGCGAAGGATCTTTGTTCTATTTTTATCGCTGTACCACAGTTCAACTAAACGAATCAATCCAAATTCACACCATTCAAAATAATTATATTTATGCATACCAGCTTGATAGTAAGGGTAGTTGGCAATCTCGGTGATATTTTGGAAATTCCTAATGTTTTTGAGAAGGTTTATGCTCTGGTTGGAAGAGAGTAGCGGCCATGATGTTGACACATTGGAGTGAGTCACACTCTCCAGCCACTCCTCTTGCTCTTGACTCAGTCCTTTGTGTTTTCATTGGTGTGTGGGAGCAACTGACATTGCTAGCTATATACGTGTAAGATGCACTGTGCTAGCGAGAACGCACGAGACTACAATAACCAAAACGCGATTAGTTGGATAAAGTGGTTTTCCAAGCAGCCACAATATCAAAAACGCCCCTTGAAATGGCCGGGGGTGGCCTCCTAATTGTGCAAAGGGACGAGAGCGAGCGCCAAGCCAGCCCCTCCCTTCTCTCTGCTGCGCGCGCAATTTCTAAATAGCGCTCACTGCTCACCACCTGGGATGGCAACGGAGAGCGGCACCTGTAACGTCGCCAGAAGAAGAAACCGCGTCCACTTCATGTCGAGCTCCGTCTCTCACTAGCCCCAAAAATGGTAACCCGACTCAAACCGCTATGAATATCGTGTTGAGTACAGTTTACGTAGCAACATCCTCTCCACACAGAGCAGTGGTGACGAAGTTCAGATTGTCGCGGTGACAAATGCTAGAAGAAAACGGAGACGTGCGGAAGACGATGTGGAGATGCTGTACGTGGAAAACCTTCCTTCTATCGATATCCCCGAAATCATGCGTGTGGAGCTTCCCCGAGATGATTCCGTGGTGATTACCGGTGTTTCAGAAGCAGATGTACCTGCAAAAGTCAGTCGGCAATTCGCTACTTGTATCTCCACTTTTTATATAAATTGTTTCTGGCTCTGTATAGAGCTGCAAAGAGACAAGAGCTGGAGAGACTAGAGCTGGAGAGACTAAGGCAAAAGACAAAACAGATGAACCAATGGCAGCAAAGAGGACACAAGCAGCAGAGCCAGAGGTGCCCGTGTACTGGACCAAGTGTAAGAAATGTCGCCGCTCGACCGAAAGGCGCTACCACCTGGTCGACGTATTGCCCAACTCCCACGAGTGGCTGAACATCTGTACTCCGTTCCTGAGCGTGGATTTCGTCGTTCAGAGACTGGCTAGGATTCAGAACCAGTCTCTCTGGCATCGACTGCAGTGTGAGCAGCAGCTGATGCGCAGGAGCCACGTGGCCGGGTTCGACCTGAACGAACGGCTCCTCTATCACACCTCGCGGGCCAAGACAGAGGTCATCTGTGCGGAGGGTTTAGACCAGAGGCTGGGAGCTGTCGGAAGCTTCGGGAGAGGGATTTATTTCAGGTGTGCTACCTATCATTCCATGCTTGTACTTTTTTGAAGTCTAGTAACTAGAGTTTTTAACCTCCACTTTTTTTACACTTTTTAGGTTTAACGAGTCATTTTTCGACCTCTACAGTTTAGGTGTTAACATGTGTTTAACCCCCGCTTTGTCTAAACCACACATCTACAGTGACAACCCAAGGAAGTGTGACATGTACTGGCATTGTCACTCACAGTCGTCATCCACAAGGACGATGTTTGCCTGCAGAGTATTGCTGGGTGACATCAAGGTATGTACATACGTGTACATACATAACCTGAACAGGTATATACACGTTTAGATTATAAACTGCTCTTTTTAAAGGTTTATGCAGCTGGAAAAGTGGACCAGTCTCTAGTGAGGGAGCCGTCCAAGCCTGGTCGCCGTGGGCATCAGCCATATGACTCAGTATTGGTTAGACTGAATATCTTGAATAGAACGGACCCTTGCCTTGGCTTACACACACTTAACCACTAACAATTCTTGCAATTTGTAAGTCGAGTTGTCTGGGAGTTAGGGAGACGCCCTATGTACATTGTGCGCTGGCTCCGCCCAGTACTATGGGTGCATAGTCTACGGCCTTAGCAACTTTATGCAGTGTGTTAAGATTCCATAATATCTACTGATAGATACGTGTTCGCATTTAACTACTATGTCTGTATATACTTTATAGGGGAATAAGGGGTTCAATGAATTTGTTGTGTACAACACCTATCGAGTGATGCCAGAGTATGTGATCGAGTATGAAGGAAGCCGGATTCCGCCGCAGATTGCAGGAGTCTCCCCCACGAATCCTCACGCCGCCCGTCCCTCTCTGCCCATGTGTCACATGTGTGGCGATCTGACCACCATATGTCGCTGCCGCTGCATGTCCAACTAGTAGCGACACACGGCTACGTATGTACTCAGACACTGTGACCTATGTACAGTTGTGATCATAATTTATCATCATGCTCAGTCCCGTTGTACTGTCTACCTGTATCACTTCGATTTTTTAGTTTTAAGTTTTATTCTCTCAATAATGCCTACATATATTATTATAGCTACAGCTTCATTCAAACTCATTCAGATCACCTCATGACTATAATAATGTGAAAAATACTAAAACCAATGAGATTGTTGGAGTTCTGTTCTCACGTGTGTGAAACTGCTGCTGCACTGTTAGCGAATGTGGTCAACGTTCGAGTATGTCACGCTGCTGTAGTGTTCTTCAGTACTCATTTCCATGCTCATCACAACTTCTGTGGTAGACGTGACTACAGGCTTCTGGAACGAGGGAGCATCTTGTGGTACCTCAAATGACTTCCTCTTACTCCTATACCACTTGCCATAAACCTTTGAGCTGAACAGATAAAAGCACAAGTTCAACCACAGTATAATATAGAAGTTCAACAGGAGTAGAAATGGTATCTGAAAGCACACTGATAGGACTATGTGGCAGAAGGGCTAAATTTTTACTGAAAGTGGGAAACTTAATTGCATTCTTTGGGCTCTATTGTTAAGTTCTAACTTTAGTAAAGTGCTTATTATGTTGCCACATTCCTTTGAAACGCACCGTATGATTAAAACGATCCATGTGATAGCTGCAGCACTGGTGACTATGAGAATGAAGTAGTAGAAAGGAAACAACAGCCATGCGAAATCAGTCACGTCTCCCAGTGCATCTGTACACCCTTCACTATTGCTGCTGATTATCTGTGATGCCTCAATGACGGACGGCATTCCCATTTCGTCTTCGACTGTGGTTGTCTCACGTAAGAGAAGGAGAATGAGTGCGTCGATCGAGAGAACAACTTCGAGAACATTTGCTGCTTCCAATCGAAAAGGTTGTGCAAATCCGTAGGAACCCAGTATAAGTATTAGTACGACAGTAGCTAGATACTGCAGTTGAAGAAAGGAATGATTCAAAGTGTTTCAGGTATGTAGTATGCAAAGATATGTATATACCTCATTGCTTGGGAGAGAAACAGTGAAGAGGATAAGAAAAAATCGTCTGCTCAGCTCAACACTTGCCCACCACTTGTACTCCTTTTTGTAAGGCTCCATCAGTGGCTCAAATATACGTTTCAGAATCCACGGACGCTGGAAAAACAATGAAAAATGGTAATATACAGTGGAACCACTCTCCTCTCTAATAAGGACACCTAAGGATACCTCTTTCCGTAAAATCATTTCGCATGCAATTTTACCACTGAAATAAGGCCACCTCACTAACATGGACACAACTTTCTTTTGTCACATTATTGTCCTGATTATATAGACAGCCTTAATGCCCACCTTTAGCCAGTCCATGTTGTAGAAAAGAGAGAGAGGAATAACTGCCACTGACAGACTGAGAATGACAATTGCCAGAAGTCCCAGAGCAGCATGCTCACTACCAAAGCACTTGATGTTTCCACTTACATACCACCTCTACATCAATAGCAAGAGACGTGGATAAAGTATATACAGGTAATAGGTCTGAGAACTTACTGAGGCATCTGAGCTGTCGGTTTCAGGTAGAATAGGGCAGTTGAGTATTGACATTGAGGTGTGCAGTACATGAGAGTACATTAGTAGGATAATCCACCAGAGACCGTGCCACGCAACTGTCTTCTTGGTGAATTTGCTCATCAGAGCACTCCAGAAGGTAACAGTCGCAATGGCCAGAAAGAAAGGTAGGTATCGGAGGAAGTAAGAGACCAGTGGGCTCATGTTGCTGTACAGGCAGAAGTCGTAGATGAAGTAGAAACTCAGAGCGCTGCTGATGTAGTAGAGCTGGTGGACATAGACTGGTAACCATTATGTGCAGGGTCACCAATAGATGGCTTACTGCAGGATGGATTTGCTCAAAGGTGGTTGGAAAATGTTCAGTTAAGTAGGGGAGAACCTAAAGAGAGCACAATTATAGTACATAGCTACATGTACACACGAATGTCTTGGTCTTATGTATTTGTACCTGTATGTAAAAGACACAAGGGTATGCCCAGGATGGAAAGGGTTTCATTATGACTAGGAGCACCAGGAATACAGCCAAGTCCAACACCACTGTAGAAAAATAGCGCCACTGTGGGCACGATGTATCAGGTGGCTGGGGGAACCTCACATAGCAGGACTATTAGAAGTCCACTGGCATTGCTGCAAGTAGTGCATCTGCTCAGCAAAGCACTGACCCCTTTTCCATCTCGACACTCGCCACACAAATATCCTACAAGGGTTAGTAGCATTTCACTTTGTAAGCAGTCAAACTCATTATACCTCTTCTTTCGCAGATGCATTGAGTGTCCGGCTCCAGACTGTCGTACACTGCTCGGCATTGAAGAGAATTTCCTTCCCTGATTGGAACACACTGACAATAGCCTAGTGGGCAGGGATACATGACTATCGAATCACGCCCGTCACCAGAAACATCAGCAGTAGCCCAGAGTCCAGTCTGAACGAGAGAGTTTTAAGCAGTGATAGCTACAGTGGGGAAAGGATCAAGTATAAGGACTAACGCTGAGAAGGATTTGAATCCCTTGCACTCTATGATATTGGGGTTGCCGGTATTGCACTGACAGGTCTTGTATGAGTCTTGCAAAGACCCGCTCAACACGTATCCTGGTGGACAGCTTCTTGGCTGCAGCTTAGCTTCAGCAAACGTTGTACTCTAACAACATTAGGGATAGTGCTCCAGATGACCAATTGCGGCGAAAAAACCAAAACCAAACTCACTCCCAACAGAGTTTCTACTTGTATTTCTCGACTGGAGCCTATGTTGCTAGTAGGAGTGAGATAAGATGTGTTGATTGCTGATAGGGTTATGTCACTTAAAGTAATGGCAGACGGCTCGAATAGGTACGTTTCTCCAGCAATCTACACAAGGGGATGATATGGACAATAAAACACACATCATTGGACTTTGAATTTCGAGGAAACAAAGTGAGCAGTTTGTCTTACTTTGTTTGAAAAGTCAATAATTCTGACAATGTCAGAGGTTGGCCTTCCAATCTCATCCAGTGCCTTGATACCCAGGGAAAACAGCTCTCCGGGATAGGCAGCAGTATCCTGTACATTGTGAGATGACGTAGCTAGGTGGGCACAAGTGGAAAAGGTTAATATTTGGTAGTGGTTTCAACACACGTTTGATGTGATCTCTACATCCACTGCCGACGTTTGCACGGACCATTCTTGATTGTAGGCCTCTGCCCCGTGAGCAGTATTTCTGTTTGTCTCACTGCAATAACAGGGAATAGACACAAAAACAAAAGTCAGTTTGCACAGCACCCTATAAATGACTATCATTACAAATTGGAGTACTACATGTGAGCTATTACATAAAGTTCGTGGATCAGTAGTGATAAGGGGTATGCCACAAAAATCTGACCTGAACTCCACAAAACTCCAGCGGAATACTCTGCCGGGCTCAAACCAGGGTGTCCTCTCCCTCACCCAAGAGCAGAGATCCAGGTTGTTGAGGTAGACACTGGACGCTACGATGGCAGAGTTGTCGAAAAAACCCAGAAAGACCTGCACAGCAAAACATTACATCAACACACAGTTTCCCCGTGACAAAATTGCAACTATTATGTTAGCTGCTCTCTGTAAACAAAAGCATTCGTCTTCCATATGGGTATAAGGAAATCAGAGACAAAACATTTGCTTTCCTGCTAAAGTACAACAGATAACTGGCAGTTATCTGTTATACTGATACTATTGAGTGGTCTCTCTGGATATTTATTTTAGCACAGCGTATTACGGAAATACACGTGACAAATTGCAGTTTCACAAAGATCCTGCATGCATTCGCTAATGTTCCTCACATCTTCCCAGTCGTCGGGGCTGCGAGTAATCTCCTCATACAGCAGAGTGCAGAGGGGATTGTTTAGTAGGCGAGAGTAGACCGGAGGCACTGAGAGAATATCCAGTATCATTGCAGCCCCTATTCTGAAAAATAGTGACACAGTCAACTTATATAGGAGCAGGAAGTTAGCTGTAATTACTCACATTCCAGTGTTTCCGGTGAAAGTGATGTTAGCTCCTCTGAACAGTTCCAACTGACCCAGGGAAGTGACATACACAGCACCTCCATCAATACCGCCTCCGTCGTTGTCAGAGAAATGCATACCACCTCGAATCTCAACATGAGCTCCTATCACCTTCACTCGGTGAAAATGAGCCCACAGATTACAGACAAACCCAATGGTAGCCTTATTACTGACCACTAGAGTCCTGCCTCTGTTCTGTAAGAACCTCGAGTTGCCAGTAAACCTCAGAGGAAGGTATGTTGTGCTCAGTACACCACCTCCGCCTCCATCATCATTACCAATGAACGTACTGAAAATAGAAAATGCCTCACATTCAGTATGTGGTGGAGATCTCCTAGCACAACTCATTCAGGATCGCACACTATGTGAGTATGGGAAACTCCTAGTGACATCTCGCACGCAAACATACCCGAGAGTGGAGCAACAACTCACATTTACCCCAATAGCAGGTGCTGATGGACTAACCAGCTATCTATTTCTAATGGAAGAAGGTCCACCATGTCCTGAAAGTATAGCAGAGTGATGGCACCCATGGCTGCTCCATATTCCCTTGCCACATTCCCAACGAATGTGCAGTTATGAAAGTGGCCAAAGTTACTGAGCCTGCCATCAGGCCCTGTGGGACCTAAACAGCAAAAAATGAAAAACAGTCTACGAGTATTAACTTTTCCATAATAGTGTAACCTGGCGAGAAGAAGTATGTCCCTGCACCGAAACCAGCACGATTCTCTATAAATTCAGAATTGAAGACAAATATCCGATTGATTGAATCCGGGTCAGCCCCTTGGACAAAACCAATCTCCAATCCACCGGCAGCTCCGGGACACTCGTTTCTTATGAGACGAACTCTGTCGACTGTTACAGTGTGGTTCAGGTTTCCATCAAACCCCACATAGAGCCCACCGCCAAACGACCGTGCAAAATTATCTTCAACTGTTGAATTCTCCACAGTTGCTGTCAGGGACGTCGAAGGTGAGATTGTGAAAGCACAGCCACCGCCTCTTCCGGTGAAGGCAAAGCGTTGAAAGAGATCCGAGGTGCTCTGAACTGCTGCAGAATTTGGATCGCTAGTGTTGTTTCTAAAGGTGCAATTTGACACCAGAGCCGTAGGGCCTCTATTGACTGCTATTCTGTAGTAACCCAATGAGAGACCACCAGAATGGCCTCTAAATGGTTCTTTCTTCACAATTGATGCCGGGCCATTGTGTTCAAATACGCAATCTCGCACGGTTACAAAGTGACAGTTATAGAGATCAACCGCACCTTGAAAGAAGTACCTGCAGCATTAAAATGCACAAATAAAATAGAGCAAAGTGGTGCTAATGTTTAATACCTGAATGAGCAATTTTCCACTAGGACAATCTCAACATTATGAGCTGTAATGATCCCTGGACTATTCCAGAAAGAAATACCTACTATCTCCACCAGGCTACTGTCCGCCAGAGACAACACGTACAGTGCAGAATGAGTCTGCGTCGGATCGAAAGACTCGGACAGATTGAAAGAGACGTGGACGCTTCCCGCATCGTCTTCCGCCACCAGCTTCAGACTCAGTCCGACCAGGGTGAAGTTTCGAGTAAGGAGGTAGTGCCCCGGAAGCAACCGGATTTCTACACAGGATGTCGAGTCTCCGGACTCGCTACTGCTCTCGGGGTGCGTGGAGTTTTTCTCAAGGCTCAGCAAAACGTCTTGGAGCTCGCTGCAGGTCTTGTTGGCGAGTCTCCCGTCCGTAGCGGAGCAGTCTTCCGTCGCAGCCGAGTCCACTGTGATTTTTGTGGAGCACGAAACGGCACTAGTTCCAATAGCTAACTGACAGAGAAGTGTAGAGACGAGGAGAAGAATTGTACTAAACATTTCTAGCAACATCCAACTGATGTCGTGGCTATGTATTCTGCACCTTTTCTGCACCTTTTTTGATGCTGACGACGCAAAAACAATCTACGTACGTGCGCATGCGTAGATCATCCCACAACTTGGTGAATTTGGTGATCAGTTTCTTTGATATGACATGACAACTACCGAAGCACTGGCCTCTGCATCGAGGTATATGTCTGTGGTAGTGTGAGTCTGTGCTACTGGGGGATTATCCTCTTGTGATCTTTCATCACCTGTGCCCAGTCTCTTATAGTAATATTGCCTGTACAAAGAACAACGTGATATAGTTAATTAATCAATGGGACAGAAGAAAGTGTCCATATTAGTAAGGTGTCCTTGTTTCAGGGTTTATATTGGATACAAGAACTGTTTTTGGGAGATAAAAGTTGAGAGGTGTCCTCATTTCAGGTGCTATCCATAAGTCACCTCCACATAATATGGATTTACTACTCACCTGACTCTAAGAGAAATCCATACAACTCCTGTGATGCAGAACACGGCCAGTGGAAGGTAATATAGTGGCAGGAGTAGCCAGGCAAAGTCAGTCACACCGTCCACACTATCTTGACAGACGTTAGTAGTTTGACTGTGAGCTGCAGACTGCTCTCCAAGGCTCCCGAGACTCTCCTCAACTGTATCAGTGTTTCTGAGAAGTAAGAGAACCAGTGTGTTTATGGAGAGGGCGGTCTCGAGGATGTTGACGGCAAGATCCTTGAATGGTTGGATGAATCCGTATAGCGCTGCTGTGATCATCAGAACAAATATTGTAGGGTACTATAATATTGGAGCGAGAGAGAGGGAGAGAGAGTTTAATAGGGATCATTCTTAGCAGACCATTTAACCTGGTTTTGAGGGAAGGAGACAATGAAGAGAACTATTATGATTCGTCTGCCAAGCTCCACACTCGACCACCACCTTAACTCCTCTTTGAACGGAATTACCAGCGGCTCGAACGAGCGTCTAAACACCCACGGACGCTGCAAACACAAAACCAGATAGCGCAGTATGTATATAATATACACCCTAAGATATAAATACACCATTGGTTCTTACGTGAATCGTTGCAGTTATGTAAACCAGTGAGAGTGGTAGGATTGCTACACACATCGCCAGTACTACGATAGCCAGTATCCCGAGGGGAGCGTGAGGGCCGTTGAAGCATTTCACAGTCCCATCAATATACCATCTCTATGGTACACACAAACAACAATACAGTTGCTGTTACTCATTGTATTGGAGTGACTCACTGGGACATGTACGTCAGAGCCGTCTCTTCCGGGTAGAACGGGGCAGTTGAGTATCGACATTGAGCTGTGAAGGATGTGAGTGTACATCAGTAGAACAATCCACCAGAGACCGTGCCACGAGAGGGCATGTTTCTTCAGATAGCGCCTGTTGCAGATTATAAACCTTCAACAACTGCTCTTGGGAAATGCAAGGGTCCTTTATATACCTGATGCTTAGTACAACAGTTGCAGTGATGGAAAGTAGGATCAGAGGTAGGTATCGGAGGAAGTAAGAGACTAGTGGGCTCATGTCGCTGTACAGGCAGAAGTCGTAGATGAAGTAGAAACTCAGAGCACTGCTGATGTAGTAGAGCTGGTGGGAAAAGCGAGATTTGTTACTTTGTTACTTTGAGATGGTGGTAGCAGTGTGTGACTTACATAAGGGTGGACTTTATCAAACGTGATTGGAAAGTCTTCAGCAAGATAAGGCAGTATCTGTATGAAGCGTGATCTATTGATCATAGGGTAACACTAGGAATCTAGCTAGTATATTACCTGTAGGTAGAACACGAATGGATAAATCCATGTTGGAAATGGTTTCATGACCACCAAAAGGAAAACGAATACTCCGACGTCTACCACCACTATACAGAGTAAAGGGTTCTCACTCATATTATGGTACCAATACAGTGACGGTGCATATGGTATGTTACTAATGTCTCAGTCTTACTCAGTAGTAGGATAAGGAGCCCCGAGACGTCGCTGCAAGTAGTGCATCTGTTGAGAATTGCACTTACACCTTTCCCATCTCTACACTCCCCACAAAGTTCACCTATGGTGATAATAATAGTAAGGGAATGTGGTAGTATATAAGTGCTTAATTTAGATGGAAATTCTTGCACTATGTAGTTCTATCTTTAGTAACATCTCTCAATTTACCGACACAAGCGTGTCTGTCGAGTTTTCAGAGAGTGCTCTAACCTTTGCGGTCACAGCTGCACTGGCTGTCAGGATCAGTAGTGTTGAATGTATTGATGCAGTCGATGTCCCCGCCCCCTGAATCTCTCATAGCACACCGACAGTACCCATTTGGGCACGGGTACAGGAACAGTCTGTCTTTACTGGTAGTACTCAGCGTGCCCCAATATCCAGTCTGTGTACGTACATGGGAGAATTATAGGAATTTTATTATGGACACTCTGAATAGAGAACACCTCTCCATAATGGACACTTACACGTACTTAAACTTTTAAAAACTCTTTTCAAGAATGCTCCATACAAAAGACAGTTTTCAGGGTGTCCTATGTATATTAATTGGAGGCTGAATAATGATAAGATCTTGCTTGCCTCAATGAGTATGCTTCTGCCTTTGCACTGTATGATTAGGTCGTTGTTGGAGTTGCATGAGCAAGTCTCGTAGGCAGACTCCAGTGGAGCCTGGTCCAGGATGTAGCCTGGAGGACACTCCAACGATGTCATACTGAATGTCCCAGTCTCTGAGGACTGCATGGATTTACAGTACACCACTGACAGCTAACAGTTTAACTATTGTATGACGGACACCTAGAAAGAAAAGGATGGAGTATTATTGGTAAGCAAGGAATTTCAGTGCTGTTTTTACATCACACATATAATAATACTAGTGGAAATGTTGAACATTGTTGGCGAGCGGGAGCGACCCAACTTGGGATTTGCCCGCGATGTTCGGGCTGCATAACCTTCCGTCAGCACACAGCTTAAGTGGTTCTAGCTGCATACCTCTCCTAGAAGCAGGTTGACCGTGAGGTTATTGTCAGTAAACAAAACTCCTCTCAGTCTGTAGAACGACGTGTTTACAGCTCCCAGGGCAATGGAATCAAACGTAATCACTGCAGGATCAAAGACGTATTCTCCCTGCGTATGCCAAACAAATTTTAAGGGGACAAATATTTATTGGTTGAGGTAAAATTGCCTGGTCGTCACTGTCACTTATTCTGATGACGGCGGCAGTTCTTTGGTTGATTTCATCCAACGCTTCAAGACCAAGTTCAAACACTTCTCCAGGGTACGCAGTATTCTGCGGGCATTCAAACCGTAAGAAAAACAGCTCAATTATCGTCAGAGTACCCTGACATACATTGACTGTTGTCACGGTAATCCTGTCTGCCGGAGTCTGTATGTACCACTCTGGATTGAATTCATCGGGTTTGTGTGCATAGTTCTCATTGTCGTTGCTATATATGGTATGTACCATGTGCTAATAAACCCAAGTATGATGCTAAGTGTTCACCTGAAGTTGACAAAGTCCCATCGAAATGTCTGACTGGCATTGAACCATGGAAAGCCCCGCCTTACAAATGAGCAGAGGTCAAGGTTTATCACAAGTACGGCCGAAGATGTGAGAGCTTGGTTTCCTGCAAAACTTATGGACACCTTTTGCGGCAAAAAGCACAGACATGAAAGGCAAAGTCACAGAGTCATTCGGAGGCTCACATTTTCCCATTCGTTGGGAGGCAGCAGTGAATCAATGTAGCGGAACATGCAGAGAGGGTTGTAGGGTAACTGGGACACCACCGACGGCACAAACAGTGTATCTCCCACAACAGCCGCACCTAGCCTGGATCAGGTGGCGAAAACATGAAGTGAAATTATATTATATATAGCCATTAAGCATGTCCACCAAACTGCCATAATGAACTCACACGCCCATGTTTCCTTCAAAGGTCAGGTTGGCTCCAGGAGAGAGGACAACTTGACTGAGCGACGTGAGGTACAGGGCACCTCCATCTATCCCCGCTCCATTGTTCTCCACAAACTCTATCGACCCATTCACATTAACCCTTGACGCCACCACCTTCAGTGGGAATACACAGCAATACAGCGAATCCTCTGAACAAGGGACACAAACATTATGGGACATCATTTTTCGGGGTATAACTATCGGCCAGAACCAAGTGTCCTTTAGCTATCTAGAGAGGTGTCCTTTTCCTTATTCGGAGGGTCTTATTAGTGCATGGTTTCACTGTAGAAATGTTTGCTAACCACTAGGGTTCTCCCCCTATTTTCTTCAAACACTGTGTTTCCGCTGAAAGCCAGAGGAAAGTAGGCCGAAGACAGTGCCCCTCCTCCTCCAGCATCATTCAATGAGAACGTACTGCATACAGAGAGGTCACAAAATAGACAGCGATGATCTTTGAAAGATATTTCTCATTATATGTACCAGCTGGTGATCTGGAAAGGAGTTACGTTGGAGAGGTCCCTGAAGTAGAGCAGTGTGGAGACTCCAATAGCAGCGCCGACCTCCTCGGCTCTGTTTCTGATGAACGTGCAGTTCTCGAAGCTGGCAAAGTTGCCCAACCTTCCCTCAGAGTCCACACTAGGACCTGCACAATTTACAAATCACCCGTGCTCAATACTAGTAGTGGCTACTAAGATGGAGTAGCAACTACAAAAGAACACAATAAAAGGCGATGACTTCAGCACTAGCCCTGCGTACCACAATTTATTATGTAAACTATACCTAAAGTAAAGAAGTAGACGCCTCCTCCAAACGTTGCCTGGTTTTCAATGAAGACTGAGTCGTAAGCCAGCAATCCATCTCGAGCCTCCGGATTGCCTCCACTAACGAACCCCACTTCTAGAGCACCGGCAGTCGGTGCGCGATTTCTCAGAAACACCACCCTCCGAAGAATGACAGTGTTGTGCTCTTTCCCGTTGAATGCCACGTATAGACCCCCACCAAAGGAGTTTGCAAAGTTGTCTTCGAATGTGCAGTCTTTGACTGTGGCGTTTAGAGAGTAGAGAGGGTTAACGGGGAACGCGCACCCACCACCTCGACCTGTGAACTGAGAAGACCGTACAAGGTCGGAAGTGGTCTGCACCAGATCCGAAGACGGGTCGCTGGTGTTGTTGCGAAACAGACATCCGGAAACGACGGCCACGGGAGGTGTTGGAGTTAGGTGGTAACCGATTGAGAGACCACCAGCATGACCTCTGTATTGGTCCTCTTTGATTATCGACGTAGGGCCGTTGTGCTCAAAGACACTCCCCGTGACTTGAATAAAGTCACAGTTGTACAGATCCAAGGCACCTTGGAAAAAGTACCTGTGTTGAAACACGTTTGACAACCACTAGCAATTATTTTCACTGAGTTAGCTACCTGAACGAGCAATTCTCAACTATTGCAGAGGTGACATTGAAGATGGTGATAATGCCAGGACTGTCGATAAAGTCCAGTCCGCTCAGTCCCACGTAGTTAGCATTGGAAAATGACAGAACGTAGTGTGGCCGGGTGGTTGTTCTTGGATCAAACTTTCCAGTAAAGTTGAAACGGACAGTGACGTTGCTTTCTCCCTGCAGACTCAGATTTTGGCTGATGTTGATGAAGTCAGTTATGACGTATTCTCCTTCAGCAACCAGTACACTTATGCAGTCGTTAGAGGCAGTTTCTCGCCGTGACAGACTCAGCAAAGCGTCCTGTAGATCGGGAAAGTTACCGCCGTCGTCCGGGCCCGATTGATCGACTCTTACTGTCTCCGAGCAGTTTTGAATAGCATCCGAGTAGCGAGTGAGCAAAAGCAAGACGACGCTGCAAAGGAGAGAAGAAGCCGCCGTCTGAAGTGCTCGTCTTCCAGTCATAGCCCTATACCAGCCTTATTCATGCAAGGGAGCATGGATAACTAGGAATAATCCCAACCCCACAGGGAGTTCACGTAACGGGAGGCGCGTGCAGAGCAAAAGGGGGCGTAGCTAGCTCAGCTCATGCGATCCACTAGTCGTTAATTAAAAATCTTTTTGCATCATGATTTTATATACAGCAATTGTGCAATTTAGTTATCGACATAGTAATGCAATGTGGAGGGAACAAATACAGGGACGAGACAACCATGTGAGTATGATTGTGTGTGTGTGAGTTACTTCTTTCCTTCGTCATCAAAAACCTCCTGGGGCGACGCATCGTCCTCGCCACAGCTTCCGTTGCTGCTGGTGCTCCCGTGGCCATTGGCCGCTCCTTTCAACAAGCGGAGGCCACGAAGAAGACTCATGGACACTCTGACAGCTCGGAGGGTAGCCTGCAGCAGAGTGTTAGATACTGATAGAGGACACTCCGAATGAAGGACACATTAGAAAAACCTCAGTAAAGGACACAGTTTAAGGTCCCACCAATTGTGGGAAGGTATATCATTATGTGCATACCATCCATTTGCGTCTGGCCCTGAAAGCCCTCAGTCGAGCGGTGGAAATCTTGGGAGCGGTTTCCTCCGTCTACATAACATAGTAGTTGGGATAGGATATCATTAGGTTAAACAACACAGGTGAGGGAAAGAACTACAGTGGAACCTCCGATAAGGGACCCTCCGAGATAGGGACGACCTTTCTACAAAGGACACTTGTTTCAACCCCATGCTATATAATACACTTTAGTGTATTATTTGACCTCTGAGATAGGGACAACCTCTCTACAAGGGATAAAAATCGTTGGCCTCAGTGTCCCTTGTTCAGAGGTTCCACTGTAGCTTGCCACCTTGGGTGAAACTCAGGTGTAGTGTAATATTGAACTCATAACAGTTTTATACTGACTGTAACCCTTAAAAATTATTACCATGGTGGTGATCCACTGATGTGAGAGGCAGTCATTGGCACTTAGTCTCTTCCTAGTACAACACAGGGGCACAGGAGCAGTAAAAGTACAGTCCAGACACTATTGATTCAGAGTGTGCTGTTTCAGTCTAAGAGCTCTATGCTACAATACATAATTTGGCGGGAGAAAACTTTCATGAATTTTGCAGCATCTTGAATAGTTTCTCTGTGGGTAGGGACAATTTATTGCAGGTTTTATAATCCCTAAACATTTCTCCGATGATAAATTTCTACTGAATGACCAAAGTTACCTCTCTTAGAGTTTTCCACTATGGAACATTTTAGTACAAATGCACACTACATCCCATCAGGCTAAGGTCAAGAGAACGGTATTAGAGGTTGACACACGCCTAAGGCCAAGAGCACTCACACGGAATGTCGTGCACAAGAAAACAGTGGGCATTTTGCCAGCTTTTGGCATGCACCACATTCGATACACTAGACCAACTGTCTTTCATCTGACAACAGTACGTAAAGTCATCACTAATTCAGTCTCTGAGTTTTAGCTATGAAAAGCAAGCAAGCAAGCAAGCTCCGCTAACGTAAATCTAGTCACCTCATTAAATTTTCTAGCTCAAAAATTGACTTTTAATCGCATTCCAAGAACTTTAGCAGCAATTTGCAACTTCATTTATACTTCATCTCAGACAGAGAAGATATAGTATATAATACGCTGTGACCCTCACTTTGGTTGAAAGAGCAGCAGACTTTCGATAAACTGTTTGGCCAGGTCCGATATGTCTTCATATCCGTCCTCGGGGCACGGGTCAGGGAACTCGTACTCTCCAGCCGAGATGTTCTGAATGGTCTCCATATCATTGTCGCCCAGGAACGGAGACATGCCAGTGAGCCTGGAGAATGAACGAAGGAAAGGAGGAGGAAGAAAGGGAGGGGGGTTGAAGAATTGAGGAGGCAGAGGATAAGGGAACAGCGGATAGTGAGGGAAGGAGAGGGGGGAGGAAGGAGAGAGAAGAGGTGAAAATATGGAGAGAGAGAGAGACAACCAGAGAATGAGAAAAAGAAGAGATGTAGACAGAGAGAGAGAGAGGATAGGATTGAGAGGTGTATGGAGAATGAAGGAAGAGTGATGTGAGAGGGTGACAAGGGAGGAGAGAGGTAGAGAATGTGGGATACGAGGAAAGGAAGAACAGATGTGAACAGTTGAGGGTGATTGGATGCGAGGTATGATAGGAGGGGTCGGAAACTTGATTAGCAGTCTACGATAGTGTGTCTGGGTCATTAATGAGGACACATACACCAATAGAGAACAGAGGCTAGAGTGCTGGCAAGAGACATGAGAGAACAAACTTTGCACACACACACACTGTTATACTTACATAACGTAGGCGACAACTCCAATGGCCCTGTAGAGGGAAACACTATAGTCACAATAATCATCACACAAGGCGAATACATCATACACAGTGTTAATGTGTAATAATATGCTGGGAGGTTGGTTTGGCTAAATAAACAGTGTGCTGCGATCAACTAAGCAAGCTTAACACACCGTGAGATACGGCTTACCCACAAAACAACAAAGTTCACACTAACACATTCCTTCTACGCACCAGCTTAACCTCCACCGAAATACTGATCTGCAATTGCTCGTGTTGTGTGTGTGTGTGTGTGTGTGTGTGTGTGTGTTTGTTATTTCAAGGTCAGCAGGTGACACTGGTCTGGGCTGGCAACATTCATAGGTGGGAGTTATCAGCATTGTTGGAATGCCTTCACAAATTGTCAACACTACAATGTCACTAATAAAAACACAGGCTTGGTAATGAGTGAATCTATTGACACCTATCACCTGAGATTATCAGCCTCTTTCCTCGTCCAAACACAAACTATGGATATTTGTAGCGGCACTGGCAAAATAGTGAAACCTAATGAGGCACTCCTCTTGGTCTGTCACAATGTGTGGTGTTGAGAAAACCAGCAGCTGGTGATCTACTGGGATATAATACCTCTAGTGTTGTGTGTGTGTGTGTTCTGTTATGCTCCATGATCCACGCAAGACTTTCAGTGCATTATCATAACGATCCCCCCTCCCTCCCACACCAACTTACCTGCCAATACCACCACCATACTCCATATCTGTAGCCGAGCACACTATACACCCATACTTGTGTCCTAGAGACGGCAAAGGTCTCTTGCAAGACAGTGCAGAGAGCCAAACCCTCCCACCTGGCATGCAACTACATCCTATGAATCCCATGCAATTAGCTCTCTTTCCCTTCGAGGCACTCCCCAATACAACCGCAGGTGCATAGAGCCACTGCGAGGGATGCCGATACTCTCTGCGGTCAAGTTAGGAACACCTTACGGGGAGGAGGCGCACATGCACTACACACTCTATGATTAAAACAAGACGTAGAGCGGTATATAGTTGTTGTGTGGTATAATGGCCGGCAAACATCCGGATGTGTGCACACTCGTAAGTGATAGGAATGGGAGCAAACTAATCACACAACATGTTACGTACGTACCACATGTCCGCTTCGACACCGCACGGCTCGAGATTCAACACTTCCGGTGCTGCAGAAACAAACACAAACATGATGACGTAACATTCACACCTTACAGTAGCAAATTATGCAGGGAAATTTTACTCTAAAAATCCGTGTGAGCGCTCTGCTCTTTAGCTTTTTACAGAACTTCTCATACTACTACTACTCCCTGTACCACTTTACAAAGGACTACGTTTGGTCTCTCTAAGTGGGCAGATTGCTACAAAGTCTTCTGAAGGGGCTTGTTGTTACACGGAGCAGTAGGGGTTGGGTGTATATAGTACGTATGTGCACGGCAAAGTGGGGGTGACGGGCACAGAGACAGCACTAAATCAACTCTAATGATTAAGGAATGCTCTCTGCGCCTACATAGGGCCCCGCTAGCGACTCTCGACATACACACACGTCACTGACTCCTTGTGGGTAAACAAGGCATTATGCATACACAGGCACACACCTGTGGAAACTTGCGGTTGGACAAACTTATGCAGGATATATTCACACATTCTGACTGCCTTTGTCTGAAAATGGCAGATACGTAGTAATTAACGTGTAACGCAGTTAGGAAAACGTGCTAACACCAACGATGCGTGTACGGGTCCACTAGGAAATGTAAAGAATGAAGGAAGATCGGGATTTCTGTGGGTAGCGAGCGGCGCCATATGCTCACCGATAAACTCTGGTGTTCCGACCATTACAGTGGGCTTGGGGTTAATGGAGAGATCCTGGGCAGTGCCGAAATCAATGACCTTGAGCTGCTTGGCAGTTCTGTCCTTCAGTACAATATTCTCCGGCTGAGATAGGCATATACTACCATTACAAACCATATTCACATCTCATTGTGTGTGTGCGCCCGTGTTACCTACCCATAGTACCTATGATGCATAACAACTGGCAATGAATAAAGTGTACTAACTTTCATCAAGGTACGCGTACGACATAATGATTTTTAAGGTAACATACACGATCATATTATACACTGTGCATTATACAGTGTGAGTCTCTAGGCACGAGTTGACATGTAGGATGGAAGTGGTAGAATGCAATACGTTATGTTTGGCGTACCTTGAGGTCAAGGTGGACTATTTTCTGCGAGTGAGTGTAGGCCATTCCCTCGAGGATCTGCTTCATGTAGTCGGTGGCTTCTCCCTCGTTCAGAAAGTCCTTCTGTGTGAGGTAGTCGAAAAGCTCGCCTCCGTGCAGCCTGCATACGTGTGTGTTGAGTGTGTGTGAGTGTGTGCGTGTGTGTGTGTGTGTGTGTGAATATATTGCTGCAGTGATTGCCAAAAGAGGGGGAACCTATTATGTAAATACACAAGACCTAAGCTATATACATAAGCTAAGCGAAAGTTGACTATAACTAAAGTAAATTCTAACCATGTAACCTGCACCGTTGTGGATGTATAGAACAGGCATAAAAGGGTGGGGGTTTGCTATCAGTATAGGCATGCTAAGTAGGAGTTGACACAGTCCTAGCCTTAGAAAAACGGACAGACAGAGAAAGTTTATGCAGGGGCACTCAGGAAGTCATTCCTACAAACAATGGGTGTACACGCTGTTCAAAAAGAATCCTGGCTCAGTCCTAACTCTAGTGTGTAGATATGGCAATTCATGTTATGTTGGCATAACTAGAGGAGCCACCCTTCTCATTCGGTGAAGATTCCTCCATTTTTGCTACCTATGGACTAAATGAAGCGGTCATTTTTGCCAGTTAATCCATTAGCTCTCATTATAGGAGCTGATCAGATTACGTGCAGATTATAACCACGCTCTGCCACGATTGGGTTCACATTCACAAAATATCCTATGCAGGGAAATTGTTTTCAGACAGCTCTTGAACTAAGAAATTCACGAAAGGTTTCACTCTTTCTAACTCACAATTCCATCACAAGAACATATTCAGCTCCACACTCTTCGTAGTCGTGAAAGCCGAGGATGTTGGGGTGGGTCAGTTTCTTGAGGACTTGCACCTCTCTCTCCACATCGTCCTTCTTGTTTCCCTTCTTCAGCATAACTTTTACAGCCACCTCCTCCTTTGTCTTCTTGCTCGTTGCCTTGAAAACCACACCATACTTGCCTCTGTGTGTGCAGAATTACAGTATGCAGAGATAGTAGCCTGGTGTTTATTTGTTCGGAGCATGAAGATAATGCTTTAGCTATGCTTTGTATAAGTCAGTCTCTAAGCAGCGTTAGTGGACACATGGAAAACAGACAATCCACCAGGAAAGTGAGCATAATCTAGCAATCTAGCAATCTGAGCATAGCTAAACGTAATGGATGGAGCATTTATGTGATTGACTCCTGCTTACTATTGCCAAGCCAAAACATCTGCTAAGTGCATGCATGGTTATCTTAGGAGCTACTATTGATTTCCAGCGATATCTAAAGCACACAGTTAGTGTATATATACATACGTAGCTGGGCACATCTCATAGAGAGTTGTGTGTACAATGAAATCCGCAATTGTTCACCACGGCACCATGCGCCTGTGTGCACCCATACTCGCACCTAACTCCACTAGCAAGCCTAGGGCGCACACTGCAGTGCAGTGCTACGCTCGAGAAACCTTGCGTGGTGCTGAACGCTGCAGCCCAACCCGATCTACTCGCCGCGCAGCAGCCATACGGCGGAGCAGCCATAGAACCCACCTCGCAATCTCGCTTTCAATGTTGTACTTCTTCTCCACGGCGGCAGGGATCACGATCTTGGAGGCCATCGGCTGGGCCATTATTGCGACGTCTTTTGCAGGGCTGTAGCAACTGAGCTATTCTACCTCCTCTCCCAAGCGCGTTGCTCAAATACACTCCGCTCACACCGCCAGATAGGGGGAGGGGTGCGTAATTAGCGTGAGTTAATACAAGGGGGCACCGAACTTCCGCAAACATTCCGACATTTTTAACGATGATGATTCCACTGACACTTACAATATTTAATAGGGTAGCAAGATACAATAAATAGCATTATATATGCGATCTGTAAAAATTTATATTGGTGGTAAAATAATTTTCTGAATCAACAAACATAAGAGGTGAGAGTGACACAGGGTAAGTTGATGACGACAGAGCTGTCAGGATTCGAAAATGGTGATATTCCGTTAATGACAACGCTGGCCACGTCGCCTCTCCCTATTCCCCTGAGACCGTCCACGATATTCACTATGGTACCATTCTCCAGTCGGTCCCACGTGCTGAGGAGTTTGTCCGTGGAGCTGCGTCCGTCGTTTGATTGGTCGATGGTGGCAACTTCCTCCGTCAGGCCGAGCTGGAGCGCCAGGAGACACCAGTCCCGGCCAAACGGGTGGTCCGGATCGAGCATCCGACACACCTGAGCCCGAGACTGTTGAGACACGTCTCTCCAGAGAGTGTAGGGAGCCGAACGAGCCGTGATTAGGAGATCTTCGCAACCGCAGCACACAACGTCAAGAACGCTCTCCTCCGGAGCGCCATGCTCCTCGTCCCTCAACTTCTCTCCCTCTCTCTCTGCATCGAAAATCTGGACTGCGGAGTAGGTGACGGGGTTTTTCACGTGCTCCCCGAGGTGTCTCGGGCTCAGTAGACTCACGGTCGTACGAGCCCCCGGATTGTAAGCCTGGACCGTGTCCAAGACCAGTTTGTAGAACTGCTGTAGCATTGACCGGCACTCGTGTCCGGCCGTCTTTCCACCTCGGACGGCGATCGAAATTCTCTTGTTTGGCTCCTTCATCTCCACGAGTGCCTCCGCGTCTCCCTGCGAGCACTTGAGGCCGTCCGTCCAGAGAGTCAACTCCCGTTCGCTTACGTCGTCCCCAAACCCCTTCCTAGCAAGAACCTGCAGTCGGGGAAAGAGACCTGGCGAGAATATATCCGTAGTGTCGCAGCATTCCAAATACAGCCCGGCATAGATGGAAAAGTTCGGATCTTTCACCCACAGTCCGTACAGCGGCTCCATCCTCATGAGGCAGGGAAATTCGTACGTCGTCTCCTCGCTGCAGGAACACAGCTCAAAGTGTTGGAAGATTCGAGCGACTGATACCGAGTCTAATTCTCCGTAGAGACTCTGCATGTCAGAGAGGGTGACTCGTCCGGTGACTGATTTGTCGTTAAGGTGGGGGCGGAGGGACTTATCGGGGGTGAGGGCGGGGCCCAGGATGTCCCGCCCGAGCCAGGCGGGGTCCAGGATCACCAGGTTCGTGAGGAGACCCTCATTAATGAAGACAATCTGAGGGGAAGAGAGGGAAGGGAAGATGAAAGTGGCTAGTGATTGTCTCCTTCCGAAATGGTCATGTGTAAATGGTGTAGCTTGTGGATTAACCTCTCAGCCCTTTGAATAATAATATGCCAAGTTTGGGCATTGAAAACTGAGACAGACGTGTTTGTATTATGCCACGGTGTAATAAAGAAAATGTGTCATGTTGTAGCACTGACACATGCTCACTTTTGACGCTTCTAAAATGTGGATTAAGCACATTGTGTGTGTTTTACTTTCCAGTCAACACCGAGACATGCGGTGAATGACAGTCCACCCTACTTTCCAGTCAACACCGAGACATGCAGTGAATGACAGTCCACCCTACTTTCCAGTCAACACCGAGACATGCGGTGAATGACAGTCCACCCAATCCTAACCTAGCACTTCATTCTGCGACTGCCACACGCTCCACCGAAGCAGCATTCTCTCTCTCTCTCGAAGTGCAATATCAACAAGGATTGCTCCCACTTGGGAAATCAACACATTCTCACACGAGACCCAATAATGACCTAATGGTGACCTAATGAGACCGAATGAGACCCAATACACCTGGTACACTGCTCACCACTTCCCACACACACACACACACACACAGCACACCAGTGGAATCCACGTAATTCAAACTTGAACTAACAACAGTTAGTAGGGGCTGACTCAGGAGGGATGTTCATAGTTGGGAATGACTTCTATTTGCTATACATTATAGAGCTATTAGCATTATTAAGCAAAAATTAGCGTGCCATGTGTCAACAACGAGGTCTCGAGATATTATGTATTCACGTGTCCGTCACACTAAGAATGTCGACTTGTGTCACGCTTCAGGCACACAATCAGTCATCCAAATTGTCGCGGGACTCCAGCAAGAGCATAGACTGGGCATACACGTATCGCGAGTGTGTACAGTTCTAGGACGGCAAGGCTATACAGACAGTACAGGACTAGAGGAGACCGCGTTTTGGTGTGGTCACTTTTCATTTTTGTCCTTGCCTCCGACCGTGTACAGTGCACAGCTCTGGGAGGAAGGATGACGGACACAAGCAGAGTGGCTTTGTGTGCCCACTTTTCATTATCTCTCCCCCCCCCGCCTCACCTCCCCCATGTCGTGCAGAGCAGAGGCCACTGTCTTCATCTCCCCCTCCGACACCAGAGGGTTGACGAGGTCGCGAGTCTTGGCGTGGAAATTGGTCCAGGAGAGGGCGGGCAGGTCCGCGTGCTCTCTTCTCCAGCCAGGCAAACTCTGACACAGCGTGTACACCAGCTTTGGAACCAACGGCTGCTCCTGAGTGGGTGGAGAGAGAGAGGGGGGGAGAGAGGGAGAGGGTAGAGTGTGAAAGAATAAGAGAAACACAGAGATCTCATATCACACCCATACACAATATTATTTAAAAAACTGTCCCATGTCCGATCAATGTATTGTAGAAAGCCTTTCAGAGCTGTCCAATGTAAAGTACTATAGGTTTAATTGGACAAGTACATCTAATAGGACTGTGGCATGTCAGGAATGCCAGTACTAATGGATATTAAATCAAGTTAGCAAATCGGGACACATTATCAACATGAAAACCTAACCAACCGTATTCACAAAGCAATCTAACAGAGCCGCACACCAGTGTGTAAGCATGTGTTTCACTTTCTTTGCAAACACCAATCATATATTTGTAAACCACATTGATCAATCACATAACACATTAATCAATCATAATTATATTTGCACTATATACATCTTCAATCCATATTGATGTGGGGCCATCGACCTGAAGACAAGTGCAGACACATCCCGTGCAGTAGGAAATTTAGTGTCAAAACGAGGGCCAGTCTATATTACGTCGATGCTCTTTCTAGTTTCAAAATGCACCCTTCTACGTGTACAATTAATATTAATGCCTGCATATCACACCAGTTTCAAGTATGTGTTAATCCAGAATTACGTAGTTTTTAACAAGTAGAAAGGGCAATGTGATAATGCTGCTTCTACTTTCAACAACGCAGCAGCTGACCTTTATGATGTTGGTGTGTAGAGATTTGAGGAGTGAGCGCAGCGATCTCATCTCTGCACTCTGCGAGAGGCGACAGTCTACGGCAAAAACAGTGTTGGAAAAGTCGAAGCTATCCCCAAACTCTTGCGACAGTTTCTCGAGTACGCTCCTCCCGTTATCCAGGGGGCACCCCGCGCTGGGGGGATGCGGTACAGCAAACACGTCGTCTTCGTCGTCGTCGTTCAGACTCCCGCGACCCTGCATGGGGTTCTCCTGGTCCGCAAAGCTCCCCACGAGGACCACAAACGGACGACGGGCGACCGGTCTCGTCGCGATCTCCCCCGGTCTGGTCCTCGCCTTGATCATGGCCAGCCAGAACCTCATCTGCGCCAGCTGCTTCCCGACAGAGTCACGCAGACTGCACATCAGTAGAAACACGCCGTTTGACCCGCCGAGAAAGTTCTCGTGGGCGACGTAAAACTCCTTCAACCCGGAGAAATCCCAGATGCTAAAGAGGCCGACGTTCGGGACGGTTGCCTGTTGGACCGACATCCCGTGCGTGCGTCTGAGAATCATCTGCTGAAAGTTGGAGTTTGATCGTCGGCGGAAAAGGCTGCGGAGAACGTTGCACTTGAGTGAGTTGATGAGTTCCGTCTTGCCCACCCCTGGCCCGCCGCACACCAGCAGTTTGGCTCTGTCCAGCGGGCACTGGCTCTGGACCAGCTCCGTGACATAGTACTCCCTCAGATCTCCCTGCACCATGTGAGACAGGGGGGAGGAAGTGGGGGGGAAACATGATGTGAGACAGGGGAGGGGGGGGCGAGATGCAAAAAAAGAAGCTTGACATAGCTCCCACAAGTGGTGTGGCATGCATATCCGAGTGAGAGTTTTGGATTTGGAATTTCAAGACTACTGCATACTTGGGTTTTTGTTTTGTCACCAATCGTGCTACACATACATACACACACACGCACATTGGCTTGCGCTTGCTCACCAAATATGGCCATCATACGTATTTTACAACATGTCCGTATTACGCTGAGTTCTGTGTACATAGGTATATTACCTGTCTGAGGTGGTGGATGAGAGTTGCGAGCTGTGTCGTGTCCGGAGTTAGCCGCCACCTCGTCGGCAGTGAACCCGTGCTCCGTGACTGCCTCCAGGTCGCACCCCGCAGAGCAGAGGCACCTCACCAACTCAGAGTGGCCGTACTTGGCAGCCAGGTGGAGAGGAGTTGCTCCGTTCTGCGGTGTACGGAGCAGAGGGTGTGGAAATTATGCAAGTATTTATTTTTTGGCACGTTTAGGATACGATTTACATAATACATATGCCACGAGTATAGGAATGCCTTCAGGAAATATTTGAGGCAGACAAAGGATACCCATTTGCGAAGTGATTATGCCGCGGAGCAGAAATGGCTCCATGTCCACAAAGCATGATTATGGCACCTAAGGTAATATTCGCTACAGCACTGGATTTGATTACAAAATATTTGGTATGTTTCAACAGATATCATTCAAACCAAGTTTTCAAACTGTTGAAATTAAATAGTACCTGAAAAATGTGCCTCAAAATCCCAGCAATTCAACTAACGATAAACATTGAGGTATTGTCTTACATATGAGCACAGTGAAAGCGATCTAACAAACCAAACATGTGTAGACAAAGGCACAATATTAGTCCACTATGTATATAGATAGGTACATACAGCAATAATAGACATATATCTATCTATCAGGTATCGACTTAAGAGCCTTTTGTATAGACCTGGATTGGATTGCTATTTGAATGCACATTTCTATATACCACTTATTCCTTAATCTCTACGCAGGAAATGAAGTTGAGATCAGTGGGTGCTGTACATTAGCCGACGGAATTACGTCACCAAAAATTTCCCGCATACGTTAGAATGACATCATCCTCATATTTTGGACATTTATGACGATTTGCACTATATATATACTCACAGTGTTAGCCACGTTAAGATCACTGTTGGCGGCATAGAGCGTGTGGAACAGAGATAGTTGACCTTGTCTGCAGGCATCGTGCATCGCTGTGTCTCCATTCTGTAGGTAGGAGAGGGAGAGAGAGAGAGAGAGGGGGGGGATAGCTAGCAGCGTAGCAAAAAACAAAGAACATTCGAAAATCAGTGACCAAAAGGGATTTCGTGAATACATTACATGGACTCCTTCTTGTATGAATGGGACCTGCAGTCTTCCTAGCCTATTTACAACTTGAACCTTAGAACCACCTTCAAACACTTGCTCAATATGAGAAAGTATCTGTAAATGTCAAAGTTCTTCAACAGGGTCCAAGTGACTACAAAGCCATTTTCACAATTTCAATCTCAAAAGTCAAACTCCCGTTCCCCCAAAGGCCTACACTACAGCACGTACACAGTCTTGAAGGTTGACATTAACCCCTTTCTGACTGAGGTATTGGACTATGTCCAGGTTGTTCCTCCGCGTGGCCAGGTGGAGCGCAGAACTGCCATTCTACAGGTAGAGACAATTATTTAAATAAGAACATTATTGAGGGAGCTTTTGCGATTTTGTAGCACATCAGAATATCAAGGATTGCTTGTCCCACAGTATATACCAAATGTCCCCCGGCAGAAATATTCGATTAAAAAAGAAGGCGAAATTCATAAAGTTTTTTCACTAGAGATTTCCTGGATGATCATACATTGTCGGTGGCATTGAGGTTGACTCCGTTTTCGACAAGAAACTGGACGATGCCGTGGTTTCCCCTCACGGCCGCCACGTGGAGTGCCGTCTCTCCCTCGTGGTTGGCTAATTGCAGGAGACACCCCGCCCGGGCGAGGCACTCCACGACTCTCCTGTAGCCATGCCAACAGCCGCACAACAGGGGTGTGTCTCCATCCTGATGAAGAGAGAGAAACACGGAACTCTTTTTCACTGTGCCCTTTGTTCTGTTCTATCTTTAGTAACATTTCTAAATTTAGCCCTTATATACTGTCACATTGCCTTTACCCCTGAAGTAAGGACATCTCCCAAACATGAACACTTTTTTCTGTCCATTAGTGCTCTTAGAGAGGGGCTCTACTGTTGTATAATACAACGTCATTCGTCATAACCTTGTCCTGTATGTTGAGAGTGGCTCCAGAGTGACAGAGGAATGCCAGGACCTCCGGGTGGCCGTAGCGAGCACTCACATGTAGAGCCGTCTCCCCTGACTGGGGATTAATGGAGGGTGGCAGAGAGGGAGGAGGAGGAAGAATAGGGTAAGATAGTATCATGCCAAGACCCCATTCCAAAGAGAAGAAAGGGTCTGGTTGTTGATAATGAGCAATTTCTTGGTTGTGCACAAGTTTTAGGAAGGGGAGAGAAGTAGGTGTACATACAGGTGACGTGAAGGGAAGAGATGAGGGAGAAGGGGTGAGGGGTGAGGGGGAGAAGCTGACCTTGTCTTGGAGGTCCAGAGTAGCTCCTTGCTCATAGAGAAACTGGACCACATTGAGGTGGCCGTGCCGTGCTGCCCAGTACAGTGGACTGTCTCCTTGCTAGAGAGAGAGAGAGAGAGAGAGAGAGAGAGAGAGAGAGGGGGGGGGGCAGAACACACTTGAGCTCACGACGTCTTGTTGAGCTGTCAAAATACAAACTACCAGTGACTATCCGTAATAATAACTTAGCCAACTGTTTTCCTAAACAGCACTGAAAAGGGCAACAGTCTAAACATTGAAACTCATGAGAGTCTCAAGAAAATTTGTATGTTCTGCATGCACCTTGTACCAGCTGAGTTGCCCTGGTAGCTCAGTTGGTAGAGCGCTCGCCTAGACTGCAGAGTGTCGTGGGTTCGAATCCCACCCAGGGCAGCTCTTCTTTTCTTTGAAAAGAAAGAGCTGTCCTGGGTGTAGTTGACTTGGTTGCCTTGCCTTTCTATATACCTCGCTACCAAGTTGTTGAGACATGCATGCACGACTTGTTTGCCTTCTTTGCCTTTCTACCTCGCTACCAAGTTGTTGAGAGGTGCACACAGAATTATAGTATACCTTGTCTTGGAGGTCAATGGCTGCACCATACTTCAGTAGGAGTTTGACGATACTCAGTCGACCATAGCCTGCTGCTATATGCAGGGACGACTCTCCATGCTAGATATAAACAGAGCACAATACAGTAGTGAAGTGGATCCCACATCATACCTCAGTGCATGATGATATTATATCGAGTGGTATTGTTTTAGAAGTGATGTAATAACGCATCGGGGTAGTACTCTAAAGTCTAGCCTGTGCCAAAGGAGAAATGTAAGATGCACGTTCTTGGTCATGAGCAATACATTCACATTATATAGATTTCACGGCAATACGTCGTTACGACATTGATAGAAAGACAAGCGACAATTTGGCTCTTCTGCTTTTCAGGCCAAAGCTGCACACACACACACACACACACACACACACACACACTTAAGTGTAAGTTACTCTTTAGGAGGCGTATATCCTCTATCTTGCTGTAGCCACGTTGTTTGGACAAGCCCCAAGAGCAACGGAAGTGACATGCTCTTTGAGATAGGGAACAAACACAAACACAATGCAGCAAAACGGGTGCACTAAAAAGACACTACACAACTGATATACATAATAAGAGAAAACTCATTAAAATTCCCCAGGGGATCCACAATATTTTTTTCAGCTTTAGGAGTCGGAACAACTTATTTCTGGGGATTTATGAAACTGTTTTTATAGCTCATGGCCAAACTTTTTGGTTATAGCGCAAAAGAACCAAGTGAAGTCCCAAGATTTTCCCAAGCCGTGCGACTTTACACGTGGAATTGGAGTATATATACCCGACCTTGTTTGTTCCCACGATGGATATTTGGGGAGTCTGTGCTAGTCTGCGGACCTTCGCTAGGTCTCCTTCGTCTACTGCCGCTAACAACTGCTGCGTCAGAGAGAGAGACTCCTGATAGGGAGGGAAGAGGGGAGGAGAAAGGGAGGAGGGGAGGAGGAGAAAGGACAGAAGGGTGTGTGGAAGGGAGAGGGAGGGAGTGGTGACTCGCTCGAGTGGCTAATATCATTAGCCTACACACACACCCTCAAGCCCTCAAGCGGTGCAAGATGCTACCAAGCGGAAAGTATGGTGTACAGCCAATCTAACCATGCATGGAAACATAGCCTCAACACATCGTCATAGTCACAACATACATACTTATTAATTATTAGAGATCGTTAGGTATGTGTGAAAGACAGTCATCTATGCGTTATTGACGAACATCAGTAGCTCAAAATCGCACCCCCCCCCCACCCCCCCCACTTATCCCTAGTGGGAGGGAGGGGATTGCTATTAGATGTACATGACGCAAGGTATGCTCGTTTAGGTGCAAGGGGAGCAGAAGGAATGCGTGCTCTGGAATTGTCACCAGTTGACTCAGTCTCTCTGCAGAGGAGGTGTGTGGGGTAGCTTGCATATACATACATACATACACCAGGACTGTGAGCTCGGGAGGCAAGCATGTACATTGTATGTCAATTATTCAAAGACATCCCACTGTCTTAGTGAAGGGTTAAAGCCCACAGTTGTGCAGAACTCCACTCAACATCCACAAAAGTGTATTCTTTGCAGCACGAATATTACTATTTATGAGTTTCGTGCCTTGTAGAGGCTGTAGACATACATATGAATGTCTTAGAGAAAAGCACGTCTATCCAGGTTGTTTCTATCCTCAAGAACTCTCCAAGGAATTCAATAAAGAAGAAAATGGGTAGGGTTAGTTCTGTGGCAGGGTCGACAAAACAAAACACTTTACGCAAAACATACAGACAATATTAAGTATGCCTTTGTGTTTGGTAATTCTTGACTTTGTTTCTTCCACACCGTTATGTATGTACATATGACGACATTGTTTGGGTATGTACATGTATGTGTGTATGTACTGCAGCGTTTGCATGCTTTCACAGAAAGAAACGCGGGGAAAGATTCCATGCTAGCTGGGCAATAAATCAATTTTTACCAGTAATGGCAACAAATTACGTGGAATTGTTTCCCCATCGGCTGTGGTATTTGTGGGACCAGGCTTTCTAATTCCTCACATGATTATTTGACATGCTGGCATGCAATAATTAGGGCCGCCCTGGGCCAGAGCAGCTGTAGACATTCACGGACCAGAAACATACCGTGCTGCAACAAAATTGCACGCACAAATCTCTAGAGAAGCTATGGTGCACTGATTGCTGTGGCTTTTTACTATATATATACTATCAAGGATTGACCCACTAGTTGTGTTGAACTAGACACGACGACATTCATACACACAGACAACTATTCACTCGTGCAGGCTCTTATGCATGCTGGCAGCATAGAAGGCTAGCTACCTTATCCTTTTCTCCAGAATCAACGGCCATCACACGCACTCTCGGGCCTCAGTACACCACCTCGTGCAACGTTCAGCTCGTCTCTGCCGGGGCTCGATCCCCGCGCCGCAAAGCCTAAAACATACACAGAGAGAACGATCTAGCCGGTCTTTCGCTCGCAAATGACTAGCTACTATACCTCGCTCAGAGCAGTGGTTTTTACTGTGTGGGCATCTCTCGTCTGGAGTCTGCACCTCCGTTTCTCTGCCTCTAAGCTGCTGCTATACACTGCTACGGTGCCATATAAACTATGTACGCAACGCGACTGGGGTGACATTTTAAATTTGGAGGTGTGGTCCTCCAAATACCAGTTGAGGTTGAAAGGTCAAACATTAAAGCTCTGAACTCAACTCATAGTCATACAAACACGCACAGAATAACACAGATTCAGGGTGGATTACATATGCTTGGCAGAAAAATCCAAAAGGGCGGCGGAAAAACGGCAAGTGACCTGGTCTAGGATTAGGAAGAGCTGGAACTGAACCCGAAGCCCAGCCCACTGCCCTTTGCCAGGTGAGTCATGTAGCGAGACGCCTCGTACTGCTGCTCCAAGTCCCTCCGAAGTTTCTCATGCTTTTCCTTCATCTCATTCTGTCCCGACGGTGGTGACTCAGTCGGTTGAGAAGTCGACGAAGACGCCCCCTTACCGATCCCCATGAGTCGCCTGAACTTTGCCTGAGCCTCGCTGTTGCCTTCTCCTTCCTCCCCAAGCGATACCCCCTCCCACTGACTAGGACTAGACACCTTCTTGTTCCACACCAGTTTCTTCTTTTGCGGGAGAATCGGCGCCTTCAACAGTGGGTTGTTGGACACCGCTACCGTGGAAGGAGTCGCAGAGAGCGTGGAAACTAACGGTTGAGGCATTTTGTTCCTCACGGCCTGTGCTGCAGCTAGCGCTCGCTCTAGCTTTGCTTCTGGAGTCAGTTTCTCTGCGTTTGGGTCGGGTTCTCTGTGGACAAGAGGCAGTGCAAAGAGAGGGTGCGGGGATTGTGACGAGTCCTTGTTCCCAGGTGCGATCGGTGTGGAGGACACCACAGGAGTGGACATTCGGTCCCTCGCTTTGTAGTAGCCCCCGCGGCCTCTGTACCCTCTACTCCCCCGCAACGAAGAGTGCCGCCCGCGATGATGCTGGTTGTCCCAGGATTTTTTCCAGTACCCTGACGTCGCCGGTGGTGAGTGAGATCTTGAACGTGACCTCCTGGAATGCTCCCTCGTGTGTCGAGAAGGGGGAGATCTTGATCTAGAGCGAGAGTGAGACCTCCGCGACCCGTGCTCTCGCCTTCGCTGAGACGACGAAGAAGACAATGAAACTGCCGGCGACTTGGAGCGAGATCTCTTCGAGTGTGTCCTCCTACTGCTGTGACCTGGTGGCGAACCCGACCTGGATCTAGAGCAAGATCTCCTATTGGAGCCCGCCACCTCCTCTTGAGGCGATCTGGACCTTGATCTACCCGCATGCCGTCGCCTACTGGAAGAAGTGGCTGGAGGTGATTTAGACTGCGAGTGAGATTGTCTTGAGTGTCTCCTCGAGTGTGAGGAGGAAGAGGAGTCAGAGTGTTTTCTGTGGCGGCCGTGGGTCTTGTGGTGATGCGAGGAACCCTCTGCGTACTTTGTTCTGCTGTGCCGGGAGGTGCTATAGGTCGCGGTGGGGTCAGATTCGTCGTGGTGATGCACGCGGTCGCCACGTGGTGATGATTCTCTCCTTCCCTGGGACTCGTCTCGCCTACTGGGCTCAGGAGAAGGCGATCTGGAAGACATGTCTTTCGAGATAAAGTCTGGAAAGAGTCAACGGTATTCTTGGACTTCCGACACTCGTAGATGAATCCTTCGTCAAAGGGTTGCTGGTGCTGTCAGTAGGTTCTTCAGTTGTTGGTGAGACAGTCAGGAAAACATCAAGAAGCGCGCGGAAACAAAACCAAGTGGGCGTGGCTTCAAACGGCATGGAGAGCACACACAGTGCGCATGCGCAAAACGATTGCACCGTCAGTTTTAAATGAGCAAAACCTATGCCATACGGATATAGTTCGAGAGGGACATGATAGTTTCATCTAGCTGCAGTTCACCTGCTTCAAGCCTGTATAAACCACAGATCAAACAATCAGAGTAAAACGGCACTATATATGATGCAACGAACTTCTGTATCGTTTTCTTGACTTGCTCAGCAGTTGTCTTCTCATCTGGTGTGAGTATTTCCTCAATTTCCTCCTCCTCCACCTCTCCTCTTCCCTTCAACTGGGCCATCTGCTCCTGGTACTGTGCATACTTCTCCAGCAATCGCCTGCAGTATAAAACTGTGACTCAAAAAACTAAGATATTCAACATACAGTTCTCCCTCCATCAGTTGTCTTGCACAGTATATGAAAAGCTAAAAAAAGGGATCAGTAACTTACTTGTGTGTCTTCATTTCAAACATTCTGCGAGAAACTATGTTTCCTAGTGCCTTCAAGAGTAGGAAAAAGCGTATATATCACAGGGATGAAAGTTTTTTAAAAATCAGAGGGTCACCTGGTAAGTTCTCTCCAGAAGCAGTCGAGCTACACTGGGGAGGTTGACGGAGAACAAATAGAACGTTCTGGAAGGTGCATAGTCCATAGTACGAGGTATCTCCTGCAAGATAAATGTATATAGCACAGGATTTTTATATGGTAAACTTTGCAGTGTGAAAAATTTCATGATTGGACAACAAGTAAGATTTTGCTGATGTACAGTCGTACTGTACCGTATAAAGGCCCCCTACCCACAAAACAGTTACGAGAAAACTCCCTAATACCACGAAATTTGCAAAAGCCTCTAAAGTATCCCGCTTTATATACATTCTAGAGAGCCGACCTGTAGAGAGATGAAGTTCTCGGCCAGGAGTGAGTAGAGGAGCTCCCGGGCCTCCTTGCTGGGGATCATGGCCATGTCCACCACCTGCTTCTGCTCCAGAACCCTCTTCACGAGGAGGAGTCTGAACACTCGAAGACACTTGGAGCTAAACCTCTCTCTCACTATCCCCTCCACTGTCGCCTGGCACAGTCCCTGGGCACACTGCTGGTAGTCTGTGTGGAGAAAATAACAGGAGGAGATACTATATAGCATATGCAGCTGCACTGGCTCCTAAATCTTGTTGTCAAAAGAGAGCTATATATAATTAATTTCTAGTTGCCAATCTGTAAAGGAAAATTCTCTGGAGGACAAATTTGCAAAACAGAAGTACAATGCATTATAATACTGATGATCTACAACTTGCCAACTGCGTAGCCTCCTCCACCACTATCATCCTCTTTAGAGAGAAAATGAGCCTACAATATACGAAATAGTCAAGGTATTCTTGCACAAGATAGTTACGTATGGATATATATATATACCTGGTCATCAGTAAGAGCCTTTAGATAGTGTTCCAGGTCCATCTCTGACAGTTTGGGCTTGTCTGGTAGATATTCTGCCATCCTACCTTTGTACAACTGACAAAGATAGATGAACAAAATAGTTTGTGAATGTCGTTGTGAAAGTATCCAAATGCCTTACACATGACATGCCTGGCAACCAGAGTTGTAAAAATGCTAAAGAGTTGGTTTTGAGTAACTCGTTAAGGCTTTAGTTATACAGTATGAAATAGCTACAGTAACAGAGAGAAACTATACTCACAGTGGGGCTGGATTTTGTCTGCAGGGACTTGTCCTGAGAGAGGTTAATGGCCATTCGCAGGAGGGACCTCATCACACACGCGGCAGTCTCATCCACTCTCTCTCTCACTGCAGAAACTATGGCCTGCATGGGTACATACAAATGTATGAGCATAATACTGGAGAATATAATACTTAGTGTATTACTTTGTCTTGAAAGTGCTGATGGAAATTGTCAAAGTTGACACTCCAAAACACCCCATCATCCACTGGCTATATAATAATAATATGGTGGTCAGTATAGTCACAATCATGGGGAAATTCTAAGTATTTTTACACACCTTTTCTTCTCCTTCTCCAGTGTTCCTTGAATACATTAGTAGACAGATATAAGCATCGATAGTATGTAGCACTAAGCATTACTTCTTAGCTCGTTTAGACGAAGGCTGATTACCGGGGTCTTCCTCATCTCTTTTCCGTTTATTACCCGTATACTTAATGGCTGAGAATCGATAGAAACTCTCATTATCACATAAAGATAACTTACCTAACAATTTCTCCACTTACCAGTTAGCGATGATGGTAGTTCAAATTTTCCGAATATCGGCGTTCTCGCGCTATCCCCACTGTTCACTTGTCCCAGAGCTGACTCGGTCGAAGGTGGCTTCACACGAGTGAGGTACTGGCCCTCGACCATCCCCACAAACTTTGTCTTGACGACTTTGGACACTTCGGCCGGGGCAGCCCCTAGCGTTACCTCCAATCTCTCTGCCACTCTATTGATGCACTAGACAGGACAAAATTTAAAAAAAACAGTAGTTAATCCCATTGAACAATAATGTGTTCTGAGTTTGATATCTATTGTAATTTTTATGTGATGTGTTCACATTTTCATGCTTTAGAAACCTTTCGTTTACAAAGTCTATATGATAAGAACTTATACAGCTGTGTGAAATGTCCCCACTTGGCTCATGAGAGTACGTCCCTGATGAAGAATGTATTCACATATCAGTTCTCCGATCTGTCCGTACAGTTCCCGGGACGCCAGGATGTACCTCGGGAATCTTCCACGCAGCTGGACGCTCTCTACACTGACACTGTAGAGAACATACTTTCCAGAGCTGTGAGGCTCAAAGAGGGCCAGTTGATGCTGGATCAGTACCACCAGGCACTTCTTGACCTTTAGAGTACTGCAGTGTAATGACACGCAGGCAGTCAGAAACGGACATCACCTTGTTGATTTGCAACCCGGTGCCTTTGCTTATTTCCCCCAAGTTTGATCCTCCATTTTTCAGGAGGTAGGTTCCTACTGCCTCCACTTGGTCCCCGAATGCTTCCTCCAGAAGCAGAGACGCTAGCCTGACTTGCTGCTTGGACATATCGTACACTTCCGCATACTTCCGTAAAAGCCAGTATTTAGTCCGTAATTTCCAGTAAATTATGTGTTTAACCCCAACCGTACGTAATATTTGCTCCATGTGAGGTGCAGTGGAGAGAAGAGAAACTGCAGTAGAATGCTTCGGTTTTCCTTGCCGTGGCTACGTTCAGCTACACTAAGAACTGAATGCTACAGTCTGAAATGTAGGAATCTCCACACGACAGGTCCAGGAGGGCCTTCCAACTCTTCTGATAACAGATTTCTTGGCAGTCGCTTTGATTGTGCAGGGAGAGCTTGGAATATGCCCTCAAGATTGAGAAGGTAAATATTATTATCTAAGGATGTAGTATTTCGAGTTTGTACGTCCGTGTATTTGTAGTCCTTGTGTATAGTGCAGTTATGTAAGAGTGTGCTTTATCAAGTTTCTAGCTACATTAGCTATCGCTAGACTATGTGTCTTTCTGTGTTTGGAAATATTCTCCATTCGATAGTTTCCTCCGGAACCCGTTGACTCTGTTCTGGCGGACGTATGCACGCTACGGAATGGAATATCAACCCAGTAATCTGAAGAGAAAGAGACGCCATGGATTCAAGTACAGAATGAGCACTGCCAGTGGTAGAAATATACTAGCCAGAAGAAGACTAAAAGGAAGAAAATTTCTCTCTCATTGAACTTTCCCACTTGTGCACGTATTCATCGATGATTGTTCAGTATTTACGGTATTCCAAATTAACGAAGAAATATTGCATCACTTCTTTCACAACAACAAAGGCTAAAGAGAGCGTCTTGACGAACGTGGTGTGGTCGCTGGAAAGCTGCGCCTTTATCAGAAGTAGCCAGGTAAGTAAGCTAACTCATATTCCTTTCGTTCAGTCGTTAGATCTTCCGTGTGTTGTTTCACTGTATGATGTCCAGTACTGATATCCCCGCGGTCATTGACCGAGCAACATAATGACACGTAAGTTTCGAACTAGCTGCTGCTACTCAGGAGAGAGATCGGTAGACTCATGACGGGTCTGACTGTCTCAACCAGGTGGAAACCAGAGAGAACTTGCCAGGGAGAAGAATGCCAAGAAACAAGCTGCTGTGAAGGCCAAGGGTGCAGGAGATCAGTCGGGGAGCAAAGGAGCGTCACTGGAGCAGCGTAAACACAGGTAGCTATGTAGGCTAAAAGGATGCTGTGGGATGTCAGGAAATCAAAGCTTTGATCCGTAATCAAAGCTATTGTGGATTGTTGGATGCTCCCCTCACACAGTGCCTATGCTTGCATGTTCTACATTACATCTGTACTACATGGGATTTATAGTACATGAACAGATTGTGTGTGTGTGTCATTCAGAGATGCAGAAATCATGAGAGAGAAACAGAAGAAAGCGGCAGACGCCAAAAAATGACCAAGAAGAATGAAAATCCCCATGACAGTGCTGAACAACCACTATGCAAATGCTGCTGTGCATATGACTCCTGCTTTCCAATATGTGTTGTATGTATGTATTTGTGTGCAAGAAAATGATGCTGTTTTTGTAATTGTCCCTTCTTATAATACCCCCTGCAATTCAGGATATTACGCGGCGGATGTTATCGTCGTTCCAATTGATGCGCACCAGAATATCGGCCGTTGCTGTACGTGCAGAGTCGTGAGACGCTTTCCTGACGCTGATTTGGTTATCCAGAGGTCTATACTGTGAGAGGTAACCCTTTATATAGCCTATGTAATGTGTATGTTCTCGTGAAGCGACTTCAAATAGAGCGCACTCTACCGTTGACGTAGGAACACGTTCCATCTGCCATCCTCCAATTTTAGTGTTTGAAGGGTAGGTTCTGTGTTTGTCTTCCACACAGGCACAGAAATGCTTCATCTGTGTCAGAGTGTCCGAACAGCCCACTCGGCTGGTGTGACTCTTGCCCCGATCCTCTCTCCGGCCTGCCAGAAACTCCTCCCCCTCCTCCCACCTCTCCCCTCTTCCCCTGACACCCGCCGGCACAGTCTCTCTCCCCACCCCTCCCTCCTCCTTCATCACCGCTCGTTAACAACAGGGTCATGGAGACGAGGGGGGACGACAACAGCCGGAGGGGAAGGGGACAAGGGAGGGGGGAGGGGGAGAAAAGGAGGAAGTTCTGCATGCCCACAGTGTGGGGAAACCTTCAAGACCATCAGCTCAGTCAGAAGTAAGTTTAGACTGCAGTTCATTGGGAAAACCTTTAATCTTTGACACCAGTGGACAACCCAGAACAAAGTGTTCTATATAAGGCATACATACATATTATCCTAGTGAGGTGCGCTTACTTCAGAATTTATCTGCATGCAACAGAGGTGTACATTTCAGGGAGGTGTCCTCATCTGAAGCACATGTTTTCGTGGAGGTTTGGCTCCTTAGACTTTTTTTGAAGGAAACACTCTGCCCCTGTTGTTGTATCTCATTCGGTTCCCCGCCACAACTATGCTTCAATTAGCAGGTTATAAATCTCTCTGCATGGGTTACTACATACATACTTCGTGAACGATGCAATTGTGTGTGATCTGTAATATGTAACATGGTTTTGGCAGCTCTGACGAGGTTTGTGGAATGCGAGAAATGTCGTCGATTCTTTCTCTTCACGCCTCCCGGGGAGCAGACCAGGTCTCAGACTACACCTCCTGAGCACAAGAACATACCCACTCCACGACAGGTCGAAATCACACACACACACACACACACACGTGTTTGTGTTTGGTCACTTTCCTTTCTCCCCCTTTCCCTCCCTTTCTCCTCAATCACCCCCAACAAACACACACACACACACACACACTCTAATACTTTTGAGGGGAAAAACTAATGTACAACGGAACTCCATTGATCCGGCACCAATGGGACTGAAGAAATTACCCGGATTAGTCTATTAGTGAGGTGTCCTTTGCTCAAGAGCACGTACAGTTGCCTACAAGAAACTCTTCACGAGGACTACTAAATTTGCCAAAAAACAACTGTGCTTCGTTGAAGTTTCCATCTACATGTTTGTATATTATACCTCTAGTTCTAACCCCTAACCATCTATTTCTCGCACTCTTTCCCCATCTCCACAGATATTTGAGTTCCTCGACAGCTTCGTGGTGGGTCAGGAGCATGCCAAGAAGGTCCTCTCCGTGGCAACCTACAACCACTACAAACGGCTCTCCACTAACCTGCCCCCCGTCGAGGAGGAGGGAGGGAACGGAGGAGTCATTGAATCCATGAATATCCCTCCCGCTGTCCTGGACCCCTCAGTTTATCTGAAGGGTTTGCCTCTCCCTCAACTGCCGATGGTGTTGGAGGAGAGAGAGAGGGGCCGCCACGAGGAGAGGGAGAAGGGAGAGGGAGGCTCTCTACCACTGGTCCGGGGGGACGGAATTCGTCTGGAGAAGAGCAACATTCTCATTCTCGGTCCGACCGGCTCAGGCACGTGCGCATAAACTAGCCACAGCAGCTTCTTCATTGCTGTAAGCATAACGTGCATTATACCTGCTGTGCATTATACACACACGCACAACAATCACTGTCGCGGCGAGCAAATTTCGCAGATTTTACACTTTTTTTGTGGATATTGCAGTTGTATGTATATATGCCTATCTTACTCGGTATGTATTAACACATCGGGTAACAATGGAAAGCCCACACGCTGCATCATCTATAGTAGTATGTGGATGCATGCTGTTCCACTGATGCTTGGTACATTCACCTCTGCTTGCTTAGACAGTAATGTGTGGCAGAGTGTTGATGTAAATAGACCCCATCGTGTGGTATATACAGGGAAGACGCTGTTGGCCCAGAGCCTGGCACAGTGTCTGGATGTCCCGATGGTAATATGTGACTGCACCACTCTCACCCAGGCAGGCTACGTGGGAGACGACATTGACTCTGTCATCAGCAAACTACTCCACGTGAGTCCCTCCTTGGTCACCCTCCCTCTTTTGGACATGTAGTACGGTGGAACCCCTGTAATCCAGACACCAATGGGAGAGAGGAAAATGTTCCATATTAATGAAGAGTTAAAATTGGCGACGTGAAACTATTAATGGTGTCCTTATTAGTGAATGTCAGGGGTTTCAGTAGGTTCATTGGGGTTCTCACCGTGAGTGTGTGTGTTGACCAAATGTGGTATACGCATTGTTTGTTTGTAAATCTGGCGTCTCTATTTATCCCAGGAAGCCAATTTTGATATCAACAAAGCTCAGAGAGGTACGTATGCATGAATCAATCGACGTATGTATACACATTTTGTTCTGGGTGCCATCTTAACACACATGATGAAAAGTTTCGGTACACTCAATCAGTTGTGTGTGTGTGTGTGTTTCCCCAGGGATAGTGTTTCTGGACGAGGTGGACAAGATCAGCTGTGTGCCCGGGTTCCATCATCTGAGGGACGTGGGTGGAGAGGGAGTCCAGCAAGGCCTCCTCAAGATCCTAGAGGGCACCATCGTACAGGTCCCTGGTATGTGCTAACTTACGTATTATGTCAGGTTTACTAGTTTCAAGATCCTAGAGGGCACCATCGTACAGGTCCCTGGTATGTGCTAACTTACGTATTATGTCAGGTTTACTAGTTTCAAGATCCTAGAGTGCACCATCGTACAGGTCCCTGGTATGTGCTAACTTACGTATTATGTCAGGTTTACTAGTTTCAAGATCCTAGAGGGCACCATCGTACAGGTCCCTGGTATGTGCTATAACTTACGTATTATGTCAGGTTTACTAGTTTCAAGATCCTAGAGTGCACCATCGTACAGGTCCCTGGTATGTGCTATAACTTACGTATTATGTCAGGTTTACTAGTTTCAAGATCCTAGAGGGCACCATCGTACAGGTCCCTGGTATGTGCTAACTTACGTATTATGTCAGGTTTACTAGTTTCAAGATCCTAGAGTGCACCATCGTACAGGTCCCTGGTATGTGCTAACTTACGTATTATGTCAGGTTTACTAGTTTCAAGATCCTAGAGGGCACCATCGTACAGGTCCCTGGTATGTGCTAACTTACGTATTATGTCAGGTTTACTAGTTTCAAGATCCTAGAGGGCACCATCGTACAGGTCCCTGGTATGTGCTAACTTACGTATTATGTCAGGTTTACTAGTTTCAAGATCCTAGAGTGCACCATCGTACAGGTCCCTGGTATGTGCTAACTTACGTATTATGTCAGGTTTACTAGTTTCAAGATCCTAGAGGGCACCATCGTACAGGTCCCTGGTATGTGCTATAACTTACGTATTATGTCAGGTTTACTAGTTTCAAGATCCTAGAGGGCACCATCGTACAGGTTCCTGGTATGTGCTAACTTACGTATTATGTCAGGTTTACTAGTTTCAAGATCCTAGAGGGCACCATCGTACAGGTCCCTGGTATGTGCTATAACTTACGTATTATGTCAGGTTTACTAGTGGTTACTGGAATGAAGATGCAATCGGTGAGCAAAATACGAGTGTAAAATTTCAGTGGTTTGATACAGATGTGCAGTGGTAAAAGCATAATAGAAAAGTCACACGGTGTAGATGACTACGTATGTAGCTTTGCTCGTAATTTAGTCGTCTCGTTTTTAGTTGTGATGTCATTTTTCTTTACTCTTGTCATGTTGGACTGTGTAGAGAGGTCGCGGAAGGTCAAGGGTGAAATGGTTGCCGTGGACACCACCAATATCCTGTTCATCTCCTCAGGGGCCTTCAATGGCCTCGACAAGATCATCGGGAAGAGGAAGAATGAGAAGGCAAGTTACACACCATTAATAAGAACCTCGAAGCATAGTGTAATACACTATATTTAACTCACCTGACTGCTTACTTTTCCATTTTTGTATTCCAGGTAATAGGATTCAATACCCCAGGCTCCTCCTCCGGAGTAGCTTTACCCCGCCCTGGCACCTCTACCCCAGGCCGCCCCACCCATCCATCCATCCTGGGGTACCCCGTCTCCTCCGGGGGCACCCCGACACCCCGAGACCTTTCGGAGGACGAGCACACGGACAGTCTCCTACGCTGCGTGGAGGCGAGGGATCTCATGAGCTACGGGATGATCCCCGAGTTTGTGGGGAGGTTCCCTGTCGTTGTGACTCTTAATCACCTCAATGTCGAGAGTCTAGTGAGCATTCTGACGAAGCCAAAGAATGCCCTCATCCCGCAGTTCAAGTCTCTCTTCCACATGGATCAGGTGTGCGATCTTTACCTTTCTGTTTGTGTTCGTACATACATGCATGTATCTAGCTGTCAATCCCCTACCTCGCTCCTAAATCCATCCATCCTTGCATATCATTACGTGCTATACAGTAGTGCAGTTTCCTAAAGTGTTGTGTGTGCGTGTGCCTCGTTCTGTATCATGTACAGGTTGACCTGCAGTTCTCATCGGAGGCTCTGTGTGCAGTGGCAGAGCGGGCCATGGAGCAGAAGACTGGGGCTAGAGGACTCAGATCAATAGTGGTATACATACACATACATATGTACATGCATTCACATACATAAACTGTCCTCTGGTTCAACATGTAGAGTGCATACTGAACTAAAAGGAAACTTTGGAGCGAAAAAACCCAAAAAAATTTACCCCAAAATATTTTGGGGTATATAGGAAACACAGTTGCTGATTAGCTCACTACTGTTTAGTGAAAGTCAAAAATCTCAATACTGTGGAAGAAGTGACAATATGCATGTGATATGTACACATGTAAACTACATATCACTTGACTGAGCTCAGATGTGTGTGTGTGTGTGTGTGTGTGCAGAGCCAAAGTCCCTAAGCTGATTTAAGTAGCAAACTGTGATGTCACATGTTTTACTACTGTTGCTGGTTACGTACACTTCCAGCCAACACCCTAACAAACGCATACACCCATAACAAGAGTGCCAAATGGGCATATAGAGCTGCATGCCTGACAACTTTACTATTATATTGTACCTGAAACAATATTCATGTCGAAAGGCTATGCGGTCGGTGCCTCTCAATTTTGACTCTGTTGGCCATTTGTGTGGTTTGATATCTCCTGTATATATATATACACGTTCTGGCGCTCGATAATAATAATAATACTGAGCCATCGAAGCAACAGACCCTCCTGAGCTAGAATAATTCCCCCATTGTACAATTATACCCTAATCTGTGACGACGTGAAAGTAAAACATTGTGACCTTGGAATTTGACTCTGTTGGCCATTTGTGAGGTTTGCTGTTTATAATTATCTCACGATGAGGAAAATGAATTTTTGGTAGTATTTTGTAGTTCTTTGCAATGCCACCCATGATTGATTAGGCAGCACTACTCTAAGGTGATGGAATAATCCCCCGTTGTTACATAACAGGGTAGAAGCTCTAAATTTGATGCTCAACTTGTGTTTCTATTGCATTACCCAAATGTTATCGTTTCGTGTCTCACTTGTAATAGCTTCTGTTGTTAAGTATTTCCTTTTCCGGCTGCAGGAGCAACTCTTATTAGAGCCCATGTTTGAAGTGCCCGGGTCGGACATCGCTCAAGTGCTGGTTGAAGAGGACACCGCGAGGGGGTATCACCCTGCTCGTTATCAGTACAAGGACTCGTCGGGTGATAGCAGGGAAGAAGAGAGCAAGGCAGATCAGTTGGACGTAGTAACGGAACACAATACAACAGACACGTCTTCAGAAATCAAAACATCAGTCTTATAGTGTAATTACCGTGTGTTATTTAATGTTACACATAATTATTATTCTTCTAATGCAGCTCATTTTCAAACACTATTAATTATTGTGCAATGTGTACTTTGTGTATGTTAATAACACCCACCACTTTCTATAAGTTTATTGTATGTGTGTATTCTCTTAACAAGGTCAAAAGTCTCAAAAATATTTTTCCCTTGGCAGTAGCATTCAAGTCATAAGTCTTGGGAAGAAAATAATAATTATTAATAGTGGTGAGGAACTCAAAATGGGCAAAATGATGGTGACTGTGTGGTGGAGGCGTGGCTTAGTAGTGAGGCAATCATTACATCATTGGTGCCACGCAGTTTCCTGTTTGTTGGCAGTGGAATGTGTAGGTTGGGGTTAATTTACCAACTGGCAAATATTTACAATCACACAGCACTGGCTCATCTCAAAGGAAGTCGTAAGCCTTTTACGGAGCACTTTGGCTGCGTTGGCAGTGAATTCCTACCTCCACTGGCCAAATGACAACATTTGGCTTACACAACGCATAAAAGCAGGCCTTGCAGGCTGCCAGCAACTACTAAAGCTGCATTGAAGCAACCACCAAACCTATAGCAAGAAAGAAACTTCTTATCGTCATGAAAGCACTTTTCCAACTGTCTGTTCTGTTGGTTGGACTCGTAAGTGAATCTAAAATAATTATTGCTGCTAGAGATTATGTTACTTTTGTTCCCAGGTCTACAGCACAAATGCCCTACTTAGAATAGAAGTTGAGTTGGTGTCATACAATAACCCTACCAGTGAAGAATGCGACGGAGGAAACTGCGAAGGTGTCTTTGGGACATGCGACAACCACTTCTCGTTCTGTGTGCGGGAAGTCGGAACCTCCCTCTGTTTGGTGACTCTCTCGAGCATCAACGACATTGAAGACGACTCACTCACATTCAGCATATCGGAACTCGATGAACTTGGCCTCAGCAACCCACTGAGGTTCAATAGTGTCCGCACCACTGTGAGTGTCATATTATCGCAGCATATCTTGGGTCTTTTTCAACAAACATTGTTTCACAGGCAAATTTGCATGCAAGATGACCCAACTTCTTTATCTTTTTGCTTGAGACTTTCGTCTCATGAAAAAAGTTAGCGGGTGTTGGAAGTTTCTAGTCATATTTCATGCACGTTGACGTGAACTATGTGTGTCTGTCTTGATGCAGAATCTCTTGGAAATCTTTGTGGAAATCACGGACATAGATACATTATTCGACGATCGAGTGGACAGGATCACAATCCCGATCCCTGCGGAACTGAGGGCAGACGGACAGCAGACTCCAGTGAGGACTTACACTGGGGAGTGCGGGAGAGCCAATTTGGAGCTCCGTTTCAGCATCACCTCTGAGTGCCCTTCCAATAGATACGGTCCACTGTGCACCACAGAGTGTGTGGATACCGGTGGACAGAGGTTCTGCAACTATCTAGGAGCAGCTACTTGCCTGGGTAACTTCCAGCCACCAACATGCGCCACGTGCATAACTGGGTTTCAAGGTGCTAACTGTGACGTGTGTGCTCCAAACTATTACCCGGAAGGAACTTGTACAAAACTCTGTGTTCCCAGGAATGATCCAACGGGCCACTTTACTTGCAATGCTGATGGGGACATTGTTTGCCTTCCAGGCTATGAAGGCACTGGCAATGATTGCGTAATGTGCATTGGAAACTTCCGGGAGCCCGACTGTGTTGGTTGTGATGCTAGGTTCCAAGGAGCAAACTGTGATATGTGCGCTGAAAACTACTACCCTTCGGGCATTTGTACTAAGTTCTGCACGCCAAGAGATGATTCCCTGGGGCACTTTACTTGCAATGCTGATGGGGGTATTGTCTGCCTTCCCAGCTATGAAGACACAAGTACCAACTGTGTAACATGCATAGGCAACTTCCGAGAGCCCGACTGTGTTAGTTGTGATGCTAGGTTCCAAGGAGCGAACTGTGATACGTGCGCTGAAAACTACTATCCTCAAGGCATTTGCACCAAGTTCTGCATGTCGAGAAATGATTCCCTGGGGCACTACACTTGCAATGGTGATGGGGACATTGTCTGTCTTCCCGGCTATGAAGACACAAGTACCAACTGTGTTACGTGTGTAGGAAACCGCAAGGAACCAGACTGTGCAGCGTGCGATGACAACTTTCAACTGCCTACCTGTACAACATGTACTCCCAAGTACACCGGTACCAGTTGCAATGAATGTGCAGGCAACTACAGGGAGCCAGACTGCATCGAGTGTGATGAAAACTTTACTGGGACAAACTGCCGCAGCTTGTACACCAAACTACTTCCCTCCCGGCGAGTGCTTCTGTACACCTCGGGATGACTCCAGTGGCCACTATACCTGCGACCCAGTCACAGGGAGAGAGAATATGCCTCCAAGGATTCATGGATCCTGACACACTCTGCACCAGGCCAATAAGTACGCTAAGAGCCAAAAGAACAACCAGGCCAGAGATACCATACAGCACACCATACATAGTGTAAGTATCTATGATAGGGCTTTACCCTAGTGTGATTTTCTGTTTGTTCATCTTCCCACAAAGGTTCAGCAGCATCAGCATCATCTTCTGGTTCTGAGTTTGTAGGGTCTGCCTCTTTCATTGCCATCATTGCAGTGGTGATAGCGGTACCACTGGGTGCATTCCTTCTCATCCTCCTCATCCTCTGCTCCATGTGTCTACTGTCCAGTAAGGCGGACTGCTCCTGTCCAAAGATTGACTGCGAGGACTGCTGCAACAGCTTCTTCAAGGCGTTCAGCTGCGGCCTCAAGTGTGACGACCTGAACCCTATCGTTATTTGCCTGTTTGTGGTCCTCGGGATTCTCGCAGCTCCAGCCGTCATTATGATCGGCGCAGTCGTGATTCCAATCTTCCTCGTTGGGGCCTGTCTTATCTACGTTGTGACTCAAATGTGTGACTGAATTGACTGTTGATAATATAATGCATGCTGCCACACAATCTTTACTGTTTCTTTGTCTGTGTATTATGTATTGAGTTTTATCCTGCACAGCATATATACGTTAATCATTAAGTGTTATATTGACAAAGGTGCAAAGGAATGTCGGAAACGATGATTAACGGAACTCAAATATATTTATTGGGAGTCTCAGACATTTCCTCGTCTGAGATCATGCATTAGTATAATTATCCTCACACAACTCGATATATACCAGCATTCTAGTTGTCTATTTCAGTGTACAACAATGAGCCTCTACATTACACTTCTTGGAGCTGGAGCTTGATGTGATCCGATATCTGGTGAGAGAATATGCCTCGAAGGCTACAAAGACCCCTCGACCTACTGTGTCACAGTGCAATCAGGTAATGTGTACAGCTACTTCTGGCTGTCACACAAACCATATCATATAAGCCTGATGAACTGCTGTGTTGATGGAAATGTTTTTTTATTCCTGCAGAGAGTAGCTCAGAGTTTGTGGGATCTATCGGATTCTATGCGACGATAGGAGTTGGTGTACTGTGCACTGCAGTGCTGCTGGTGAGTATTATCTGCATAGGAGGTGCCGCTCTAATTCGAGCTCTACTGCCGAGCCCACTGCTGAGTCTCCCAGCAAGTCCACAGGTCCAAGCTATCCCATGGTTCATACTCCCACCGCCTTACACCTTTTCTGTATTAGATGTCTAGTCTCCTGAAAAGCTGCACTTACTCGTGCATACGCGTTCTTTATAAGTACGCATGCGCAGTCAATAAAACGTGCAAAAGTCGTGCGCGCGCGCGCGCGGGAGCTGACAGATTGACACTGAATCTTGTTAGCAATGTTTTTCGTCAGGATTCCAAACTTTCTGGGCTCTTCCTCCACCACTAGTACCAAAGCAATCAGTCATAACTTTACAGCAATGAACTTTCTCCATATCCATCTCCTCATCCTCGGAGCTGTAAGTTTTGTAACTACAACATATCCTGCATGAGTTTTTTTAGCTCCGGTAGTGTCTATAATGCAGGCCTACTGCACAGCCACGCTCACAGTGGACCTGGAGCTCATTTTCTACAACAACCCCACGCACGAGGACTGCGACGGAGGTCATGCGAGAGCTCCTCCACGGCAATGTGTGACAACAAGTTCGATTTCTGCGTGCGGGCTGCAGGGAACGACACCTGTCTGTCGCCAGTACTCAGAACCGACGACCTGGACAACGACGTAATCACATTTTCGGCAGACGACCTCAGTGTTCTGGGGATCAGCAACCCCGTCCAGTTCTCGAGCATATCCACAGATGTAAGCAGGGGATGTGGTGATGTGAGAACTGCTTTAGCTGATGATAAAATTTGGTATTATAAGCATGTAGGTATGTATAGGCCTTGGAAGCACACGAGATCTCTTTTAGATCCCATAATAAAGAATGGAGCTGGCCAAAAATGTATGGATCATCTCCTCTTGCAATGCAGGATCTGTTGGAATGGTTCGTGGATGTAACAGATGATGACGGTTCCCTGTGAACGATGACGAAGTGGATGAGATTATAATTCCACTAGGGGCCCACCTACAAGCCGACTCGGAGTTTGGTCCCAACGTCACCTACTACGGGACCTGTGGGAGAGCATACATTCAAGTCAGGACTAGAATCACCTCAGAGTGCCCCGCCAATCGATACGGACCTAACTGCACAAAGGTGTGTACAGAAGTTCCTGGACGAAAAGTGTGCAACTACATTGGTGACGCTAGTTGTCTGGGCAACTTCTATGGACCAGATTGCAGCGAATGCAAGGCCGGGTTCTATGGCTCAAGCTGCGATAGATTCTGCGAGCCAAAAGACAGCAATACTTCGGGTCACTACACCTGCGATGACCTTGGTTACATTGTGTGTCTTCCCGGGTTCACCACAACGCCACCAACTGTCTCACTTGTGCCGGGAACCTAATGGAGCCTGATTGCAGGGTGTGCCGCGATAATTACTACCCACAGGGAACTTGTGACACGTTCTGCAGGCCCATAAACGATGCATCTGGTCACTACAACTGCAGCAAACAGGGGGAATCAGTGTGTCTTGATGGATACGTGGACCCCAGTACCAACTGCACCACTTGTCGTGGGAAACCTCAAGGAGCCGGATTGTAACGAATGCGACGATCATTTCGAGGGGTCCGACTGCACATTCTGTGAACCAAACTACTACCCGAGAAACGACTGCAGCGTATTGTGCATCCCTCAAAACAACTCTGACGGGCACTACACGTGCGATCCATTCACTGGTAATAGAGTGTGTCTTGAAGGATACAGAGATCCCTCCAATGGCTGTGTAACTCCAGCCGAGGAGTCAGGTAAGCAAGCTTCATGCATCTCTTACCAGTCTCTCTCTAACTTACCAAATGCACTATTAGTTTATGTACTACATGCCTATCCCACCAGTAAAGCACCAATTACCACTATTGTGTGAATTGCTCCACACTTTGTCAGGCAGGCCAGCAAAATTCTCATATCAAATTCTCAAGCAAAGGTTGAAAGTTTTTGTGTTTATGTATGGTGTAAATGATAAGTTAATTTGGTAGCATGGCTGAAAGCTGCTTATGTATGTAGATGAGCGTAAGGTACTCAGCTAGCGGTATTATACTTTGCCTTTTCCATGCAGATAGCTCGACTATTGTGGGCTCAGTTGGATTCTATGTCGTGATAGCTCTGGGTGGACTGTTTGTGACCGTGGTCTTGATCACCATCACCATAGTACTTAGTCTCGGCAGGCAGAGGAGGTTGAAGTACTACTCCGGAGGACGGCGAGGAGACCCTGACACACAACCCATTGTCATGGAAGGGTTTCCACAAACCACCCGACGAATATCCCACTGATGATGTTGAGACTAAAGAGTGAACACATTTATTCCCAGCTACAACATAATGTAGGTTCAAGTAACTATCCTGTCAGTTATGTTTTGTAGTAGCTTGCATTCCACACAAACAAGTTAAATGTTTTACTTGGGCATTTTTTCCAATTACTGGATCACATGGTGCACTGTTATAATATGCATTACAATTAAGATGACAGTACTATTATATATACACATCACAACAGATTTGAGAAGCGAGAGTTTTGTTTTATGATGACAGTTAATAGTAGGGTCTTCTGGGATTATTCTACGACACAAAGAGTAAAAAACAATACCACTCATGCACGTCGTTAGAGTGTGAAATGAAAGGGGCTCACCAACGGGTTGGGTCTGAAACGATAGATCATTTTCTTGCGATACAAATCAAATTCGCTGTCCGATTTCTTGACTTGGGCCGGTTTGACTACTCCTAGCCCTGACTGGTCAAATGACTGCTTGCCCCTGGGTACATTGCATAATATTGCACAACCTCTAATCGCCAAATACTACATGTAAATACAATAAACTCAGCACTGCCTCATATATGCGCTATTGTTGGCGTGCTGCACGTATTTTTCCAAACTAATTTTTAATGTCATTGTCATGGAAGGATTTCCACAAACCACCGACGAATATCCCACTGATGATGTTGACTAAAGAGTGAACCACTATAGGTATTTTTCTGTCAGTAAAGACTTTTTTTGTAGAAACTATCTTTTCAGTTTATTTATGACATGTTTTGTAGTAGTTTGCACTGCACACAAATGCGTAAGTTAAATGTTTTACTTGGGTTGGTAATGGTTGCCTTGTTGCGACTTCTCGGTAGTGTTTGGGTGCGCGTCAACTAGAGTCGCGACGGGCGTCGACGCTACGCGACGAACGGGGGCGTTTCTGAGCGGAGTTTAGTGAGTCGGTCGCAGAGAGAGCGAGAGACGGAGACAGAATGCAGAGACAGAGACTTATTATCGTGCGTGTTGTTATTCGCTGCCTTGTCTTCGTCGCTACGCAGAGCCGTCGTATATGCGGACTGGATGGATTCAATCGGAACGACTTGCATTTGTAAGTCATTCAGTCGGCTAACTAGAAATTCAGCGGTAGCAATTGGCAAAGCTGCGTGTTTCTCCAACAGTTACTTTACTGAGATTTTATTCAACGAGCGAGAAGTGCTGGCCGGTAACCATGTAAACCTGGAAGACTCAGTTAGCTAAATATTCACGCAGCGATGGCTAGTTAGTATCCATGGGCATTGGTCATGTGCTCCAAGGGGGAGTGAGAATAATGCCATGTATGGATACAACCAGAATCAATAGAGCCTACTACAATATCCTTGCTTGCATAAGTCCTACACTGTGCTGATCTAATTGTAATGCCATCGCTACTGTCGGTTGATAGCTGCTCAGCAGTAATCATCTTTTTGTTTGAAGTGTGTGATTTTCCCCTCCACGCCCTGTATTTAGTAGTGGCCCATACTGGAGCTTCATCACTGCACCGGATCAGCAAACAAACGACTGCCTCTATGAAATGGACCCGATAACATCACCAGTTGCGTTGTGTACTCTTTTACTTTCGCTGTGTGCACGTCTCTGTCCCAGTAGCATCTGTGGCTCAGAAAATGGAAATGCGTCCTACTGCCAGGTGCGTTACTCACGCTAAAGATGGAACAATCTACGCTACAACGTTGCGTGAACTTACAGTCAAGAGTCACACAAATTCTCCAGACTTGGTATAGATGTCAAAATTACTTTGGCTTTCAGATGGATGTGGGAGGAGCATATCCTTGTGTCACGGCCTAGCTGTCTCTAAACGCCTGTGATTAATGCTCGGGGATTCTGTTGCCATCTTGTGCTTACTGTCTCAATTAATGCTGTTTGCATCTTGCAGCATGCACTCAACTCTAATCTTTTCATTCCCACTCCTGCTCTCCAACTCCAACACAGTCGATGGATTTTCCTCTGTTCGCTATGGATATAAGTAATGAACGACCGCGTTGTGCAAACAGAACTCTCGAAACTGTAACTATAACAATTTTGAATGTATGATCCTGAGGCAAGTTCTTTCACACACTCGCGAGTCCGACATCACCAAGTATCTCAGTCTATGAGATAATCCCCAATGCAGAATGCTTTGTGAGTTTTGTTGCCTGCTGTGCGACTCTTCCTGTACTTCTTAGCACACACCTTCCCACAAAATGTTACTATTGAGTTGTTAGCCTCCAACTTTTATAAACACTGCAGATTACGACCACTATTGGGTACTCTGGAGCTTGTTACCAGCAGCCAACACTGGCCCCTTCTCACTGCAGTCTCACTGGGTTTGACACCACTGCCATCTCTGAGTGAGTAGTGGAAGTAGTTGCATAGTAGCTAAATAGGTCTTTAGTTCCAACCAACTCTATTGACTCTTACAAATAAACACTATGATCTTGGTGTAAACTATATCAATGCCTACTCTTTACTGTGAAAATGATCTTGAGGTATAGATTATAATATCTATGCCTACTATAATATCTATGCCTACTATAATATCTATGCCTACTCTACTGCTTTACAAACACTATGATCTTGTTGGTGTATATACAACAGAAAAGACTATTTCTATGCTGATGTCCCTGACGGAATCTGCTACAATTTTGACGAAGGCGAACCGTGCATAATTCTGTTTGCCTTCTGCCACCCCTTGCCCCTGGACCTGTCTGACAACTGCCGCAACCCAGAGTCAGCCATCTGCCAGGCAGACAAGCTTGTTCATGCCACAAAGTCGTGGAGTATGGGGGCCTATGAGAACTACACCAGATTCTATAAGAGTAAGACTATATGACAGCCTGCGAAACTCAGCACTAAGTTTTTCTCTCCCACTACTCAGATGTTGATTTTGATCAGGTGGGATTCCATGTTACGTACTCGGATGGTTCCAATCCTGGAGACCCTGACTGCACTGCTGGAATACAGACACGAGTCATCTTTGTGTGTAATAAAGACGCACAGTGGATCAACCGTGATGTCACCTTTTACATTGAAGTCGACAAAGAGACTTGCTTTGTGAGTTAACCTTCTTGAGGGTAGTGATACTATGAGAATCTTGTCTTCTTTCTTTTTGCAGTTCAACATCGTAGCCCAGTACAGCGGAGCTTGCTACAAGGCACATTCTAACATTGTTGGTTGGACTGTCAATTGTCTTGATGAATACGTGGACCCCAGTACCAACTGCACCACTTGTAGGGGAAACCTCAAGGAGCCAGATTGTAACGAATGCGACGATCATTTTGAGGGGTCCGACTGCACATTCTGTGAACCAAACTACTACCCGAGAAACGACTGCAGCGTAATTTGCATTCCTCAAAATAACTCCGACGGGCACTACAAATGTGATCCATTCACTGGTAATAGAGTGTGTCTTGAAGGATACAGAGATCCCTCCAATGGCTGTGTAACTACAGCCGAGGAGTCAGGTAAGCAAGCTTCATGCATCTCTTACCAGTCCTTACCACCAACAATGCAGCTATTAGTTTATGTATCCCACCAGTAAAGCACCAATTACCAATCTTGTGTGAATTGCTCCAAACTTTGTCCGTGGACCAGCAAATTTTCATATCAAATTCTCAAGCAAAGGTTGAAAGTTTTTGTGTTTATGTATGGTAAATGTTGAGTTAATTCAGTAGCATGGCTGAAAGCTGCTTATGTATGTAGATGGCAGACACACGAAAGGTACGCAGCTAGCGGTATTATACTTTGCCTTTTCCATGCAGATAGCTCGACTATTGTGGGCTCAGTTGGATTCTATGTCGTGATAGCTCTGGGTGGACTGTTTGTGACCGTGATCTTGATCACCATCATCATAGTATTTAGTCTCAGCAGGCAGAGGAGGTTTAAGTACTACTCCGGAGGACGTCGAGGAGACCCTGACACACAACCCGTTGTCATGGAAGGATTTCCACAAACCACCGATGAATATCCCACTGATGATGTTAAGACAAAAGATTAAACACTTTATTCCTAGCTACAACATAATAGGTTCAAGTGTATTATCCTGTCAGTAAAGACTTTTTTGTAGAAAATATCTTTTTCAGTTCATGTTTTGTAGTAGCTTGCACTGCACACAAATTAAAGTGCAAACCCTCGGCGAACTGCGCATGCGCGATACTGCTAATTAATTGATGGGCTGGGCTATTAGTAGTAAGTACGCGTTTACTCGTGGTCTCCCGCTAGTAGTGCGCGGAGAGTCTGACACGGGCTAGCTACGGTAGTAGATAGCATGCGGGAGTCGATACATGCCGTTCGTTGTGACTTCCTGAACCTCCAGGGTACACAGAGCGAGCGGATCAGGTCGCGGTAAGCCCAATGCGATTATGCATATTGGCTTTTTCGCTTTTTTCTCACGGCATATCTCTCGAACGCAGTCGTTTCAGGAAAAACGCCCTTTCAGTTTTCAGGCTCGCGTAGTTCTGAAGCCGCTGGTATCGCTAATTGGCCGCCTCGTAGCCTGTAGTGCCAGAATAAGCGTCGACACATACACACAGACAGACAGACTAGACAGACAGTACACAGACAGACAAACCAACTACCGTAACCCTCGCTGCGCATGCGCGCCGAGGGTTAACGAGGGTCTCTGGGTGTGTTATGCCAGTGCTGCTGTTTGGGTCTGAGAGTTGGTACGTTACAGACGCTTTCTTGGAGGAATTAAAACAATTCCAGTGCTGGGTTGGGAGGAGAATCTTGCGATTAATTAACTCGCTTTCATTCAAACATATCTGTACTGATCGGCCTGGACTGGCCAAGTATGAGGGCCAGGTTGCTCATCAGGAAACTGAATTTTATGAGAAAGCTGGTCAGGGGAAGGGGAGGCAAAGTTAAGTACAGAAATACTTCACGCTTTTGCCAGCAAGGATGTCTCACAGCTGACAATCACCGAACAATATCGTATCTTGAAACCGTTTATGAGACCAACTTCACCGGTGAAGTATTGACATCGGCAGATTCCTGGGGCAGCATTCAAAAGAAGATTCTGACTACTGACAAGGAACTTAGAGCAAATTTCGCAAAAACTCACCAGTCTCTAAAAAACATCCATCTTCCATTCACTCGGAGCTATCATGGCTCAAGATCTGGGATACTGCCTTAGATTATGGGGTGAAGGGGTCAAAATCTGCTCTCTCTCTCTTCCGAACTCTCTCCCAACCACTGTTTGGGGATAGAACATGCCCTCGCTGCGAAACGTCGATAGCGAAAGGCACTACATATATCGAACATCTGATATATCGTCACAAAGAATTGAAGCTGCGTTCAATAGAGGAGATAATGGCATCCATCATATCTGCCTCACCAGACTTACTTAAAACTGGGTACAGTCTATCCTCCATCCTTCCCACATAAATGTTATGTATTGTATAATGCTGCTGCTTGTCATGCCATGTGTATTTTTGTATGTAAGTCTCCTCTGGGACTATCATGACTTTTGACTTTGACTTTAACAAATTACTGGATCACATTGTGCACTGTTACAAGAATGACAGTACTATTATATACACACATCACAACAGATCTGAGAAGCAAGAGTTTTGTTTTATGATGACAGCTAATAGTAGGGTCTTCTGGGATTATTCTACGACAAAAAGAGTTAAAAACAATACCACTCATGCACGTCGTTAGAGTGTGAAATGAAAGGGGCTCACCAACGGGTTGGGTCTGAAACGATAGGCAAGCATCATTCTCTTGCGATACAAATCAAATTCGCTGTCCGATTTCTTGACTTCGGCCGGTTTGACTACTCCTAGCCCTGACTGGTCAAACGACTGCTTGCCCCTGGGTATATACATTGCATAATATTGCACAACCTCTAATCACTACATGTAAATACAATAAACTCAGCACTGCCTCATGCTATATATGCGCTACTGTTGGCATGCTGCACGTATTTCCAAACTAATTTTTAATGCCACTTTGTGATTTTAATATTAAAGGATCTCACTCACTTATTAACGGGCGCGGTGATTCCTTGCTTTTGGGCCCCGAGCCCCGCCCCTTCGTCCCAGCCAGCCTTCTGCAGCAACTTAAATCCAATGTTCTCTTCTGTCAGCTTGTGCTCTTTGTAGTCACTGAAGTCTGGACAGAGACACACCAGACAATTGGTTTCACTTGTCACCAATAGGAAGCTTGGGTCAGGCACAACTCTACCGAATACAGTGGAACCTCTGAACAAGGGACACTATGGGGCCAACGATATTGTCCCTTGTAGAAAGGTCGTTCTATCTCGGAGGTCAAACAATATATACACTAAAGTATTAGCATGGGGTTGAAACAAGTGTCCTTTGTAGAGAGGTCGTCCCTATCGTGGAGGGTCCTTTATCGGAGGTTCCACTGTATTCATTACAAAGCTACTACTGTGCTGTCAAGAGTAGTGAAATGTACACGGCTATTTTTTCACCCAAATGCAGAAAACAGGGGTTTTATGTGGTTTGTATGTGTTGTTCCACCTGGGTCTCTGTCCTCTTTAACAGCAACGACAGTTTCCACAAACTTTTCCATCTCCTCGGGGGGCAGAAAGTCTCCAATGTGGTGCTTTCCTTTGCCCATCTCTGTCAACTCCGTGGCCTTGTCTATGGCATACGTATGTATGTACACACAAACAATAACACACACGAAATTGAAATTGAGTAAATACCGCAGACAAACCAAAAAACACTCATGAAATCTAAATTGAGAAACACCACACTCATTTGATCACATTAAGTTGTACACGGATCAGTACTTACATAAGTAGTAATGGGAATACAGTTAGCTGTAGGTGTCAAGATGTGCAACTACAGGGTGGTCAACGTGCAGGGTTTGCACGTGACAGATCAATAGTGGCCAATATCTTATGCTGACACCTGAATATTTTACGCTGACACCTCATTAGCCTCTAAGGAGCCGGCTCTTAGTACAAGTGGCTCCGCATTAGCTACACTGTCCACACATGAGACCTTACACTAATGAGCCGGCTACGATTCCCCCCTCTACACGTCGCATTAGATCAGCAACGCGATCAACACTTTACGAACACGCACATTTAAGTTTCGAGTGATTGCATGTTTTGTTACGAGCGTGAACAGAAACACACACACTCACACTGCTACAGGCTTACATATAGAGTGACACCTACATGTATCAGGATTACATTGGGAGTTGCAAAGCATAGTTCAAATTTCAAGTGCTAGCCTGTTTTATTGGGACTGTGAACTGAATGCTCGCATCCATATGCGGCCTGCATTTACTACCGGCTTATGTAAATACACATACACAGAGCGACATTAATAGCCCTATTCAGTGAATTAAGGAATTTTCGAGGGACAAAAACTAACAAAGCGATCAGGAACAAAACATGGAGACAACCTCCGCGATTGCCCATCCAGTGATAGGAAATGATTGCCAATCCCGCGATACAAAATGTCCTTGTGCCCACATATTTCACAGGGAAAAAAAGATGAGTTGACAAGCTTTAAAAAATTTGTGAAAATTTTCCCTTTCTGTGGTGTATAAACAGACACAAAGAGAGAGAGAGAGAGAGAGAGAGTGACCTTCTGTCAGTTTCATCTCCTTAATTCGTGCCTTGTGCTCCCACGTTCCTTCCTCCACCTCCTCGTCGCTGTCGTACTCGTACCGGTTCCCTTTCTTGACGCCGGAACCGGACTGGGCAGTCGCTGCCTTGATCTCTGCCACCATCTTCTGCATCTGTACACATATATACGCACAGTGACGGGTGTGAAATTAGTGTTAGAGCCTGGAATGCACGTCTTCAAAACTTAGGTCATAAAAAGTAAATTGCCTTGATCTCTGCAACCATTTTGTGCATCCGTATATACATACAAGTGGAACCGTTCTTTAACTTTAAAGGACACTGATGAAATTAGGAAGTCTCTCTAACTAATAAGGACACTTTTCCTTTCCTCGAGAACAGTTCGTTTGAAACAGGGAAACCTCACTAATATGTGGACACTTTAGCCTGTCTTAGTATCAGTCATATCCTTCACGGCATCAGTTTTTTTCCCCCTGGTGTATTCACCCACAATTAGAAGACAGGGCTACTCAGCATTTGGCATTGCTACAGATGCACAAAATACGGTGGCTCACAGCAATCTGTTCTCTCAGCTGTTCCTGCTGGGCAGCAGTGAGCTGCTGGTCCCCGCCGACCACCCCAGGAAGGCCTGATGACGACGGCTGGATGACGGGGGGAGGGGCCGCGGCAAGCAACCCAATGGCCTCGTGGATAGGTCTGGAGTCAGCTGTGGAGTCAGCTGTGGACTCACTGCTACTGACGTCCCACTTGCTCTTCCTCTTACGACCACCTTAACAGTTGGAGAGACAAACATAATACTGTTGGTGGTGGCAACAAGGGAGGGGGGCGTTCTTTAAAAGAAACTCTTGTCACTGTAGGCAATAGCATCAACAAAGGCACACGTTAGAACAATGTGTAGAGTGGAGAGAGCGTGTATGTAACTCAGGGACATGCAGAATAACCCACCAGTACGGTGCACTCCTAACGTATATACAGATATGTGCCCTGAAATACAGAGTGTATGTAGCATATGAAACATTTGAAGAAGTATAATTAAAGAGAAGAGTGAAGGTTTCAGTGCACTGTGTGGCACCTTTAGTCGCAGAGGTGGTTGGTTGTGGTTGAGGTGGAGTGATGCTAGACGAAGGGGACTCCTCGGTTGATTGGCTGACAGTAGAACTGGGCGTGGCAGAGGGGTCTATTGATAGAAGACTAGGACACACATGACACACTGCGACACAATATCTCACTATCAGTGGGCTACACTAACAGAACATGCACAGCTAGTGCGGTCCTTGAGGCAAGTCCCATCAATAATATGTACTCTAAAATCAGCACCCCATATGAACCTCAACTAGTAAAGTGTGGATGTAAGGGTTTTTGAGCATGATATGTACTGCACATGTATTCCCTTTACGCAACGTGTGCTCCGACGCATGTTTTAACACACCTGACTCCTTCTTGCTCTCTGCCCCTCCCTCTTTTCCAGCACTAGCGACGGCCAACTTTTTTTTGGCGGCACGATTTTTCATCATCTTCTGTGCCAGCGAGGCAGGCGGCTTTCGGACGGGTTTCACAGCGGCAAGAGAAGGTGAGTCTTTTTTCGTGGACTCTGCATCTTCTCTTGACTTCTCCTTCTCCTTCTGCATCTTCATAAACTGCTCCATGAAGCTTCCATCGTTGTTGAAGGTGAGGCCGGCTTGGGCATCCCCCGCCTCGTCTTCATCCGCCATGTTGTCGTGGTATATACCTGAAGTGATTGACGCTAATGTTGAGTTCGCACACCGACATAAGCGGGCCAAGACTTGCCTACGTGGTAGGTCACCACTTTGGACGTCTTGCTGTCTCCTTGTAGGAACACGGCCAACTGCTTCGTCGGCTGCAACTTCAGCGGACTTCTCGGTGTGTTTGGTGCGCGTCAACTAGAGTCGCGACGCGCGTGATCACGTGAAAGCATAAATTGCGCGACGGATCGACGCGCTCGACGAACGGGGGCGTTTCTGAGCGGAGTTTAGTGAGTCGGTCGAAGAGAGCGAGAGACGGAGACAGAATGCAGAGACAGAGACTATTATCGTGTGTGTTGTTATTCGCTGCTTTGTCATTCGTCGCTACGCAAGAGCCCGTCGGTATATGCGGACTGGATGGATTCAATCTGAACGACTTGCATTTGTAAGTCAGTCGGCTAGCTAGGAAATTCAGCGGGTAGCAATTGCAAAGCTGCGTTTTCTCCAGACAGTTACTTTACTGAGAACTGTATTAAACGAGCGAGAAGTGCTGGCCGGTAACCATGTAAACGTGAAAGACTTACGTAGCTAGATATTCACGCAGTTAGTATTCATGGGCATTGGGTCATGTGCTCCAAGAGGGTATTGCACATGTATGAATGCAATCAGAATCAATAGAGCCTACTACATAATATTCCTTGCTTGCATTGACCTACAACACTGTTGGTCTAATTGTAATGCATAACTGTCGGTGATACTCAGCAGTATCATTATTTTGTGTGAGAGTGTGTGTGTGATTTCCCCCCACCGCCCCTGTATTTAGTGGCCAATACTGGAACTTCACTGCACCGGATCCAGCAAATGACTGCCTCTATGAAATTGACCCGGATAACATCACCAGTTGCGTTGTGTACTTCGCTGTGTGCAAGCCTCTGCCCAGTAGCATCTGCGGCTCAGAAAATGGAAATGCGTCCTACTGCCAGGTGGTTACTGCTAAAGATGGAACAATCTACCGCTACAACGTTGGGAACTACAGTCAATCGCACAAATTCTCCAGACTTGGTATGTTCAAAATTCTTTGGCTTTCAGATGGATGTGTCGAGAGAGCATATACTGTACAACTAAGCCTGTCCCTAAACTTGTTGCCACTTAGTGTATTGTGTCACATTAGGCATGTAGCTGCTAAGTGTCTTGTGTCCTGCGTGTGTGTCTTAGGCAAGTAATTGTGCTTTCTGTCTCAATTAATGCTGTTTGCATCTTGCAGCATGCACTCAACTCTAATCTTTTCATTCCCACTCCTGCTCTCCCACGCAGACGATGGATTTTCCTCTGTTCGACATGGATATAAGTATGAAAACGACCGCTTGTGCAAGAACTCTACAACTGCAAGTATAACCAATTTTGAATGTGATCCTGATGCAAAGTTCAGCACCAGCGAGTCAGACATCACCCAGTATCTCAAGTCTACTGAGAGAATCCCCAATGCAGAATGCTTTGTGAGTTTTGCCTGCTTGTCTACTCTTCCTGTACTTTCTTAGCACACACCTTCCCACAAAATGTTACTATTGAGTTGTTACCCTCCAACTTTTATAAACACTGCAGATTACGACCACAATCGGGTACTCTGGAGCTTGTTACCAGCAGCCAACACTGGCCCCTGCTCACTGCAGTCTCACTGGGTTTGACACCACTGCCATCTCTGAGTGAGTAGAAATCTTTAGTAGCTAGTTGCGTAGTAGCTACTGTCTTTGTAGAGTTCCAACCAACTCTATTGTTTTACTGCAAATAAGGACTGTGATCTTGGTTTACCACATAGGCACAACTAGTTCTATGCCAGTATACTCTTTTTTTTGCTTTACCACAAATAAACACTATGATCTTGGTGTAGACTATATCTATACCTACCTATTGCTTTACTGGGAACAAACACTATGATCTTGTTGGTGTATATACCACAGACAAGACTATTTCTATGCTGATGTCCCTGACGGAATCTGCTACAATTTCGACGAAGGCGAACCGTGCATACTTCTGTTTGCCTTCTGCCACCCCTTGCCCCTGGACCTGTCTGATAACTGCCGCAACCCAGAGTCAGCCATCTGCCAGGCAGACAAGCTTGCTGATGCCACAAAGTCGTGGAGTATGGGGGCCTATGAGAACTACACTAGATTCTATGAGAGTAAGACTCTGACAGCCTGCGAAACTCAGCACTAAGTTTTTCTCTCCCACTACTCAGATGTTGATTTTGATCAGGTGGGATTCCATGTTCTATACTCGGATGGTTCCAATCCTGGAGACCCTGACTGCACTGCTGGAATACAGACACGAGTCATCTTTGTGTGTAATAAAGATGCGCAGTGGACCAACCGCGATGTCACCTTTCACGTTGAAGTCGAGAAAGAGACTTGCTTTGTGAGTTAACCTTCTTGAGGGTAGTGATGCTATGAGAATCTTGTCTTCTTTCTTTTTGCAGTTCAACATCGTAGCCCAGTACAGCGGAGCTTGCTACAAGGCACATGATATCGATTCTAGCAGTCATTCAGATAAAACTTCAATTGTTGGTTGGATACTCATTGGCATGTGAGCAAAGACTTTATATTCTGGAGTGGAACATCTCTCTAAGGGAAAACCCCTGAACTCTCCAACACTTTTTCTTTTCCTAACAACTTGTTAAATGCAATTTTAACCCCGAAATAAGGATAGCTACCTCACTATCACTGTATATACTCAAGGACACCTTTTTTGCTTTGAAATTGTTACGTTGTACACGCAGTTTCCTGTTTGGTGTGTTGACCTACCTGGTGATTGGGTCAGCTATCCAGTACTTTATCCGAGGGGAGCGCGGCATTAGAGTCCTTCCCAACTTTGACTTTTGGAGAAAATTTGCCCTCCTGACATTGGTGAGCTACACCGTGTGGAGTATGGCATAGATTCACACTGTAGCTATACAGAGTAACTAAAGAGCGTGCAATAAAGTTACCTATAATGTATGTACGATTATGGTCCATGCAGGAGGGATGCAAGTTTAGTCTGGATATTGTCACATGTCATCGTTTGACTGGTGTTCCGGGAAAGCCAAAAGTTAACTACGACCAACTCTAGACACGCTGTGCATAGCAAGCCTTATTGTAACAACCTAAATGCGCACATTATGTATTGGTATTTTTTAGTATAGTGTGATCTATTCCTCTTTGTATATACGTAAGTGTGTTTGTGTGTGGTTGCCATATATAGTCTGTGTGCATCGACAGTTGAGGAAGCGCGGGCGGTGCGCATGCGCTATTACGAGCTTGGCGTCGGCGTCGTAGCGAGGTTTCGGAGCATTCCGCAGTTGCGAACTAACCGGTGGCACAGAAGGAGAACAACACGAGGACCAAGATGGGAAGCTCGGGCTCCAGGAATAAACCGATGCGAGTGCGGTTGGCCACTGTTCTACCGTTCACAACGGGCGTGTTCCTCGGAACACTTATGACCCTCTTTCTAGTGCTCACGCTTCGCTCCATCGACGAAGAGACGGGCTACAGAAAAGACGAGAGGACGGGTGTTGTGGTAATGCCGTCCTCACCGCGGAGACTGCCACCCAGAAAGACGAGGGATCCGCAATCTAACGAGGACGCGGCCAGACATAGGGAGTTTATGATGTATTCAGTGGTAGTTGGAAGGTCGGAGCTCCGGACCAGGGGACTGGCGGCACACAAGACGTGGGCTAGTAGCCTCGGGAGACGCGTCAGCTTCTACCTACATCCTCCTGGTGGTAGACGGAGACATCAGCTTTGCCTACAAGACAAGAATACCTCTCGTGACACTGGGCTCAAACCCTCGTAGAAAATCCGGGAGAACTTCCAGTGGAGTTATAAGTTCTCTACTCGACGTGTGCAAGAGACAGTTAGGTAGATACCAGTGGTATGCCAGGATCGACGACAGGACGTATGTCCGACCTGCGGAACTAGAGAAGATACTATCCACCCTCAACAGTTCTGAGCCCCATCTCATAGGGCACCTAGTCCTCCCAGAGGGCCGAGATAGGGAGGAGCTGGGACTGAGGGAGGGAGAGGGCTACTGTATGGAGATGGGCTATGTGCTGAGTTCTGGGGCACTCGGCTCTGTGTGTCCGCACCTGGAGCAGTGCTGGGAGAACGCTCGCTCCGAGAACGAAGACGTGGAGGTGGCCAGGTGTGTGAGGCTGGCAACTGGAATCAACTGCACCTCCTCTCAAGAGGTTAGACCAGTACTTCCATTATGTAACCTGCTAGTAGAAGATAAATGTAATATATAGTGGCTGAAACTTTATGTAGTCTATGGGTCTTTGGGACTTAGTATAGTGGCAATATCTATGGTATTAAAAAAGAGGGCTCATGGTCTTTGCTGAGTACATCTAAACACATTTTCAGTACATACCCATCAAGTCTAATTTCCACACCACAGAGTAAACAGCTGTTTTACAAGGCCCGTGGCCTGTTGTCTGAAGAGGAGCTACAGTTGGGGCAGCACCACCTGAACCCCAGTCTCAAGAGAGCTCTCCTACTCAGCCCACTCACACAGCCCGAACACTTCTACCACATGCACTACTACTATGTGAGAGGGGAGCTCAACGCGTCACGACTAGCTGCCACGCAACTCAGACTCCACATGATTGAAACTGCGGATCGTGCGGCCGAATCGGACAACTACGCCCACACGAGTGTCCACCAGTCTCCTGGGTGGACACGACTTGGAGTTAATTCTCCGTATCGTCCACGCACGGCAGGGGACGCCATCCACTGTCTCAGTTTCGACAGCGAGTACAGGTACACAGAGTCAAAACACTATCCCTCGCATCATCTCAGTGGGGTAGTGGCGACCGACTTGGAAGAAATTGTCGGTGCGGTCGCACGGAAATACGGGACTCAAAACTTGCCAATCAACAGCGTATTGCAGAGGGTCGACCCGCAACGAGGGATTGATTACTTCATTCACGCTCTTGAGAAGAACACGGACGGCGAGTACAACTCGAGGTTTATGCACGCACTACGGGAAACAGAGCCTCTCCAGGTTACGTCCGTGCAGCCTGCAAACTACCACACCACCAAGGTAAACTTTGTCGTGCCCACCGCAGCCGTGTCTAAGGCGTTCCAGCGATTCATGATATCGTTTGAAAACACTTTCCTCGCTCGCACCCCACCCGAACTGGTCGGTCTGTTTGTCATTCTCTACAGCGACGGGAAGGTAAAGAAGTACAGCAAGAATCTCTTTGCCACGACAACATTGCTGCGGCTCTACAAGAAGAAATATCCCACTGCCGATCTGAGGTTGGTCACCACGGATAGACCGTTCTCCAGGAAGCAATCCATCGAGTTGGCGTCACGCGAGAACCCCTCATTCGAGCTCCTATTTCTAGCCGACATCCACGTGGATTTCTCACACCAGTTCCTGGAAAGGTGTCGCATGAACGCGATTGAAAACAATCAAGTCTACTTCCCCGCGGTTCAGTCCGTACAACCCCTCAGAGTTCTACAAGGACCGCCTACTGCATCCCTACGCAGTCAGGTTCAAGATCGCCGCGGAGCAAGGCAGTTGGATGGACGAAAACTTCCACCTGGCCTGTCTGTACAACTACGACCTGGCCAGGGTGCTGGAGGGCGGTCGAGACCTCAAGGAGAGAGATTGGAGTCTCATTGATCTGGTTATGAAGCAGTCTGGGCTCCGTGTGTTCAGAGGGGTGGAGCCCGGACTGGTGAACCTGTGGCAGGACGGCTGCACGGAGGACACACTGAGTGGGAGGGAGAAGGTCCTCTGTGAGAAACTAGGGCTCACTGGGAAAGATGATTGAGTAGTACTCAACAGTAAGTTTATGGCTTAAAATCATTTTATCACATCCTTGAAACCCCATCAATTTTGCGAGGGCATAACTATAATTATACATAATGCATAAACAATGAAGTATACACAAAATACACCATAATTGTTATATTATATTACACAAGACAACATGTGCTCTACTCTCTCAGTAAAGGAAACGAATAATATGTATGTATGTCAAGGGAGAAGTGGGTCATCGTCATCACCTATATAATAGTGGAGAATGGCTCAGTATATCTCGTATGCACTGTATATATAGACTCGTCGACTTACTTTCTGCAGCACTCATGTTTACTTCAGTCCTAAACCTGTGCTGGCCAGAACTGAGCAGTTGGTTGTTTCTTTTCTTCAGACCGAAGTACTTACTGCATGAAGAGAATGATGACACCACATGAGTATCATAGTATATAGCTACATACCACTGATGGCACTACTATTATAGCGGGAAATGTTTGAGGTGAAACATTTGGTAGCAAATAAGGGTTTCTTTTGCATGTTCTATACAAACGCTCTGCCCACAAAATGTTTTGCGGAAGGCTCAAAACTCCCGAAAGTTAAAAATTACAGTAGTTAGCTCTGAAGGGGAACATACAGGAAGAGGATCACAATGATGATGACAAACATCACTGCTATGAGGGCGACCACGCCCACTAGCACTTCCATAAGTACCACTTTGTTCCTCTCATCTGGAAACGTGAGTTTGTATATACTGTGAATGTAGTTTTTGGTAGGGACAGAGATGACTCACCATTTGTATTAGATGAAGTTTGAGGAGCTAAAAAAAGGTAATTTCGTTAAAAGGTTATGTATACAATACTCACATACCGTTACTAGAGGGGCTAGAGTTGGCTAGTGGAGGAAATAAAATACATCAACAAGTTTATGGTATCGTCTCTTATTTCTTACCACCAGATGAGCTAGTAGGTGTAGTGGTGGGGGTTTCACTGCTCAACCACTTACTGCTGGTTGAGCTGGAGGTTGTAGTAGTAGGCGCAGTGTTGGTGGCTGCATTAACAGAGAGTAGGAAATAGCTATGCTCGTGAGTATGTATTGGGAGAAGTGCTGTGCCCCTAGTGATAAGGATAAGCTGTTAAGTTTGACCACTGATCAGGAATGCTAGCGCCAGAAAAACCCTCCACTACACTTATATATACTCGACATTTTTCATGGAACTGTGCAATTTTGACTGTAGCCAGAAATGAAATACCGGTAGTAGGTGGTTCGGTGGGTGTCCTGCAGCATTCTGCCTCGTACGGAGCATAGAGTCTCTCGTCACCTCCCTGGCACACATCACCAGCTATCTTACGATACCTACAGAGAAATTGTGGCATAGTCATGAAGGTGCTTTAGTTGTATTGGAGTTCTGGCAAGGCAAGAGCAGTTCAGCTATACACAGGAAAACATTTATATGCACTGGGTGAGACGAAAACGCATGTGCCAACTACGAGGTTGCAAGGCAAAGGCAAAGCAAACAGGTGTCAACTACACCCAGGACGGCTCTCTTAGAAGAGCTCCTTGGGTGGGATTCGAACCCGTAACACTCTTAGCCACCAGGACAACTCAGCTGGTAGGGGGTTCATGACCACGAGGCATTATATGTCACACACTAACCCGGTGCTAGCGATGTAGGTAGTGGTGCCTTCATTATCACAGGGGTCCTCCAGTTCCACGTCTGGATCTTTCACACAAAGTCCCGACAAGTCCTCACCTGGCTTTGCATAGCCATAGTCACTGCACACACAGTATGTCCAAATGTCAGTTTGTATGTAAGTGTGTATGCTAGTGTGCATACCATTCAAAGTCTTCTTCGTTGCATTCACAGATAGAGTACTGAGTCTCCCTCACGTAGTCTCGGCCATTGCGACAACACGTGGTAATGTTTCTCCTCTCTATCACAATGGAGCTCCCCAGAATACAGTCTGTGTCTGAGCGCTGCAAGACAAGCAGTCAACATTTAGTGTTAGCAAGGTTTTAACCTCCCCCCCTGCACTAGCTGTGGAACCCCATTAATCCGGACACTAAAACAACAGAAGAAAGTGTCCATATTAGTGAGGTATCTTTATTTCAGGGGTTAAAATGCACCATTGTTGGGGAAGTAAATCTCAGAGAGGTTTTCTAATTGAAGGGCTGTCCTTAGAGAAGGGTTCCAACAGAATCTTACATCGTCCCAGGGCAGCCAATCGTAGTAGTCATCATCTCCACAGTCTCTACTGAATATGGGGTCAAAATCCACAGTAACGACCACCCAGTTTCGTGATCCAGAAGACTCAATTCCATAGAGACTGACGTTGGTGGTATGCTCACCAGGTTCAGTGATCACACCATATATTACCATGGCACTCTGTATAATAGGTAACAAAGTTAGTACAAACCTGGAAAACTGCATGAGCTAATTATCATGTGAGGGGGCTTATCTCTCAGAGACATTATTAAAGTATAAACTGGAGACCAACAAAGCAGAAGTTCTCTTCTTAGGGAAGAGAAAGGGCAAGAAGAGGACTGTCTTTTTTTACTGTTGAACAAATGTGTTCTTTTAAGGACGGTTCCCCCGTAAGCTTACATCAGTGAAAGTAAAGCTGTTCCAAGACAGTCCCTCGTTGCAGCTGTACTTGAGAACTGTAGATGAGACTTGATGGTAGTCGTTCACTGCCACGATGATTCCTCCGTGGTCAAGAACATTGGCCCCATAGCTGCCAGAGAGTGTCTCGTGCCATGTAACACCACCATCACGAGAGATGTATAGATCAGGATTGCTAGACAGTGTATCTCCCAGTGTACCTGCACACATAAGCCATGATCTCTAAAAGCTAAACACATGTTTGTAAACTGAACAGCTTACACTTGCCGAGGAAAAGACAAAAAGAGAAATAAGGGTTATAAAGGCCTGCACATTAACTTCAGAAGATGGTTCAGATTTTGCATTATATAGCATTTGTGGGACTTGGGTGCTCAAGGTCTGAATACATATTATATACCATCGTAATGTGTTCAGGTATACCATGTGCAATGATAATTCCGGGGGCCGATTCGGTCGAAAAGACCCCAAGTCTTGCATAGGCACTGGTGTCCATGTCGAAGTGTAGGGAGCAGAGTGGTGGCTCGCAGTTCACTGGATTTCCATACACATCCAAGTCAGGAGGGTGAATCTGTCAGAATTTGAATGACTCTTCTATTGTTGGTATTCTAGTGTTAATGGAATGTGTGTATAGCTTCAGACTAACCATTACTGTGTATTCATTGACTATGAGTATTGTTGAATGACGTAAAATAATGCCGATAAGCAAAAGTCATCATGTGAAGATATGATTATCCAAACTCACTAGTTCCCAATTGCCTCCATTGTCCAGAGTGAGCAGTGTCCTTATTGGAGCATCGGTTACATCTGGAGTGTCCCTCACATACTGGTTGGCTATCATCGTCCCATTTACCCCATCAATCTAGAACATAATTACAGGAGTCACAGAGACTGTAGAGAATGAATCAACGTACCCTCTCTAAGTCAATTGCATAATCCACAACAAGGTCCCGTAGTGAAAGGGAGAAGTAGACGCCGGTTTCTTCGGAGAGATAAAGATTGTAGAATCCTCCTTCGTGCTGCACTATCACCAGTGCCTGTCTCTCTTCGATGTGCGACACGATATAGCTTCGGTGGTCGTAGGGTGTAGGGATCTGGGCCGCTTGAAACGGTTGCCTGTTGTAGCTCACCAGCAAGTGAGTGTCATCGTTATCTTCTGTCTTCTGGGCAAAGATGTACGGACCAAGAAGAAAGAAATCCTCGTGGCGACCGAGGTTAGGGTCGAATTCCTGCTGCGTTTCGGCGCCAAAAGGATAGCGCTGAGTGAAGAGTGAGACAGTGTAGTTGCCCCTGTCTCTGTCCTCTGGATCAAACTGATTGAAGTAAATAACAGAACCGTCTGAGTCCCATCCTGGTTCGTCCCTATAATTGAATAGCATCATTGAAGCATAGCACAAGTGACAGTGTAAATTATTTTTTGACTCACCACTGATAGTCTGAGCTTTGGTCAACATTTTCAGCAATCATTTTCCACGACTGTCCAAGGTTGGTACTGACGTAGATCTTTATGGGGATACAAAAATTATAGACCCAGAGCAGGGTTATGGACATTGAAAAACACACTCACTCTTTCGTTTGTAGGATCGTGGGCAAGTATCCAGTTGTCTTCAGTGGGGCTAAACTTCATGGAACGTGGGTTGATGGTAGGTGGATCAAAATCATGATGATCCCACAATTGACCTTCATTAAGTGTGTAGTATATCCGAGATGTCTCGAAACTTGCAAACACCAACTGCATAAGTTAATCGTTTGGAATAAGAAGTGTTCTCCCATGATTTGAATCTCACAACTGACCATGTTTAGGTTGCCAGGACTGACGTAGAAAGAACGCCAGAGCAAGGGATCAGGCTCCTCCGGATTCAGCTGGGCCTCAATATTCTCAAAACTCCTTCCGTAATCTGCTGACCTGGAAATAGCAATGGTTCAGATAATAGTAGAAACACTACTCATGACCGACTTGTAAAGGTTCGTAGCAGTCGGATATCCATATCTATCCGTATTGAAAGTCAGCACAAATATCACCTGTCGTTCGTGTAAGAAAGAAACTTGGTTTTGGACAGGTATTGGTTCTCACTTCACTCTCAGATCCGGAGTAGTGGATGAGGCCGTAGTGGTAGCCGTCGAGGAACTCGAATTTCCCGCTCTGCTGTGGCTGAGAGGATGACTGACGTCTATCTCTTTGTCCCTGTAGGAAGTGCACGAATGGAGCTATTCCCTTACATTCTGGCGACTTGTTACGTACCTGCTTCTCGTGAAGTGAGCTGAGTAGCTTCTCCTGCGTGAAGTAACGGTCTCCGACTGCGTGCGGATGCTCCCACGTGAGCTCAGCGATCCCAGGAGCCCTGTCCTGCAGTCGCTCGATCTTGGCGAGTGCCAAGCCAGAGCCAATCACAGTAAGCACCAGAACGGAGAACATCGTCTTCTTGTGGTGGTGCAGTGGTGATCGGACGCTGTGCAAAAACGGGAGCCCTTCCTTCTCGTATTACGTAATTTGATGCGCATGCGTAGATTGCGAGCGTGGCGGGGAAATATCCCTGTCCCGCGTTCTCGTTTTCCCCATCTCAGTCGTGAGTCCCCTCTCTCTGCTTTACTGGTGCAAACAGCAATGGCTGGTGAGGCAGGGGCCGCAGCCGTGGAGCTAAAGGAGCGGTTCCGAGGCTGTCTGCTGGGCTTAGCGGTCGGAGACGCCGTTGGCACGACGGTAGACGGCAAAAAACGCGGCTCGTTCACTCCCCTCACCGACATGGTGGGTGGGGGGAGGTACCGACTGCTACCCGGACAGGTAGGGGGCTCGCCCTCCGTGTTTTCTGCATTCCTTTTCGACTCGGGGAAATCGACTGTATTCCCATATCACCCCAATGCATATTTTCTCCTCCATTACATACATGTGCCTCCTGTCAGTGGACTGATGATACTAGCATGGCTCTGATACTGGCTGAAAGTCTCATAGAGAAGGGAGCATTTGACCCCATGGACCAGGGTCACCGCTACTGGAGATGGTACTCGGTAAATCCCCCGCCTCTTGTCTGTTTTGTGTTTTTCCTGCGTCCCTCCCTCGAGTGTTTATTTTCATACTGTTGCTTTGGTCCACTCGACTCATCATGCATATTTGATGTTCCCTTCACTTTCAACATAAGCCAGCGGAGGTTTTTCCCTGGCGTGCTTTCCCTTCGTTCCCTTCGATTTCCAAGTGCTCATGACTTGTTTGTTGTGCCTTTGCCTTCCTATATACCTCGCAGTTTTCACATGCCTATGTTTACACATTAGCTCCAGTTGTCCGCTGTGTGTATTCAAAGTTGTCCATTCTTTTTACTGGCTTTTGTTAGAAGAAATGTCGCCGTGTATGATATTGTCCTCTGAACACAGGGTGGCCATCTCTCTAGCACGGGGCAGAGCTTCAACGTGGGCATGTCTGTACGTGGCGCCATCGCAAAGTTCAACCCGGTTCCGGACGACAGGAGACGGATGTCCGACGAGCCGATACGTCCGTTCCCGGGTTCCGTTGCGGACTGGGCTGCGGGAAACGGCTGCGTGGTCCGCGTGTGCCCAGTCGCCATGTTCTTCCACAAGTATCCCGAAGTGGCGTTGGACAAAAGTGTGGACTCGGTCAAAGTCACTCACGGATCGGAAATAGCCAAAGATGCCGTCAGGTCTGATACCAGTATCTCTTGCTAGTCTTTGAACTTCACTTGTACCTACACGTGGCAGGTATTTCACGGGTCTCCTGTTGGGCTGTCTTCTCGGAGTGTCCAAAGACGAACTCCTCTCCCAAAGATACTGCCCCATACCCAACCTCTACACCGGGAAACCACTGGTGAGGCAGTCTGTAGTTATTCCTAATGCTGGCTAGTGTGTTTGACCAAGAAAACACTTTACTGTGTGGTCTGTCGTCTTCCAGACACGTGCCCATAATACCACTCATTATTGGCAAGTACACACGAGTGACACAGTGTTACATCATTACAGTGCACATTATACATACATATGTATGTATGAATTCCATTCGGACGACTATATATGTGGGCTTCTTCCCCTCCCAAGGTTCCAGAAGTTGACAGCGTGGCCTGTGGATCATTCAAGACAGAGGATGAGGCTCAGATCAAGGCCATAGGCTATGCCGTCAGCTCCCTGGAGGCCGCTCTCTGGGGCTTCTACCACACTGACAACTTCAGAGACGGCTGCCTCAAAGTTGGTAGGTGACCGATAAACTGTATTGTAAAATATACTGTATCGTCCCCAGTGCTCTATATTATTAACCCTCGGCGGCGGCAAACTCATTCCAAGCCATATTGATAATGGATTCCAGCCCTGGTGCTCTATATAGTATATTGTCTGTTCTACAGCACAGTTATGATACGTGTTTTGTCTGCAGCTAATCTTGGCAACGACTCAGACACCGCGGCAGCAATCTACGGCCAATTGGCCGGGGCTTACTACGGGATAGGGGGGATTCCGGAGCACTGGCAAAAAACCTGTTTCGTGTCCCCGCTCGTCCTGTTGTTTGCCGACGAGCTGCACAGACTGTCGTTCACAATCGCCGAGGCTCCTCCCCTGGAGGTTACCGAGAGCGCTTACCTCAGAGGAATTGAGAGATATGCCGGAGAAGGTGAGAGGAACGGTTGTATTATAACTGCACATCAAAACATGAGGGCGAAAACTTAATGTTTTACACAGAATTTGGTGTTTTTGTATATATGCAGCTTGGGTTTCTTCCCACTATAGGAAGTGGTATTTTACACTGCTTTTAAGAAGTGTATGGGCTCTAGGAGTAAATTTATGATATTGTAATACCACAGACCTTTAAATTTTGCTAAAATTGTTTCCCATTCGTATTTGTTGGTGTGTATCTGTGTATGTGTATGTATGTATGCAGTGTCAGAGGAGTACAGGAACAAGAAGATACGAGGCTACGATGTCCTGGAGGAGGCCAGCCGGGACATCGTCAAGAGAACTTACCAGGGCTCCACTCAGTTTCAGAAGTGAGTCAGTCTCTTTCTCTCTCTACACTGGTGTGTTTTTAGTGGTGAGAGAACACAGCAACAAGCTTGATCTACTCACAACACAAAACAGGACACATTTTATCTCCCCTAAGAACCGTTCTTGCATGCAATTTAACCCTTGAAAAGGGGACAACCCGCCAATGTGAACACGTTCTTCTGTCCCACTTCAGATTAGCTAGGAGTTCCACTGTATGTATCTTCTGTCTGTCTGTGTGTGTGTGTGTGTAGTGTGGAGGAGTTTGTGATGGCGGTGAAGGAGGTGAGGGCTAGCTACCTGGCCCTGCCCCCCGAGACCCAGTGTGACATCATCATTGCCGACTTTGACGCCAGATGGGAGAAGGGACAGGCCGACTATCTCAATAGACCTAGCAGATATTTCTACTAACTCTTCCTCTCCCCCTCTCTTTCTTTCTCTCTCTTTTACTCTTCCGTGCTCATTGGTGAACAGTTTGTGAGCAATCACGTTTTTTCCATTTGTTACTCCACCAGAAATGGAAATTTTGCAGGAACAGGCACACAAACTTTTGTACCTAGTGCTTCTGTTATGTGGTGTTGTTACAACACAGAGGGCATCTTATGGCATAGAAGCAATAGAATGTTAATAGTTCATTTTCCATGCTGATTTATAATGATTCAGTGGACCTCAACCTGTTTTTTTGTAAAACTATGTTATTATACAACTTCAATATTATGCTAACACTTACAAGTTGACGGCATGATTGTTATTTCACAAAACCTGGCAAAAAATGGTGATCGCTAAAGACATTGCTATGCTGTAGTTTGTTTTCTAAAATAATGGCGGGAGTTCCCCCATTGATTGCAGCTGTCTCTTCCCGTCAGTCTGATTGCTTCTTGAGTCTCCTCCGCAGCTCCACGGGAACCTTCTCAAAGCACTTCTTGCAGTACGGCCTCTCGTCCATGTCTGCATAGCGGGCCCCTCCACTGCACAGAGCAAGAGGAGGACAAATTAATTTGGAGCGAATAAAATTTTTTTATCCATAGTGGGACTGTAGGTATATATATAAAGTTTTGTGGACCAACTGCGAAATTTTTTGGGCAGGACCATTGTACAAGTATATATTTGCTGCGTTTGCTGTAAACCAGTTCTATCTGATACACACAATGCTACAATGATGCACCAAGTTGCATCGTCTATCATGGCCTTTAGTATACGCTTGCCACAGCATATCCCTGGATCCACTGCAACCAGTATATAGACACTACTGGCCCAGTAGTTGATACTCAAGATGTACACATACACAGTATTTTGTCTAACCCTTTACCAACCGGGGAGACGCGAGGAGGCTGTTGCAGGCAGAGCAGCGGAAGTGGTCAATGCACCACGTCTTGTTCAGCACAGTCACCTCTGAACGACAGAGTAAGAAGAGAGGTGGAGGGAAAAAAACAATGGTGAAGTCTGCTCAGTAAAGAACTGACCTTCTCCACGACATGGCTTGTTGCAGTAGAAACACACCTCACCAAACAACTGCAAGAGAAAAAGATAGATGAGCACCCCACTGTCACAAATGTGTGTACAGAGCCTCGAGCACAAAATACATACATCCTGGTTAATTGAAACATCTGAGCTCTGACACGACATGGATCAAATAGAGGACACAGTAAGTACTAGGAATATGCACGCGCATATTTTGCCTCGCGCCTGCCAGCCAATGCGTAAACAGTCTGACTGAGGCCGCTCGCGCGCGCGCTCTACTGACTGCGCGCACGGCGGAAGCTAGACTTCCTACGAATGACGGAAGTTACACTTCCTTATGGTGACTAATTTACATTCCTAAGTGTGACTAATTGACATTCCCTAAGCGTGACTAATTGACATTCTTAAGCGTGACCGACACGTACGTACGCATATAGCGAGAATACAACCCGGAGTAGTTGCCTCACGCTAACGCGCTCGGCAATGAGAATCAAACACACGGCTTTGAGCACTAAGTAACACTGAGATGGTAAAAACATACAGCCTTGTAGTCCCTCTCGCAGTAAGCCAGGCCCTTCTTCTCGTAGTGTCTGCGACCTTCAAACGGCTTCTCGCAGTGAGAACACACGAAATGCTGCCGAGAGAAAGAGACAAGATTCATTCACTGCAAATTTTGAACACTGTTGGCTGGGAATAGGATTTATAATTATAGCTGGAAATTTTTTGTTGTAGTAAAGTTTTGTGAACTTTTTGAGCCATGTGTAGAACATTTTCTAAAGTCATACAAAATCTTATCCCAATACCTCAGGATGCCAGGTCTTGTTGAGAGCATGGATAAGACGGCCTTCGATAGGTCTCCTGTGGGTGTGCAATATTTGGGATATAACCCCAGTGATAGGGATATAAGAGGTATACGAACCTGCAGGCTCCACATATTGCTGACACCATGTTGTCATAGCAGCGTAAGCAGTAGAGCTCTCCTTCTCTCTCCTTACACCTGTGGTCCAACTGCTTACTGCAAGCGAAAAGAAAGTGAGAATATACATACAGTCATGCAATTGGCATGGTACTTAGCAGGTACTTGACATTTGTACAAAGTATTGAGAGGCTCTATAACTGACTGACTCACTTGCACTCACTGCAGTTGAAGTGGTGAGGATGGACGATCTGGAACTTGTAGACCAGATGCTCTCCGTGGATCGGAAGACTGAATACATACACAGAATGACGTACAGACGTGTGATATGCCATAGACGTAGTTACTGTACCTGCACTTCTGGCAAAACTTCTTAGAACCTCCTGAATACGAGAGAGAGAGTGTGAATGCATGAGCCGTGTGTAATGGATTAGGCACAAACCTTTGATTTCGGCATTGCAGGGCTTACAGAATGGCCTGAAATGAAGACAATAATTATCATTAGACCTACCGTGCCAAAGTACCAAACACATAAGACATTGAGAACCAGCATGACAGACTATACCGGGCAATGGCGGGCCACTGCTAGCAAATGTCCAAATGTGGACACTGAGCTAAAGTGGTACTTGGCAGGGAGGCACAACACATACACACTCACCCACACAACATGCATACATATAATATACACTGAGCAATAGACAAAGAGGAACGAAGTGCTCTGACTGACCTTCCCTGGCTCTTGACAAAGCCAATATCCGCCAGCTCTGTGTGGCAGCTGACACACTTGAAGCAGTTGGGATGCCAGCACTGGCTCATTGCGCGAATCACTCTCCCGACCACAAACTCACCTGAGGAGGCGGGAGACCCAGAACACAGAGAGAGGCACGTGAACCCAAAGTGTCTTACGTATACTTCATACAGGGCTAGGTGTATACTGCGCTTACCACAGCCACTGCAGCATGGGGCAAACAGAGCGTGGAAGTCATGGGCGCAGTACTTCCTCCCCTCGTGCTGTTTGCAGTGACAAAAACGCAGTAAACAAACAACACTAGCTACTATACATTAGTACAGTACAATTCCCACCTCGTAAAACTCTTCGTCCTTGAACGGTTGGAAGCACTGGACACAACTGTTGGAAGGTAAAATAAGCTCATTCGGTCCTTCGGTCCTTATACACGCCATGTCATGAAGCAAGTGCACACGATGATACCAGGGCAGAGATAGCTAGCTACGTATGAGGCTACTGGAGGATTGATTGACTCACACGAAGCATCCCTCGTGCCAGACTTGGCCTCCCGAGTTGATGATGTTCTCGTCTCGACCGAAGGGATCCTGACACAGCGTACACACCATTCCTGGATCCATGATGAGAGCTAGCTAGAGAGGACAGAGGACACGCTGGATCGTCAGTGACGTAGTTCTGCTAAAAATTGTTGTCCATATCTCCGAAATTTTTGTACGCTCTGTTGTGTGTGTGTGTACGTACGTGTGTACGTGTGTGTGGTGTGTGTGCGCATTGCGGCAGCCCCACCCGATTCTTTGGTCGTTGTTGTTGTACACCTCTCTGGTTGTTCACAGCGTCCTCAAACTTACAGGTATTTATAAAACTACCCCAGCCTACAGCAAAATATATCACACAATGTTTCATTCACAGTGCAGGTGCGAAGCAGAAAAGATGCAGATTTTCGTTCGGACTCTGTCAGGTAAAACCATAACGCTCAGAGTAGACGGCTCTGACACGGTCAAGAGTACAAAGCGCAAAATAGCAGCCAAAGACGGTCTCCCGGTCTACCGCCAGAGCCTGGCCTACAATGGGAGGGAAATGAGTGACGAAAATTCCCTTCGAGACTACCACGTAGTACAGGCCAGTACCCTCCACCTGTACCTCCGTGTTAGTTCAACAACAGAGGAGATAAGGCTGCGTGTGAGGCAACCTTCAGGTGAGGTGGTCTGGGTCACAACAGGGAAAGGAGAGAGGGTGGAGGATGTTAAGGCAGTGCTGCAGGCTGAACTGGGCGTTGCACTAGAACATCAGCGACTGTCTTTCCAAGGCAAGCCAGTAGAGAACCAGGTGTCGTTGAGGGAGCGTGGCATCCAGGATGGGTCAGAGCTGGGGCTGCTGGTTGTGGTCCCTATCACTGTCAAGATGCTGACAGGGCCAAGCCTTCTCTCTTGAGGTAGCCACTAGCGAATCAGTCCATGAAGTAAAAAGGAAGATTAAGAAAGTAGCAAAGATATCGCCAGAATGCCAGCGACTGATTTATGCTGGCAAGCCAATCGACGACAGCAGTTCTTTAGACAACTACGAAGTCAAAAGTGGGGCGGAGTTATATGTTATTCGGCGGGTAAAACTTTATAACTTGAAAATCAGAAAGGGTAGGAGCAGTAAGTACATCAAGTTGAAAGTAGAGTCCTCCACTACTGTCAAGAAAGTAAAGAAGATGATTGAGGCAATGGAAGGTACCCCACGTCACCTACAACGACTTAGTCTAGATGGAGTTTGCCTGGAGGACAGGAGAAGAATGGGACACTATCACACACTCATCTCCAGCAAGTGCAGACTGGTCCTCAGGAGCCAGCCACAGTACCAGATGTTCCTTAAAACTCTGTCGGGGAAGACCCTAGCTCTAGGAGTGAGAGGTGGGGACACAGTGGGACACGTGAAGTCAGTCATCTATGAGAGAGAAGGGATCCCACAAGACCAGGTGAAGGTGTTGTCAGGTGGGAGGGTGCTGAGAGATGAGAAGAGGCTTACGGATTGTGGTCTTCATAGTGGGAGTACTGTTGACCTCTCTCTGAGGCTCTTGGGAGGGATGGAAATATTTGTGAAGACACAGACAGGGGAGACTATCACTCTAGTGGTGGAGGCCAGTGATACCATTAGGAATGTTAAATCAAAAATTCATGAAATACCAGTGGACCAACAACGACTAGTATTTGCTGGAAAACAGCTGGAAGATAGACAGACTATTAAAGACTACAACATTCAGAATGCTTCCACTCTTTATCTAGTGAGGACACTACAAATATTTGTGGTTACACTGACGGGGAAGAGAATTTCCTTGAATGTTGAGGCCAGTGATACCATTGAGGCCGTCAAGTATAAAATTCAAGACAAGGAGGGAATACCACCAGACCAACAAAGAATCATATTTTCTGGTAAACAACTGGAAGATGGGTATACCCTGAGTAACTACAACATTGGGAATGAGTCTACACTTAACTTGATCTTGAGATTGTCGAGGGGCAGTCAAGCGATTTTTTTTGAGGACAATCACAGGTAAGCTATAGCCATTTGGTAGAGAGTTATTATATTTAAGCATTGACAGGTGAAACAATCCCTTTACCTTGGAAACCCAATGACACCGTTAAGAACTGTGAAGACTAGAATTCAAGACTTAAAGGGAATACCACCTGACCAACAACTACTCATATTCAATGGTAGGCAGCTGGAAGATGGACAGACTCTTAGTGGCTACGACATTCAGAAGGAGAGTATTTATTTGCTTTCACTGAGCGGAGCAGGTAATTTTATCTGACAACCCCATTCCATGTCCCCATTCCAAAGCAGCATTGCATGCTCCTACCCTATATACTTCCTTGCTGACACACAGGCTAAAAAGTACTGTGGGACAAACAGTGATAGACTTGTGTATTAGTTTGTTTCCTTATGTTCCTTTAAACACTTATTTGTAACTGTAGCATTTGCACTAGAAGTCCATCCAGACAAGCCACTATCTTACAACTGGAAGGGACATGGGTTCAAAGTCGACATTCCAGCTGGTGCCATCAGTAGCAGAGGTCCAGTGACCATGTACATCCAGGCCAGTCTCAAGGGAGACTATCAGTTTCCAGATGATGGTGTCATTGTCAGTGGAGTCTACTCTCTCTCCCTCTATCCTCCCGTGGAGAAATTTGACAAAAAAGTCACTATCACCCTCCAGCACTGTGCCTGTGTGGATGATGATGATGAAGAAGCAGCACTGTCCTTCTACACTGCCAAAGACACACCACCTTACATCTTTGAGCGTCTACCAGGAGGATCCTTCTCTGAGTCTGGAGAGGCTTCCATCGATGTTAGCCACTTCACTTTGTTCACAGTGTTTGGAAAGAAAAAGCCACTTAAATACGCCATTTGCACTTACTACGTGCCCAAGCAGCTCAATATACACGAGGCCCATATAACAGTCACTCTAAAGAAAGAACTGCTCATGGAGGTAAAAGCCTAGTAATGATTGATATTCATTCTGCTGAGAAATTTTCACCCCTCTGCAGAAGGTGAAGCAGTTGTATAAGGAGCAAAAAGCCGAAAAAGGTCCAGTAGTCCCAATGGTGAAGTTTATGTCTGGCGAAGAACAGATCACGCTGGACCTGGACACTTCGGAGGAGACCTGGAGCAAAGATGGTTGGAGTCTGTGTCCTCTCTCCTCTTTCTGTGTAAGGAAACTTCTGTTATTTGGGCTGCCCAAAGCTATATGAAGGCTTTATGTGATAGTTCTGTGATTAGTATTGTTGAATGGTTCAGAGTACCAAAAGAAGCACTGGATGACTATAATGGAGGACCAGCAGTCCCAGCCTTTCAACTGCAGCTGAAAATGATTCCTTCTGGCACACCCACTGCTCTTGTCCAGAGAGTGGGATTTGTAGGAGTCACACCTAAAGACAGCTTCGTTACTATCACCAAGGAACCAAGGACAGAGGGTATTATACATTGTCAAAATCCCTTCTAAAATGTTAGTTTTGACTTCTGTTTTCAGCTTTGCCCAGTCAGAGAGTGGAGATGGCAATTACTGAGACAGAGAGTGTAAACAGCAGCAGTAAAGGTATTACACATGTATGTAAGAATGCAGTGGGTCCGAGTCCGGAGTATGAATGTGAGATAATGCTGTGGGCAGCTATATAGTACTACAAAATTATTGTAGTATACTGCTGTATTGGTAGATCCAAAACTGAGTTGGTATAGGAGCATAATTTAAGCATTTTGTCAAGCACTTATGGTTGTTCCTGTATAATGATTGGTTTGATGTTGTACGTACTGCCTGATGACTCATAATCGTCCTCTTTACCATAGAGGCAGCCAGTCATTTGCCAGTGATACCTACTCCAGCTCCTGTCGTCCGTCTAAAGTCCAGGGACATCTCCACGTCTGTCGCATCAAGAGCTCTCAGGAAGAGCTACAAACTTTTCAAAGACAGTGTGGACCCTGACAGTCTTGTGGCAGTGCTCTACAGCAACATGCTGCTTACTCCCGATGAGCGTGAAAGGGCCACACAGAAAACAGAAACAGCCAACCAAAGACTTCAAGTCATTCTAATGGCACTGGAGCGACGCATTTTCTTTTTAGTAGCCTTGAGGCACTAAAGAAGACTCTGGTAATAAATTTTCACATTTTGCTCTTATTTTGATGGGTAAACTTCATAAAATGTTAAAACTTTTACAGTATGGAGACCTAGTCTGGTCAAAGTTGAGCAGCTTGTCCTTGTGATACACTGCCTTTTCAAGGCCACCGGAGGACTGGACTGTCTTGAAATGCTCAAACGCTCTCTCTCCTTCCTGCATATACATGGTTATCATAAAACCCTATATACATTTTGCCATTTTTTTACTCTAGATTTTTTGAATCTGTGCCAGTGTGAGTGTGCCAGTGTGTGTGTGTGTACACAGGAGAAAGAGGAGCTAGTATGTGGAGAGACGTGCTGGCAAACGGCCATCGCTCCAGCCCGCATCCACGACGGAGCACTAAACCAACTCCATTTTAGGGCAAGTCGTCTAACTCCCTTGGTATATACTGTCCAACAATCTGCCTCAACATGCCCCACATTTCATACATACACACACTGCTGTATAATGGACACACGGTCCTGTAGACTATAAAGGGAGATGACTAGTCGTCTTGCCAACATTCCATGGCAAGGCTGTACGCCACAACACAGAAGGCTGTCCATACCAGGCACACACAGGATGTCACAGGTACAAGGTATAACACATGAGCTAATGTATTGTGAGGGTCATTATAGAGGGTGCATGCCCACTCCGTGGGAAAGTAGTACACTTTATATAGGACCATTATAGAGACCCTTTGTGTCTCCAGAGTAGTATGAAACTCACTCTGGGGGAATTTGGGTAGGCAGAGAACACACGATACTAGAATGAACTCTTGTCGAGCAAACCTATATAAGTCACTAGAGGGGACCTCAGAAACACTGTATGTAATGTCCGTCCTTACGTATTGTATATTGAGGCACGGGAGTCATTGGATTCTGCTCATGGATCACATGTATATATATACCTGTAAATTGTACTGCTTTATCAGCTTCTCCTTTATTTTCTGCGCCTTTTTCGAGTCCTTGGCCAACATTTTTTCCTCGTCCGGTGCAAAAATGAGCGATCCACAAAATATACAGGGGCCAGCACCTTCCTGCGTAGTAATGAGAAGATTACGTCGAGAGCTTCACAGGTGGATCTTAGGTACTGTTCACATCACGAATCGAAGAAAGATTTCTCCCGTGACCTATACACCATAATAAATAAGCTTCAAGTTTGTTTGTTTGTTTGACCTTAGAGCAAACAATCCGCCCACACTCGACGCAGTTATTAAATATGCTTCAGGTTTGTTTGTTTGTTTGTTTGTTTGACCTTAGAGCAAACAATCCGCCCACACTCGACACAGTTATTAAATATGCTTCAGGTTTGTTTGTTTGTTTGACCTGAGAGCAAACAATCTGCCCACACTCGACACAGTTATTAAATATGCTTCAGGTTGTTTGTTGTTTGACCTTAGAGCAAACAATCCGCCCACACTCGACGCAGTTATTAAATATGCTTCAGGTTTGTTTGTTTTGTTGTTTGTTTGACCTAGAGCAAAAGCAATCCGCCCACACTCGACACAGTTATTAATATGCTTCAGGTTTTGTTGTTGTTTGACCTGAGAGCAAACAATCTGCCCACACTCGACACAGTTATTAAATATGCTTCAGGTTTGTTTGTTTGTTTGACCTTAGAGCAAACAATCCGCCCACACTCGACGCAGTTATTAAATATGCTTCAGGTTTGTTTGTTTGTTTGTTTGTTTGACCTTAGAGCAAACAATCCGCCCACACTCGACACAGTTATTAAATATGCTTCAGGTTTGTTTGTTTGTTTGACCTGAGAGCAAACAATCTGCCCACACTCGACACAGTTATTAAATATGCTTCAGGTTTGTTTGTTTGTTTGACCTTAGAGCAAACAATCCGCCCACACTCGACGCAGTTATTAAATATGCTTCAGGTTTGTTTGTTTGTTTGTTTGTTTGACCTTAGAGCAAACAATCCGCCCACACTCGACACAGTTATTAAATATGCTTCAGGTTTGTTTGTTTGCGCGATTTTTTCTCCGTACTATTTGTTGTAGACGGTGCTGTCAATACCGTAATGCTTCTAAATAGGTAACCACCGAAATCCGTTCACTTGCATTGAAATACACAGACACAGATACACAGAGGAGCCCCCCCCCCACCAATCTCAGAGTGCTCCTCCACGACTTTCCTCCCGGCAATGTCGAGAGTGACGGCCCCGGTTTCGACGTGACCCAAAACTTCTCTCCCGCAGTTCCTCCTCTCTCTGCACCAGTGCCGCCTTCTCCTGGGGACTCTTCCAGCTAGTGGCGTCCACGTTGAAGAAATCTCGCTCGTCATCTAGTACGTGCGTCCGCTGGGCACTGCACGTGGCATAATACACAACAGTAAGGACGGATAGTAGAAGGAAAAATATACAGTGGATAAATCGAGAACAGGCTAAAAAGTACTGTGGGACAAACAGTGATAGAATTGTGTATTAGTTTGTTTCCTTATGTTCCTTTAAACACTTATTTGTAACTGTAGCATTTGCACTAGAAGTCCATCCAGACAAGCCACTATTTTACAACTGAAGGACATGGGTTTCAAAGTCGACGTTCCAGCTGGTGGCCATCAGTAGCAGAGGTCCAGTGACCATGTACATCCAGGCCAGTCTCAAGGGAGACTATCAGTTTCCAGATGATGGTGTCATTGTCAGTGGAGTCTACTCTCTCTCCCTCTATCCTCCCGTGGAGAAATTTGACAAAAAAGTCACTATCACCCTCCAGCACTGTGCCTGTGTGGATGATGATGATGAAGAAGCAGCACTGTCCTTCTACACTGCCAAAGACACACCACCTTACATCTTTGAGCGTCTACCAGGAGGATCCTTCTCTGAGTCTGGAGAGGCTTCCATCGATGTTAGCCACTTCACTTTGTTCACAGTGTTTGGAAAGAAGCCACTTAAATACGCCATTTGCACTTACTACGTGCCCAAGCAGCTCAATATACACGAGGCCCATATAACAGTCACTCTAAAGAAAGAACTGCTCATGGAGGTAAAAGCCTAGTAATGATTGATATTCATTCTGCTGAGAAATTTTCACCCCTCTGCAGAAGGTGAAGCAGTTGTATAAGGAGCAAAAAGCCGAAAAAGGTCCAGTAGTCCCAATGGTGAAGTTTATGTCTGGCGAAGAACAGATCACGCTGGACCTGGACACTTCGGAGGAGACCTGGAGCAAAGATGGGTGGAGTCTGTGTCCTCTCTCCTCTTTCTGTGTAAGGAAACTTCTGATCGGTTTGTTATTTGGGCTGCCCAAATCTATATGAAGGCTTTATGTGATAGTTCTGTGATTAGTATTGTTGAATGGGTTCAGGTACCAAAAGAAGCACTGGATGACTATAATGGAGGACCAGCAGTCCCAGCCTTTCAACTGCAGCTGAAAATGATTCCTTCTGGCACACCCACTGCTCTTGTCCAGAGAGTGGGATTTGTAGGAGTCACACCTAAAGACAGCTTCGTTACTATCACCAAGGAACCAAGGACAGAGGGTATTATACATTGTCAAAATCCCTTCTAAAATGTTAGTTTTGACTTCTGTTTTCAGCTTTGCCCAGTCAGAGAGTGGAGATGGCAATTACTGAGACAGAGAGTGTAAACAGCAGCAGTAAAGGTATTACACATGTATGTAAGAATGCAGTGGGTCCGAGTCCGGAGTATGAATGTGAGATAATGCTGTGGGCAGCTATATAGTACTACAAAAGTATGTAGTATACTGCTGTATTGGTAGATCCAAAACTGAGTTGGTATAGGAGCATAATTAAGCATTTTGTCAAGCCACTTATGGTTGTTCCTGTATAATGATTGGTTTGATGTTGTACGTACTGCACTGATGACTCATAATCGTCCTCTTTACCATAGAGGCAGCCAGTCATTGCCAGTGATACCTACTCCAGTCCTGTCGTCCGTCTAAAGTCCAGGGACATCTCCACGTCTGTCGCAATCAAGAGCTCTCAGGAAGAGCTACAAACTTTTCAAAGACAGTGGGACCCTGACAGTCTTGTGGCAGTGCTCTACAAGCAACATGCTGCTTACTCCCGATGAGCGTTGAAAGGGCCACACAGAAAACAGAAACAGCCAACCAAAGACTTCAAGTCATTCTAAGGCACT